CGCCCCCCCCCCCCCCCCCCCCCCCCCCCCCCCCCCCCCCCCCCCCCCCCCCCCCCCCCCCCCCAGGAATAAAAGGTATAAAAAAAAAAGAGGACATGAAAACATACAAAATGATTGGAAAATGTTTCCTCCTCTCGACGAATTGCCTCTTCTAAAAAATGTGGATACCCCCGGTTGAAGCTTGGGGGAATAATGGGGGGGCTTTAGGTAAGTACCTCCTCTTAAGGCTTACCATTAGGTACCTAGGCTACCTAAGCCAAAGAGCGCTAAAAATTGAGTTGAACTACTACTGCGCAGCACTGCACTGCACTGGTATGGGGAACTTGCCCATATGCGCATACATAGTACGGCGTTAGCGGACTACAGTTTCCTTCCTTCGGCCTTAACGTTTGGTTCTAGGTGGCTAATAAGGTTTGGTAGGCAAGTACAATTAAACTTTTGCTATTGAAACCCATAGATATGTGACCTTTCTTTGGAAGGTGTTTAGCTCAGATCAAACTCAATCTGGTAAAGAACTAGGTACCTGTTTTAACGCCATAGAACCGTACGATAGAGTTGATTCTATTTAAAGTTTTATGTATATGGGACTTACACTTCAAGCTAAGTATTTTCTTACAATGTTTATCTAGTTACATGTAGGTACTTAATAGAACACCTATAATAATTATTATTCTTGATAAGAAAGGTGAAAGGATTTAACACGGGTAATAGGCATGCAGTGATCACGACTTTATAAGCAACTCGTGGAACCAAACACTAGATATTACAAACAGGTACCTAACCTAATATACAAGGTAGTTATGCTATACCTATCACAAGCATGCCCTAGATCTGCACGACCAAATACGTACCTCAACTCGGTAGTCGGATATATACCCAACTTGATCAACACCTCGGTAGTGTTGTTCGACGGGGTCTAGGAACCTTAGCTTGGTGAAAACTTCGTCCAATCGAAATAGCGGCCCGGTAATTCAAACAAGGGCCAAGGACTTGGTTATGTTCATCGTAACACCCGATGCCTCCGATTGCCCCAACCTTAACATCCGGGCAGCCGAATTTTGCGGTTTACGCATACCCTTTGCTATGAAAAGATCTTCTCTCTATTACTGCTTCCGGTCTGCTTATCTCCCGAACCCCATGGGGACTGTTATAGGATATTAGCGGAAATACCAGAACAGCGTAATGCTACAGCATAGTATGCGGGTAGACGAGAAGAGCAAAGGGCTTGACTACCTCCCCAAGTACCTACCTAGGTGTTGCTCACGTATTGCTAACGTACCTATCACTGTAACCCCCAACTTCCCCTCAATATAAGCAAAACAGAATTATCTAAGGTAGCACTAGATATACGAATTGTTAGATGGGATGTCTCGCCTTATTTACCCTGTGCAAATATAGGTACGCACTGCTTTGTCAACGTATGAGAGGTGAGATGTGTTATCATTCGCCTTCATCGATCTTACGTAGACTTATGGCTTTTGGATCTTCTCTCCAATGAGAACTAAAAAGCATATCGTAATGACCTCTTACACTTTTTCTTTTTACCAATAACACGTAACACGTCCTTCCCCTAATATAATGGTACTATGTAAGTAACTGAATATCGAATTGCTCAATAATATTAGGCACCTTGGGTTAGGTACCTCTTTATACAAGGCACCATAAGTGGCTTTAACTAAATCAGGTTAATTGTTTCTATTGTAAACGAAATTGAAGGGCACTTCATCCACCTAAGAATATTATTATATACGAACTCCACCCAGGTTCCCGATATTTAAAGAGCTCGAATAGAAATTACCTCAAAGAGTATACTTAAAAGTATCACGAACGTGCTATATCTTTACCGTGGCTTCGGGATTACCCAACATAAAAATTATTGGGACGGGAACCACTAGGCTGCCCGGCTTGCGGCGGTTCTGCGGTAGTGTATTTCCATAAAGCAAGTCAGCTGCATAAATGTACAGTCTAGATGCTGGAAAGCCAGGCAATCAGCTGCTGCAGTGCGAAGGCGGCATTGGTCCTTGGCAGTTCATTAGGCGACGATTTAGCAGAAAGCAACCCTGTAAATTTTGTCGCGCGTGGTAGACCCACTTTACACAAGCATGTGTCATTAATCCGCGGCTCTGCTTGGCCAGGTACCTACCTAATGCCGGGTTCGATACCAGGTACAAATAGATAGTGTTTAAATTTCCATGTTTGCATAAGTTCTAGCGGCTGGCCAGGCTGGTTACTTTTTTCCTCAACAAGCGTCGCCGCTGTCTAAGATAGATCCATCCTACTTCGTCCCACCAACCCGGTTAATTAATATACGAACTTCGTCATAAATCCTACCTTTCGACTGTTTCTCTCTCTCTCCTTTCCCCTGACGTTCGTTTCTGCTATTTATGGCTTCTTGAAAAAAAAAGACAATTACTCTACTCTAGATTTTGTTTGATCCCGTTGATTTTGAGCACCTGCAAAGCTACGTCACCATCGTGCATCTGTACCGAAGGGTTGGAATCGTTTTACCCTCTTGATCTGCAATCCCCCCCTAGCATCATCCCAACTATTTTTCCAAACGAAAAGCAAACCATATACTCTGATCCACCGCTAACTTGTTTCCGAACGAACGCTGATCGACACCGTTGGAATCTACTTCGAATCGCGTTATTGGGAACTTAATCGAAATAAGTTTGGCTTCGTAAAACTTTACCTCGGTTCATTCTTCTAATTGGTTCTTCTCCCCCCTATCCACGGTCCCAGGGCCGAATTACAACTCCCGTAATTGTGGATTTGACGAGACCGACGTCTTAAAGATGCAGTACGTTCGAAATATCAGCGATTCGGTCTCTACCGCTTGGAACTCGATCAACCCGGCTACGTTGAGTGGTGCAATTGATGTCATCGTAGTACAGCACGAAGATGGTACTCTGTGTTGTTCTCCCTTTCACGTCCGCTTCGGTAAATTCTCACTGCTACGACCCTATGAAAAAAAGGTCGAGTTTAGGGTCAATGGTGTGAAGCAGAACTATGCTATGAAGCTAGGGGAAGGGGGTGAGGCTTTCTTCGTTTTCGAAACAAACGATAACATCCCCCAAAGTCTCCAAACCTCGCCCCTTAGCTCTCCCGCTTCGAGTCCGCCGCTTGGACCTGACAGGTCATATTCATCCAACGAACTGCAGGAGCCCGACTTTTTGCAGTTAGACAGCGATTCTAGGACTGCGCCGTCTACGACCTCATCGCAACCCAAACCTATAATTATTTCTCGCCCAGGTTTGTTAAAATGAAACCTGTGTATTCAGAGACACAAGGCAATAGCTAACCTTTTGCGTAGGAGTGGGTGAACCCCATGCGTCTTCCCCTGAGTTAGGCGGTGGCCGACCAGTTTCAACAGGATGGCTAAATCCCCCTAATCATCCGTCCTATAGCGAAGAATTACTACTAGCCCCTGCACAAGCGACCCACGAGAACGATGATTCGAATAATGACCTACACGAAGCTGATAGTGCAATTTCCCAAAGATCACGAAGCCCGCCTCCTTTGGCTCCTCGAGATGCCATTCGACGAGCTATGACTCTATCAAAAGAGCTGTCCGCAGTCAATATTCCCAGCCGAGTCACCGAAACGGGCGATCTCATGTTAGACATGACGGGGTATAAGTCCAGTGAGGAAGATGCAATTAAAGCTGAAATTTTGGCTCGTAAGATATTGTCGGAAGAACTTCAGGGCGACTACGATATTGGCGCACTGTTTGGAATGGACGAGGAAGGAAACCTCTGGATATATAGCAGCGAGGATGCCAAAGAAGCTGCGATGAAGAAAACAGTGGCATCTCTCCGACCGTCGGCTACGCTTGCTATTGACGCTGCTTCCGATCCCGGATATCAAAGCGACGAGTCTACTACATCGACAAGAGGACCGTCCCACAGGAGAACCGAGTCGGATGTTGGCCAGAGTTACATTCAGACACCTCCAACCACCCCCGGTTCATCGTCGGCAGGAAACCCGAATAGAAACTACGCGAAAACCCTACGGTTGACTAGCGATCAGCTGAAGGCGCTGAATTTAAAACCCGGAGAAAACACGATGAGCTTCACTGTAAATCGAGCCACTTGTCAGGCGTACATGTTTCTCTGGAAGCATGAAACGCCCGTTGTCATTTCTGATATCGATGGTACTATAACCAAGTCTGATGCTCTAGGCCACGTGTTAAATATGATCGGGCGAGACTGGACACATGCGGGAGTCGCGAAACTCTACAGCGATATTGTTGAAAATGGCTACAATATCATGTACCTCACAAGTCGTTCGGTCGGACAAGCCGATACAACGAGAGCATATCTCTACGGTATTGTTCAAGATGGGTACCGCTTGCCTAAAGGCCCAACAATTCTATCGCCCGATAGGACGATGGCGGCTCTAAGGCGAGAGATATACCTGCGTAAACCACACGTATTCAAGATGGCGACCCTACGGGATATTAGGAGCTTATATGGCCCCGACAATCATTGTTTCTATGCTGGCTTCGGGAACCGTCTTACGGATCAAATTTCGTACAGGACTGTAGACGTGCCAAGGAATCGCATTTTCACAATCAACTCCAATGCTGAAGTTTCGCTAGATCTGCTAAGTCTTAATAAGTTAAAGCTTAGCTACGTGAACATGACAGAAGTCGTCAATCACTACTTTCCTCCTGTTAGTACTCTGGTTAAGGGTGGCGGTGTCGAGTACACCGATTTCACGTATTGGCGAGATACTCCGTTAGAATTGGATGAGTTCTCGGCTAGCGAGTCTGAGGAGCGCGGAGATGGCGAGAGTTCCGCAGACGAGGAGGAAGACGAAGATGTCGGAAACATGGGCGACAGCTATCTCTCGCGAGGAGACGATTACGAAGAGGATGAAGATGCCGATGCTGAAGGGAGCATATTTAGCGGCGAATACGAAGTCGACGAAAACGCGATAGGCTCCCTAGAGTATGGATCTGACGATGCTGACGACGAGGAAGGCTATCTGGAAGACGAGGAAGTTGAGGACGGGGAAGCGGAAGATGAAGAAGCGAAAGACAAACAAGTTGACGAACAGGATGTCGGCCTAATTCCTCCCGATTCTGGCTTTAAGAGCGAACCTGCTCTTCCGACGCGAGACGTCGACGCCGAACTAATCACCGGAATGAAAAACGTTGCTGTCGACGACGAGATGAAAAAGTAGCGTGTCTTTGAAATGATACCGGAAAGTTATCAAATATCACAAACAACTCAAACCGGCAATGCATGGTCTAGCAGGTACCTACCTAATGAAGGCCGTCTTCAACTCGCGAACCTGCCCTTACGCATCAACCAACCGCATCCGCATTTTCATCATAAGTCGGCATAGAAGAGAAGAGAAGAGAAGAGGAGGGTTGAGCCTCAAGCATATTTAAGAGCATATAAATCACATCGTGTCGCGTTTATCATTGCAAGGGGCAGATTGGTTTATATTTTTGTTCCCGCCAGCTACTCGGGATGAGTACTTGGTGTCTTTTGGATTGCATAGCGTTGGCGTTTTTTTTTTTCTCTTTTTCTAATAGAAGGACAAGAGGATGGATGATATACATCTGTCATAGACTACCTAAATGTACCTAATGTACAACAACAAAGCCGTCTTGCTTCCCTGCATCTTGACTGTTTTAGACAATCCTCGACGCACCGCTAGTACCTAGAATCCCGTGGAGAATAGACCAATTCTTAACTACCTATATATCTGTACCGTCCCGTACGCTCTTCTCAACTTGAATCCACCCATAGTTCTAACGGTTTATGTAATGTCTCCGGTATACTGGCGTATTTAAGCTAGTCTGGCGATCCTTAACAATTATGAATATGTGTTAGGAAATTAACGTGTCGTCACAACGAATTTGAATCCCTCATCTGCAGTTGCAGCAGGACTTTTTTGCCCCAACTCCATAACGCCATCCGTCCCTTAGGTACCTCTGTTTTTTCCATCGTATTCGAGAGACATAGCATCGCAGCATGTTCTTGCTTGCCGCCAAGCAAATCTTTATAAATTAACCCATCACTCCATCCCCTCCATATCCTCATCGCCCATCTCACCCATATCATCACCCAGCAGCTCCTCCAAACCCCCACCCTCACCCTCCTCTCCATTGCCCGCCGCATTCCGCTTCTGGGTATCGAACACCTCCTCCATCTCCTCGTCCTCGTCGCTATCACCATCCTCGTCGTCATCCTGCTCCATGGCAGTCGTCCACTGGTCGCGAAGCGTCCACCCCATGCCGCTGAGCACGAAGCGCTCGTTAGGCAGCCGCACGCCCCACTCGTTGGCGAGGACGCGCGGCAGGGCGATCTTGTTGCGCTCCCGCGCCACCTCCTGCATCCACTCCTTGCTGGCGCCCGAGGCCCCGCGGAACTGGAACGACTGCCGCGACGCGATGGCCAGGTTGATGGCGTTGGTGGTGACGACGGCCTCGCCCGCGCTCGGCGCGCTCGGGGCCGCGCCCGACGAGGCGCTGGGCTTGGACCCCGCGTGCGTCGTGTACGGGTCCGTGGACAGGTGCAGCGCGTCCGAGAGCACCGCCGACGTGTGCCGGTAGGCGAAGTCCAGGATGAGTAGCGGGACGCGCTGGTCGAAGGAAGTCACGCCCTGCGAGGTCAGGAGGAGCTCGATGGTGCGGGCGTCGCGGGGTCGGGGGGCGTGGGAGGGGGATGGGGAGGAGGAGGAGGGGGGTTGGGGTTGTGATTGTGATTGCGATTGTAGTTGTGATGATGCTGTGGCGCCTGCTTGTGCGTTATTATTGCTGTTTGGACCTGTTCCCGCGGATGCGGCGTTGGATGTTTGTGTGTTTTGTACGGTAGGCGAACCGCTGCTCGCGGTGTTCTGTGTTGGTTGCGAAGCAGATTGCGAAGTACCTGCTGCTGCCGAGGATGAGGGTATCCCGTTGGTCTGGGATTGGGATATTGATGCCATCGTTGCTGTGACTATCGTGTATTGTATATTGAAGCTCAAGAGGTCGGCTCGATGGAAACACGTCGAGGAAATTTGGATTGGATCGTCAATTGAACGGTTATTTGCGACGTTGCTCGTTATTCCATAGGCAAACCTGGATTTCGCGGTGAATTGTATGGGTTTGAGCTGGAGACGCCTTCGCGAAAGTTTCGGGTCGCGGTGATAAAATTAACGAGGATTCCTCGAGTGATTTGGCTTCCGGAAGAAATGAAAGTCGTCGAGCTTGTATTTTGTGGGATAAACTTGGATGAATTTTTTTTTTCTTTTTTATTCTGATCGGTTTGAAGCTTAGAAGTTTGGGGGATTAAACAATTAAAAGTGAGTATATTGGTTCAGAGAGAAATCGGTGTATGCATTTTTAGAAGTTGATTGTGGAACTTTGAAGCAAGCTCTAGGTACCTAGGTAGCTGCATGTCAGGGAACCTGGAAGTTGAGCCTCACCACATAGGTAAGTGGGCCCTTCCGGATCTTCTGTTAATAAGTGGGGAATCGATTGACGACCCATATAACTCGAACGGAAGTAGCATGTATAGAGGGGTAAGTGGTTACTTACCCCTCCATCATTGGGCAATTGAAGGGCAAACGAGGGCAACTACATACCTAAAACTCAGCCGGCTCAGATGTTACTCAGGTGTTACTAGCGCCGATTTAGGAGCGTCATTCTGAAATAATAATTATTTTAATCATTTTCTTTCTCCCACCTTGAGTCACCTTGAGCCACCTTGAGCCACCTTGAGCCACCTTAAATGCCCGAACTTCTCTATAACTATAGTACCTAAGTCATCTTCTTTTTTGGCACTAAGTTGTGCTAGTAGTCAACTTCGAATTCGGGTTGGATATATTCACTTCTTTTACTTCAAGTGACAGCACAGTATCTTTCGTCATGGAGACGACACTTCCGCTCCCCTTTATCATATCCATACCTGTCCCTCCTAGCTGGACCTCAACCGAGGAAGGGCAAGGTTTAAGTCAAGAAGACGTATCATGCCTTGGTTGTGTTTTCTTCGAGGTCACTCAGCAAAACTTCGAGGAGCTCCTTAACAACCTGAGTCAGCTTAATGCTGCTACACTCCATACCTTCTTTGACGCCACCGGTCTCGAATCGAAAGATGATGTTGTTACGCTACTAGACAACGGTGCCCGGAGGGTTTTTGTTCAACCCGAAAGGCTGCCTGACTTCGCTGAGTTTGGTAGACGAGTTGCGCCAGCTGTAACCAACCTAAATCAGTTATCGAATGGGACGCAGCATGGGCTCCTCATTAAGGACTTCGACCAACGGACCTGCGATGTAGCTGGTTTTATGGAGTCAAGCAAGGCCACTAAGATGCCCTTCTTATACATCAAACCTATTCAAGATACCATCTATGACCATTTTGTCGATATATGTTCACAGCTATCCGCTATCCCTATCATCCCATCCACCGAACTAACAACCAAAAAGGATGAGGCCGAAAACAAGATCTTGGTCGCAAAACTATTTTCTAGCGCGTGGAAGTCTGATAGGCCAGATAAACTTCTGCCTACTGTTGTCTGCGATGAAGGAGGAAGTGCACTTGGTTTAGTGTACAGCAGCGAAGAAAGTATTGCTGAATCGCTGAGGACTAAAACTGGTGTTTATCAGAGTCGGAAACGCGGGCTTTGGTACAAGGGTGCTACATCTGGTGATACCCAGGAATTAGTGAGGATATCCTTGGACTGTGACAACGATGCTTTGAAGTTTGTTGTCAGGCAGACTGGAAGATTCTGTCATCTCGAACAATACGGATGCTTTGGCGATTTAACGGGAATCTCGAGGCTCGAGCAAACGTTGCTGTCAAGGAAGCAATCGGCTCCCGAAGGCTCGTATACAAAACGGCTTTTCTCCGATGAAAAGTTGCTTCGAGCGAAGATAATGGAAGAAGCAGAAGAGCTGTGCCATGCGAAGACTCCGGAAGAGGTTGCGTTTGAGGCAGCTGACCTGATTTACTTCGCCCTGACAAAAGCTATTAGCGTTGGAGTGAGACTCACGGATATCGAAAAGAACCTCGACGCCAAGAGCTTGAAGGTCAGGAGAAGACCTGGAAACGCAAAGGGTCACTGGGCTAAGAAAGAAGGCATTACACATGGCAGAGCAGAGAAGGCTAAAGAGGCCGCAAAAGAGTCGGTAACACCATCGACCTCTGCTCCTGCTGCTGCTGCTGCTGCCCACACTGCACCGGATACCGACAGAATTACCCTAAAGCGGGTAGATGTTAGCAAGGTCAGTGCAGATGAAGTGTCAGAGGCCCTTAAAAGACCATCACAAAAGTCTGCGGACGCAATCTTGAATATCGTCACTCCCATCATCAGTGATATTCGCAACAACGGAGACAAAGCCCTGCTTTCTTATACGCACAAGTTTGAGAAGGCGACGTCTTTAACTTCGCCTGTTCTCAAAGCCCCTTTCCCTCAGTCGCTCATGAACCTCCCGCCTGAGACCATCAAGGCTATTGATGTCTCCTTTGAGAATATTCGCAAATTCCACGCTGCCCAAAAGGAAGATCCTCTTCAAGTGGAAACGATGCCGGGAGTTGTGTGCAGCAGATTCTCTCGACCGATTGAACGAGTTGGCCTTTACGTACCTGGTGGAACGGCAGTCTTGCCTAGTACTGCGCTCATGCTTGGTGTACCTGCCATGGTTGCTGGCTGCCAAAAGATTGTTATTGCATCTCCACCGCGTTCTGATGGCAGCGTTACCCCAGAAATTGTATACGTTGCTCACAAGGTTGGCGCCGAGAGTATTGTCCTAGCTGGTGGCGCACAAGCCGTTGCAGCAATGGCATATGGCACGGAAAGTGTTAGCAAAGTAGACAAAATTCTTGGACCCGGAAACCAGTTCGTGACTGCAGCAAAGATGTTCGTCAGCAACGACACCAATGCTGGTGTTAGCATTGATATGCCAGCTGGTCCATCTGAAGTCCTCGTAATAGCGGATAAGGATGCCAATCCTGCCTTTGTTGCTTCGGATTTGTTATCCCAAGCCGAACACGGCGTGGATAGTCAGGTCATTTTAATTGCGGTTGATCTCAACGAAGAGCAATTGCAAGCGATTGAAGATGAAGTCCACAAGCAGGCTATGGCTTTACCACGAGTAAATATCGTTAGAGGTGCTATTAGCCACTCCGTCACGTTTGTTGTGAAAGACGTGGAGGAGGCCATGAAAATCAGCAACGACTACGGCCCCGAGCACTTAATCCTCCAACTCAAGAATGCCGAGCAAGTCGTTGACCAGGTCATGAACGCGGGTAGTGTGTTTATCGGACAGTGGACTCCCGAGAGTGTGGGTGACTACTCGGCCGGTGTCAACCACTCATTGCGTGAGTTTTCCTTTTCCCTTAACGCATGAATGTAAGACTGATGTGTTGTAGCTACATACGGTTATGCCAAGCAGTACTCAGGAGTCAATCTGGGCTCGTTCCTCAAGCACATCACAAGCTCCAACTTAACTGCTGAAGGTCTTCGAAATGTGGGAGATGCGGTCATGCAGCTGGCTAAAGTGGAGGAGCTCGAAGCTCACAGGAGAGCTGTCAGCATCCGTCTCAGCACCCTGACTTCATAAGCCTGGTATTACTAGAATTATTGAGTTGATGGTAGCCATATGAAGGGGTGATTGGTGCTGATAAGGAACTACCTGATGGTATTTGAGTATCAGCATTCTCAATTAAAGTAGAGATTGTGGATTGTTACCCTTTTGATTTGTGGGATACCGGGGTGTTGTGCTATGCAACTATTGTATAGGGTGGTGAGTTCACCAATCAAAACAGGGACGTAGGGGTTGGGTTGGGTGAAAAGTATAAACATATAGACGAGTACCAGAATGTTCTTGTCAGAGCGAGGGGTCGGAAAGACATGGGAATAGTAGGTGGCTATGATGTCAAAAAAGGACGAGTTATAAATAAGAAAGTGCATCTAAGCCGATATTAACCTATACCCACTATGACGAGCGCTCTAATAAGTGAGTTTATAGGGAAAATGTTTAGGGTGAATCATGATAATCGATGGAACAATGCTGTCTGCCTTGCTGTCCGCCATTGATACACGCACGCATCGGGTCGAAAGTTACTCGGCATTATTAAGATTACCTATATGTACAGTTCGATCGGTCTATATACCCAGAACATGAATCTACCATTGGGGATCGTGCCAAGTACGTCAACCGGATACAAGGTACACTAGCAAGTTCAAGAATTAACATCTTAAGTTGACCCCTTGCCTCGCCTCCGACTCTCTAATCTCGAACATGACCTGCGCGCCGATGAAGAACGCCACGCAAGCGCCCAGTAGGAACGTGAATCCTGTAGCATAGCAATAGCATATAGTTGTTAATCGTAGATTCTAGATAGAGGAGAGAGGGTAGAGGAGAGTGGGAAAAGGGAGGGAGGGGGGGGAAGAGGAAGAAGGAAAGGTTTGAGAAGACTTACCAGAAAAGTCCTTGAGGATCCCCGCGATAATACTCGTCAGCCCGTCCAGACCGACCGCAAAGCCGACGAGATTCGCCGCCATCATCATGAAGATGTTGCCGACAGCGCCCACGCAGCAGAGCATGCGGTAGGCGGTGGGGCGGTTCTCCCAGGCGCGCCTGGGGAAGAGGAAGCCGGCGGCCATCTCGGGCAGCATGAAGAAGACGACGAGCCAGCCCCAGATGAGCAGGCGCAGCTGGATGTCGTGCCAGAGGGCGACGAAGGTGAAGACGAGGACGTACGTGAGCACGGAGCGGGCGGCGTCGCGCGGGGTGCGGAAGCTGGACCCGCCCAGGGGCACGTAGATGTAGCGGAGGGACCAGCGGTAGAAGCTGCGGTGCCAGCTGCGCCAGAAGGCGAGCGTGCTCCAGTTGTCGCTCACGCAGCGGATCAAGTTCTCCGGCGGGTCCACGCCGTCCACGAGCGACCACAGGCGGAAGAACCGCCAGGGGAGCAGCAGCTTCAACCAGATCAGGTGCAGGTTGAAGTAGCTGAGCAGACTGAGCTGCGAGGCCGTGTACTCGCTCCACACGGGGTTCGCTTTCGAGATGGCTTGGACGTAGATATAGTGCAGGATCACCTCCATAGCGAGTAGAGTCAGGATGAAGCGTATCCCGTACCGCACCGTGCGCGCGGTTTCGAGGCTGGCTGGTTTATATCGCAACTGCGATATGAAGTCGTTGAAAGTGATTATCGGACCTGTTAGGTATAAAGGGGCGTAGATAGCATACGCAATATAGTTTCTAAAGGAGAAATCCTTGGCTTGTGACGGGATTGACACTCGGTCTCGCTCGCTCAGAGCAGTCGGGTCGATTTGTTTCTTCTTGGGGGTATCAGTAAAAACCGCTTCGTAATTCCCAAGCATTCCACACATCCTGACTTACCTCTACGGGGCTATAACTTCTGCGATCCAAGCTCCAGTAGTAGTCCAAGTTGAAGCTAATCAATCGCAAAACGGTGATGTTGAAGAGGATTTCCCATCGACCCATGAGACCGCCGTAACTATCGAGCCATCTACCCCACGCCACAGGCCCCTCGTGAAGAAGCGAAGGCGTGTCAGGGGAACCAACGATTAGTTCGGCGATAGCACCGAATTTAAACCCCTTGAATAATTCGTTCGCGAAAAGCATGCCGATATTGAAGACCCACGTCGCCGCTGGGACATACTTCCGGGGTAAAGTCGTTGCAACCTGGAAGTTCAGATAGAGAATCAGAAGAATCTTCAGGGACGAGATCCCGTGCAGCACAACGAGGTATATCAGCGCAAAGCCAAAGTCAAACGAGGCCCGCTGGTTTAGCCTCTGATCCGCCTCTTCGGGTGTTGGTCGCGCCGACTGGCCTACGGATTTTATCGGGTATACGATCGTGTTATATAGTCGGCGTAGAAGGGGGTGGAACACGAGAAGCGCCGCCATATACGGGATATTATTCCGAAAAGTGCGGTATTGCGCATCCGAGGCATCCTCGACGACTTGTCAGCACATAGTATGTGTATCACTTGAATCAGGGGTCGCCTACGATTTTGCGCCCGGGGATCCAACCCGGGGAGAGCAAGTTCTCATATCTTCTATATTTAGAATCTGTGGCTATTCAAATGGTCAAGGTATGTACATAAGACGATCGAATCTGTATATCACGTACGTCTTGAAGCGTCATATCCCACCCAGAACATGTACGGTATGAGAAAGGCGAGGATGAAATAGTATAAGTAGAATTCGGGCGTGTTCCATCGCGACGGTTTCCCTCGGCTCTTCCATTCTGCCGCACGTTCTTTGCTAGCAGCTACATCGTTTCGCGCTTCTATAACGGTCCTGTAAGGTATCGAAGACGGGTTCGTAAAGCGAGTGTCGAGAGTATCGAGACCGTATATCGAGCGAACGAAAGAGAGGACACCCATATTTTGGGAGAGCGTCAGGCAAATATGCCCGAAGCAATATTTAAAAAAAAAAAGAAGAAACAAAAAAGCTAACAGAAATACATGAAGCGAATCAAAAATTGCAATGTCGACAATACATGCACCCCGGCATTACGGAATGTTGAAAGATAGAAGATAAAAGTGCAATGAAATCGATCTCGTGTGGTGGTGCAAGTAATGGAAGTTATGCATGAAGTACAATTCAACGATACGAAATTCAGGGTCTGGCTTCTCGGTGGGTCCAGGGGGACGCCAATGCGCCAATACGCCAATGCGATTGAATCGCACTTTAAAGTGGACCCGTGTCAGACGGGAGGTACCTCTGTATCCCTTTGTAGATTACATAAGTCGGTGAAAGCGTACAAAGTTCAAACAAAGCTTGTTAGAGGATCAAGACTTCCATTCGCCATTAAAAGATACCTCTTCCAAAAAATAAAATAAAAAATCATTTCATCTACACAGGACTTCTACAACGTACACAACAAAAGCTAATATCGAAACAGCGTTTTTATAAAGCAAGATAAAGCAAGGAGCTCTGCTCGTTACAAGAGTCAACTCCGGAGCTCAATTCCGGGCGGACCGTTATTCAATTAGCGGCTGTCCCGATAAATATTCCCCCCTTCCCACCCCTTCTTCTCCGACTTTGGTCCGGCATACCTACCTAACTTAGATACCTAAAGTAGCGATGGGAAAATTCGGGAGTAGATCTATTGCGTTCCGTCGAAAGACACCATCAATAAAATACTCTCCTACCAAATGTTGGAACGGGCCTTTCCGGTATTTTGACCTTCCTCCCGAGCTGAGAGATAACATTCTCAGACTCATCCTGCTCGACTGGGATTCCACCAGTAAAGATGCCGTTCATCTTTTTCTCACGAGCAAGCGAATATATGCGGATGCCGCCTCGATATTCTACTATGAAGTTCTGCTCGATAATATGCACCTGAAAGGGACCGCCGATCCCTTCTTGGCCGGCGCACTTACGGCAGTAACACCTCGGCTTCACGTGCGGAATCTTATCATCAGGTTCCTAATGAAAGAGCAGATGTATCTGTTCGGCGAGGTATATGGCACAGCCCTACGAGAAATGGCCTCGAGAGGAAAGCTCCAGAGCCTGCGCCTCGAGATCGGAAGTCGCTTCCCGTGCTACGAGTTCTGGGGGTTCGAAGACGAATTGTTCACTTACGACGACGTCCGCGTGGTAGGCGGAAAGGGGAAAGGGACCGTGATAAAAGCGCCTCTGTTCGTCACGAAAAAGCCGTTTCAGAATTTTCTCAAATTTCTCGAGGAATCCGAGATCCCCAAGATCACGCTGTTCGTCGATGCCGAGGATCACTCCAAGTTCTGGTGCCTGTTCCATCGCAGCCACCCGTCTGGTAAAAAGTGCGGCGGCGAGTGGAAAGGTAATGCGAGAGTGCTGAAGATTCATTGGTCGAGCTTGGTCAGAGCTCTAAAGGGGACTGAAGCTGTGACGCCAGTACGGAAAGACTGTTAATATCTGATACTGGTTCTATTGTTGCTAGAAATTGTCGAGTATGGTATGGGAAGTACCATAGGGCCCGGTGCTATTATGTTTAACGAAGGTCTAGGTTAAGTATTTCCTAGGTAAAATACATTATGATATTACGATGGATCACACTAAAAAGCTATGTTGATACGGCTTAACATACACCGCCGGAAATGACAACTATAATGTCCAATTTAAAGATCTTGCGCGTCTTCGATAAGAAAAGGGGATAAACATTTCCGTGGCGGTCAAGGAATGCTAACTGATACGTTAGTTATTTACGGTAGATGCCTGTTTGTGCATTATCGAAACTGCCGGTGTACCTTGTTATCTCCCGAGTTTCTTTGTGATTTCGCATACAAACTTATACCGCGTCCGGGTATTCGCGGAGTACCTGCTTAGCTCTCCCGCGGTCGAATTAGAGCACCCCACCGTAACATTTAGATCCGGGTATCACAGATCTTCTCCAGGAAAGTTGTTGGCCCTAGTGGAAATTCCACCCGTATTTTTCGAAATCGGTGGCATATAATTGGATCACCCTTATATCCAATAACTTTCATTGACTGAAAGTTCAGCTCTTTTTTTTTCTTTTTTTTTCTCCTTGTTTATTCTGGCGGCCAGGCCGTTCAGCTGGCCAGATCCAGATCTCAAAGTAAATAGGTCGTCGTAAGACCACCGAGGACATTTTATTCCTATTCTTTTGAGTCTCATTCTTTCATACTTAAGCTCTCAGTCGTTCACTACAACACTGTCTCTATTCTCCCTATCTACCTGGTACATCTGTTCGTATTCCTTATCGAGTCTTACACACGCAACGCACACGATGAACCGAGCAGCGGTGAAGCAGCTTTGCCTGTTTCATAGTGCTGTGAGCGTAGCGTCACGGCAAGCGGCGAGAAGATGGCGGCCTGGTGTAACTGAGATGAAGCAGTACAGATGGAGACAAGCAACAGGAAGTAGACCGCATCTCATCCAGACTCGATATCTCAATACAACACCAACAAGCCCAGAAGAAAATGAAGATGTGCAATCAGGCACATATAGCGAAGCCGATCATGAGCACGCTGTTATTTCAACTTTTGATCTCTTCTCGATTGGCATTGGTCCTTCCTCGTCGCATACGGTCGGACCAATGCGTGCCGGTGGCATCTTCGTTGCTGATCTGGCTGAGGCTGGCTTACTAGACAAAGTACACATGATACGCATATCGATTTATGGTAGTCTTGCTCTCACCGGCGAGGGCCAGTACGTAGCCTTTTCATCTCCTATTTATTCATGCCAGGGCCGAACATTGGACGTCTTAACTAACATTAATCTTGAACAGTATGACACCATCCGCGCTACTTCTGGGTCTTGAGAGCGCAGACGTAGAGACTGTCGACACAGCCTACGTACCTACTCGCTTTGCGCAGATAAAGGAAACCAAGAAGCTATTCTTGGGCCACGGTCTACCAGACGGTAAAGGTAAAGAAATTGACTTCAATTATGAGCGCGACTTCAAATGGGAATGGGGCAAGAAACTGCCCCTGCATAGTAATGGAATGCGCTTTATGGTCTTCGACGACCAAGGGATGCTTCTGGCAACCAACGATTTCTTTAGCGTGGGTGGAGGTTTCGTCGTGAACGGCGCGCTTTCAACGGCGACTAGTGCAGCAGCAGTATCAGCAAGGAACATTACTGATCAGCCTCAGGCTGATACGAAAGACCTTCAAACGGAAAACACAAGCAGACACCCGGCTGACTTGGCGGAGAATTTATTTTACAAGGAGATCAGACGATCAGATGCGGCGGGAGATCGCAGAACTGGCTTCGAGGTTAAGTCACTTGACGGCGACACTCCCGATGAGTCCAAGGCCGTAACGACCCCAGGGGCAGCCCCAGCAAGCTCTCCTGTCTCACCTACAGCATCAGGATCTGAAGCTGTTGGCATCGAAGCAACCTCACAGCAACCGCGCTATCCATTTCGCGACGCTCGTAGTCTCTTAGCATTATGCAATAAGCATAACTTGACTATTGCGCAATTGGTGTATGAAAACGAGAAAAGCCACGGATATACAGACGACGAGATTTATAGAAAGGTGATGAGTATCTGGCAAGTCATGGATAATAGCATATTGGAAGGTGTTCAAGCTCCGGCCGATGCCACATTACCGGGCTCGCTTAAGCTACACAGGCGGGCGCCGGGATTGTACAAACGACTAACAAGGGGGCTCTACCCTTCTCATAGTCAAGCTCCTAGCACAGCCGATCAGCAGGGTCAGTTGTCTGCTCCAAATGGCGATAATGGCGACGCATCATCTACTACTACTACAAACATATCTATATCACCAAAGTCGAAAACGCTGGGACTAGGAAGTATTACCAAGAAAGGCCCTAAGCGCATGATCGGTTCCATCTATCACCCAGTTATGCCGTCGCCTCCGCGTCGTACTACATTTCCCGCCATGGATTATCTAACCGTCTACGCAATTGCTGTCAACGAAACTAACGCGGCTGGGGGTCGGATCGTAACTGCACCAACCAACGGCGCCGCAGGTATTATCCCGGCCGTGCTCAAGTACACAGTCGAGTTCATTAGCGACGATCCGGAGCGCGACGTCCTGACTTTTCTCCTCACCGCGGCGGCAATTGGCATGCTATATAAGCGTGGTGCCACCATCTCGGCGGCTGAGGGGGGCTGCATGGCTGAGGTCGGCGTAGCCTGCTCGATGGCAGCCGGGGCATTTGCAGCCTGCATGGGCGCCAGCCCCGAGACGATCGAACAGGCGGCCGAGATTGGGATTGAGCATAACCTCGGGTTGACGTGCGATCCTATCGGGGGCTTAGTTCAGGCCCCGTGCATCGAGCGCAATGCCCTAGGCGCGATCAAGGCGATCTCGAGCGCGAACCTGGCTCTCAGCAGCGAGGCTAGCGCTTCGAAAGTCAGGCTCGACGACGCTATCCGCGCCATGCGCGTTACTGCCCAAGGCATGCGGAACGAATTCAAGGAGACGAGCCTGAGCGGACTGGCTACGAGCGTACCGCTTAATATCCCCGTCAGTGTACCTGACTGCTGATGGACAGTGGTCGGTCTGCTACTTCGACTATTTCTTTCTATGTCCTCAAGTGTGAGAAGGGCACAAATACGTTCACCATATAATATTTGGTTGAGCTTTTCGATCTATGCTCAAGACCGTCTATCGCGACCTTTTTAAAAGCTTTCATTTGTTGGCATAAATGCAGTATATACCTGTGCCCTTCTCGCACTCGAGGACATACGTACACAATAAAACAAGGGGAAAACACAACTGAGGCAAGCGGGCTTGGAGGCGATAGGTAACCCGCTCACGGTTCTATAAAAATAGATATAGAGATGCGCGCAAGTCATTACGTTGGAGTCCGGGTAGAGCGAGCGTTCAGATAAATACCTAACAATAGAGGTAATGGTACCTATAGATTTTATAGAACGCAACTTAATTATTCTGTCCTTTTCGGATCAGATGAATCGATATGTTTGACGATTCAGTACAGCCCTGGTACGGTACGCACCTAAGTAAGCAAAACGATGTCCCTCTACCCAGACTAGGACTCTACGCCTCATCCTTCCGACGTTGGAATATATGTCCTAATTGAGTTTCAACCTCCGATAGGAATCTTACGTATCGTGCTCACAGCTGTGGAACGTCTGCGCAGGTCGGGTGCGCTGCCCTGCCTGATATGCGCATCGTTGATCCCGGGTGTCAGGTAAGCTTACCTCTCATCCGATGCTGCTTGATTGGACGAATTCGTCGGTATATATGTTAAGTACCTCCTAGACATACGGTGGCGCTTCCTTAAGCGGCTCATATCTGGAAGAAGGAATCGAGAGCCTTACAGCCAGCCGCGTAGTCCACATGCTCACAATGATGCCATTTAGGTAGATCCTCTCGTATTTTCCCGCTCTTAGAACCATGTGTGCGACTTTCATCGTACGCCGCTGGAGCAGCCTGGGTTTGACGATGGAAGGAGGTCAAATGCATAATCTAAACCATGTATGGTGGTGGCTTGCTGATCATCATGGGCAAAAAGGAAACATGGCTCTCTCTATCGATCCTACGTTAGAGGTTGGTGTTTATAAGAGGTAGGTAGGTTTAGGTAGGTAGGTATGTACCATTAATTCAGAGGGCTACCATAGCATATTAATCTTATTATTATTATAACTTATATCTCTTCCCACACTCGCATTTCGCACGCCTTAACTACCTACCTACCTACCTGACCTAACAACTTCCGTGTCCCTGGCTTTAAAAATATAAGAATATAATATAGGCACCTACCTAAACATGTCTATCCCACTTTCACAATTCGCCCCCGCGCAGGACACCATCGATGACAGAAACCCATCCTTCGACACGCACAGCGACGACAGCGACGACAACGACGACAACGACGACGAAGGATCAATAGCCCCGACACTCGCGGAGCATGAGCCGTTCATCACAGATAGCCTCCCCAAGCGCGATGACACGTCTGGTACCCTTGAGTCCCAGCAGACGAGCGGCGGCGCAAACCGCTCGGCACTATACGGCGGGCTTGCGACGGTCGGGGTTGGGCTTGCAAGTTCCTCGCGGGCGGGGTAATTCTCACTATATGGACCACGGCCATTATGGCGATTATGGTGTTCTTTACGAAATTCATTCTTGCGCTGTGGAAGAAGATTGGTTTGATATAAGGTTGGTTGGAGAAGTTCTTCTACGTTTAGTCTGACTGGGGACCGGGGGAAGAAATACACTGCGTAATCTGGAGTTAGCTAGGAAGGTTTGGGATAATCATTTCGGACATATCGGCGCGTTTAGAGATAGAATTATTGGGTTTTGAAGTTATGTTGATTCATTATATCCATTATATCCATTTATATGTGTATTAAGTAATCGCAAGAATATCTTCAGATGATCAGGTAGCTCGTAGCCAGGAGTACCTGAGTTAGGTATGTACCTGCTGTTATATCATCCTCTAAATTTGTATGTATTATCCAAGATCCCAGGTATCGTTGATGCGTATCAAAACCCAAAATGCGAGTTATCCCGTCCAATACGTCACCCATACCGAAAAAAAAAAAAGAAAAGCTTAACCTCAGCAAACCTCCACTACTCAGCAGGCTTTTCCGAGGGCTTATTACCCTCTCTGTTTGGTCGCAGGCTCTGAAGGCCCGTCTTATGTTCTTGGTGCTGAGTGCTGAGCTTTCTCTGGCTGACGAATGGGCTGATGAGAAGTCCTACGCCGGCGATCGCTGCGTACATGATGTACATATCGCGCAAACTGTACCAGTAAGCCGCGCGGGCTATTTCGCCCTGGGTGCCGGGTAGGGAGGCTACAAGGCCAACGTTGCCACCGGCACTGCCACCAGAAAGTTGGTTGGCTAGCTCTGGCCCAAGCTGGGCCAGAAGAGTTGGATACTGTTTCTCCATTCCGTTCTGGAACACCACACCGCCAATGACGACAGATATAGACGTCGAGAGTTGACGCACGAATCCAAAAGTCGATGTTACCGCGGCAATATCGCGAGGTTCGACCGTCGTTTGTAAGGCGATGAGTGGCGATTGGAAGTTGGGTCCCACGCCGATACCAGCAATAATTTGGAAGATGATGATCTTGGCCCAGTTTTCTTGGGCACCGAGATCGATAAATAGCCCAAATCCCAGTGTCATGAAGAACATGCCAAAGATGATGGCTGGTAGATATTTACCAGTCTTCTTCATAAAAATACCTGAGGCGATCGACATAAACGAAAGCGAGAGCACATATGGTAATATGTAAACGCCAGAGAGTAGCGACGACACACCCAAAACTGCCTGGAAGTACAACGGCAAGTAGTAGCTTCCGGATATGAAAACAGCGCCGTGAACCAAGCAGATGGCGAAAGTCGATATGTTCTTCCCAAACTGGAAGAGCCGCAGCGGAATGACGGGGTACTTGGCGTACCACTTCTCAACGGCAACGAATATGCCGACGGTGACAACACCGAACACAATCAGACATATAGTCTGTGCCGAATTCCAGGGGTACGTAACACCGCCGAATTCTAACCCGAACAAGAACATTAAAGTGCCGCCGACAATCAGGAGACTACCTAACCAATCGATAGCAGCCAAGCCCTCCCTGACGGAGGTTCGCGGGTTGTGCAATTTGAGCACAAATAGGAGGACGAAAAAGCCCACGCCGCTAATGGGCAAGTTCACGTAGAAACACCAACGCCAAGTGACCTTGGAAGTAAAGACACCACCCAAGACGGGTCCAATCGCAGAAGCTATAGCCCAGACCATGCCGAAGAAAGCATAATACATGCCTCGCTTGCGGATGGAGAACAAATCGCTAACACAGATATTAGTGAGCACGACGATGCCACCGCCACCAATACCTTGAATGGCACGGGCGGCGATCAGCATGCCGATGTTGATACTCAAGGCGCATATCAGAGAACCGATCCAGAAGATGGCGACAGACGCCAAGAGGACCGGCTTGCGGCCCCAGATATCGCTGATCTTACCCCAGCTGGGGACCGTAGCGCTGTTCGCTAGCAGATAAGCGGCACCGATCCAGGTGTAACCGGCCGGGGACTGGAATTGCTCGGTGATGGTGGGGATCGCAGTAGTAACGATGGTGACGTCGAGGGCAGCAAGAAACAACGCCGAGCACAGCGCGAAGATGATAATGGTCGTTTGAAACTTGGTGCGTCCGGCCTCGGGCTCCGCAGGTTGGGCATCGGGATCGGGGGGTGCCGCGCCCTCGGGCCTGGCATTATCTGGTCGGCCAGGGGCCGCAGGGGCGGCAGCGTGCATGTTTCCACTCCCCGAAGAATCCTCGCCTTGCGCGGTGCTCGCCAAGGAGCTCCGGCGCGTGTTGTGGCTAGACGACTTGGCGCCCTTCTCTAAATCGGGGTTCTCGTCATCGCGGACGTTCAGCGTGGCGGCTTCAGGGTCCGGCATGATTCCGGACGCAGAAATCAAAAACGCTCGAAGACGTTACTTTAGGTTAGGTAGGTACCTAAGGTAAGCCAAGCAAATCTTCGTTGGTGGCGTCAACTAACGATGTACGCCTGTCTAAGCTTTGTTGGTGAAGTAAAGAAAGAAAGAAAAGAGCAAACGGGATACGCTATTTGCCTAGATTTTGACAGCTCAAAAGCAGACTAAAATAATAAAAAATAAAAAATATTATCTCCGAGCCGGGGAACTAGCCGAACCTAACCTGTAAACGTAGTAGTACCTAGTTCTTATAGCGGTGATCCTGTATAATGGACAAGGGGTATATATTTGTATGTAATAGCGGAGCCGAAGACATGAGATCTATAGCAAGATCGATGACGGGTTCAGCGTTTCCTTACGACACTGATTGATTTATTTAGCGTTGCCAGAACGATAGTAGAGTTCAGAGAATAAATAAATTCATGACCTATGATGATAAAGATGATGATGCTGCTGCTGATGATGATGATAATGATTTATTTATGGAGCCTAGGTAGGTAGGGAGTTAAACGTAGTTAACCAATATGATCTTGTATGGATAGGCTCTTTAGGCCGAAATGTTGTTGTACTTTTTCATCCTCCCATTGAATGTGCGGTTGGGGGGGAAGAAGTTTCATTTGGGTAATATCCGGAGCGCTGATGCGAAGAGGCGAAAGAGCGAGGAATTGATAGAAACCCGGCAAAACTTATGGGTAAGGGGGCCTTTTTTTTTTTTTTTTTTTTTCTTGTTGGGTCCGGCTGGTCCCGGTCGGTGAAGACCCGGTTGTTATTCTAAAAGCGAGAATGGTTAAAATATGGAACCCCGTACTAAGTCTTTGATTGGCTGGATTGTCTTAGGTAAGGTATTTGCCGGCCGGCAACTCTATCATTGTACAAGACTATGGGAGTGTGCCACTCATGAGTCACGTGGCTCCTTTGCTCACTCTTAAGCGTGAGTGATTGTTTGTTAGAAAAAAAAACTTCTTTTTCATTTTACATGCCTACAATAAACATACCTCAAGAATTTAGGATTAGATACTTATAACCCTAGGTATAGATAAAACGAAGTACGTACATATGTACATTTTAAGTTACTATTAAATTACTTCCACGCACGAACAGTTACGCGTTCTTCGTTTCACTTCGCGTTTTGACCACCTTTCCCTGCGTCAACCCACATACGAAGTAGTAAGTCTTAAGTTTATCGCGACTCGCGCTCGCGAGCGCGAGTCGTAGACTAAATCAACTAGTCAAACATCAGAACAAACTACAATGCGCGCGAGGTTACAATTTAATTTTCATTCGACGTTTTATTTCAAGTCTATACGAAGTAATTGAAAAGCTAATCCCAGCTCACCTTCTATCTTCGCTCTATAGCCACCTAACCTCCCAGGTAATACTTTTACAAAAAGAAAAGTACTCATATATATTGATTACAGCTGTGTAGGTTCTGCATACACGCTGTCCGTTTTCCACATATCAATAAAATGGCCAACGCGATCCTTCACCGGAGCGTGTTTCCTATTGTCCCGCATCGCATCCCACTGCATGTACATCAACACGTGCATGAGCAGCCAGGCCGCGTCGCACGGGCTCGCCTCTCCTAGCCAATATGCCAGGTTTCTCGGCGCCTCGGCCGGATCTCTGAGCCTCGCTAGCATCCGGAGTATGAACCGCGTGTAGAAGTGATTCACGTTCCAGTCCTTCCGGGCCGGGGACTCTTCCAACTCCCACATTCCGTCTTTGGCGTGCGTGTGCGCGAGCTTGTGGACCGTCGCCCATTCGCCCACGGGCAGGTCCCATCGCCCTTCTATATACGTCTCGGCGAACTCGACGAACGAGTTGAGAAGCGCCGGGTGCGTGAATAGGTTCTGCATCCGCTGCCTGCCGATCAAGGTGTCGCCGAGGCCGAGGAGAGGTGCCAGCTCCGCTGCGACCGTGTCCAGATGCGGTAGCTTCTTCTTGTAGACGAGTCGGACTTCGTTCTTGATCTCTTCGGGCTCGTCCATCCAAGGGCGAAGCACTCGTTTGTCGTGCTCCCGCCAGGGGTTCAGTCGAATGCTTGAGCTTTGCGTAGATGTGTTAGTGCTCATTGTGCTGTATTATATCGATGATTAGGTACTGGTTGATGTTGGGTAGGTAATTGGTATTCCAGTGGTCACCTAGGTAGTAAAGCTGCCTCTTATATGGTTACAGGCTCTTTGTCTCACGAAACTCTGTAGACAATAACTGTCTTCTTTACTTGCTTTCCAGTGAGTTCATTGTCTGGATGTACCCCTTTCATGCTAATAAAAGGAACAATAGCATTCTTCTTAGGGGTTCTCTTTACATATAAATCTTTCATTCACATCATGGCCTGTCGTGGAACCTTAGCGAATAGCATCCCGATGACTTAAGGTTGCACATATTAGATTATAGAAACCTATTTGAAGTACAGAACAGGTACCTAGGTTGGACCATATGGTATTCTACTTAAAATAGGAGCAAACCGCCATACGAAGCCAGTTCACTCTCAGTCTTCGCAGCACACTAATTTGTGTCTGCATGGAGTTTCAAGACTTGTACTTGATATATGCATCTCCTGCTTTCGGACTAGAAATACAACTCTAAAGCACGTAACGCATTATACCTTCTCTGAGCTTCTTCGCTTACTTGTCCTATCTGGCTCATTGCCTTGTGGTACTCGTTGACTAAGACCAGAGGATTTTCCATAAGGGGTTTCACGTAGGCCTCATGTTCAAACTGAAGTTTAGTGTATAGGAGAAAGGCTGCGGTCCACTTGTCTGAGCTTCCCCAGTGCTGATAGAACGGCTGAACCTTACCAAGGGTATTGGCGTAATTTATTTGCCTCTCGAGGAAGTCCGTATTCTTATTGACCATCTCACCCCTATCGATCACGTCACTTTCTATGTGCTCCCGATAGTTGAGAAGCCTCAACACAAACCCAACGGCGAAGTCGAGTGGTTTCCAGGGCGACTTATTAATCAATACCTCCGGCCTGACGTGCATGTAATCAACGAGCATGTCCACGTGGTTGAAAAGAAATTGCATCCCGTAAACTACTTCCGCCCACGTTGGAAAGGGGGCAAGCGGAAATATAGCGACTCCCGTCAGGTATGCCATCCGGGCTGCTTCATACTCTGGACAGTCGTAGAAATATGCAAAGTCTTGGAGTGTCCACTCTACCTCTCGCCACTCGCTAGGTGGAGGGGTGTGGTCTGTTCGGCCATATAACCTGAAGTAAAGTGAGGCTGAGCCTTGTGCAAGGCCCTGTTCCAAGTTCCTTTGGAGGTGTTGCCAAAACGGCTCTTGGCCTAAATCCAAGTGAGGCGGGGGGTTTGCCATTTTAAGATCTAGTTTCAAAACGCTATTGTTAAGTATGTAGTGTTGATACGAATGAGTCTTCATCAATGGTCAGGAGTAGGTAGCATTTAAGTGGTGTCTTGTCTGCCTTATAATAAATGCAAACAGCCGCTGTTTTCACACGTTGCGATACAGCGTATTAGAACAAAGAGGCTGATTTCGTGTATTTGGTAATTACAAAGATCTGAAGAAATACTATAGCCGAGACAAGTCTACCATCACTCATAACTTTCGACTTAGTTGTTTAAGATCAAGTCCTTGAATCCATAGGATAGCATGAGCGTTGTCATCACTTAGAAGCAACAAATTACCTATCATTACCTACACCTAGTTCGATAACGATGAAGTGTTTTTGAATCAAGGCGAACTAGACGCAGGGAGGAGATATAGAGAACTGATTCGCTACACCACCAAAGGGTAGAATGACGCCAGGGTAGAACGACGGCAATTCGAGGAGGTCCTGGGGGTTGACGTTGCTGTCTCCAACTGTAAGGACTCCACACGTACTGTGCCGTGACGCTTTGCTGATAGAAGGCTAGGCGTTACTAGATAATCAAAGGTTAGGTACCTAGGTAGGAGGTAGGTATATCAATATTGTACCTTAACATTTAACTATATGGCATCTATCATGGGAATAAAGTGACATTATCTGATGGTAAGTACGATTAACGCTCACCTGTTATCGAGAATTTATAATAAGGTTCTTATATTTACTCGTTTATCTATTTCTGGTGAAATGGTCAACTTTCCCAAAAGGTGACAAGAGTTACGATAACCTCTTATAGATGCCCAAAGCGCTAAGCCTAGGTACTAACACCTACCCACCTAAGAGGTACGCTTACCTACAGGCGCCAAAGAGGCATCAAGTCGGGTATCCAATATAATCTGTTATGTTCTTAAGTAGCATCGTATAGTTCAATGCGGCTGAAAATATTTATCGCACAACCGGCATCTATCTTTCCAATTTTGGGATTCCTGGAGCAGCTGAAAGAATGCATCAATACCCACCATGAAAATACATGGCTTGGTGTTATCCCGTCGATCAGTTCTGTAATTAAAAGGCCTTTCCTTAAACAAGTTAAGCTAGAGTTCTAGTCCTGTGAGAAATGAGAACTATAAATTACCTCCTAGAGAAATCCCCGAAGTTATTGAGCTCGCGGTTGATGCCATTTTGGTGATGAGAGGGTAGTATATCACAAGCCTTGTAGTCCGAACACCTTTACATGCACTACGTCGAGTCGAGATGCAGAAGTTGGACATTCAAGGTACCTAATTCGAAACCTGTATAGATGACCGAACATAGCTGACTTGTCAACAGACCATGACGCTTACTGGGAAGATGACCCAGACATGCGAGACAAGACCAAATACTATATGGAATGGGCTATGCAAGTTATCAACAACTCCGACAATCAGATTTTCGGAACGGGAATCAGACACCCTTGGCAAGAATATGGCTTTGACATCAATTCCAACATCAGCATTTTCGAGCTGGAAGGAGATCATCGTGACAAATCCCCTATTCAATTTGGTGATGCAAAGGACATGCTCATGTATTGGGAGAATACTCCTAAAGATGGTACAGCCGAGAAAACGAATCGGCGGGTAATTCTCGTTCAGGACATGCATCCTCGAGTAGTCAAGCTCCTGGGCGTTCTATTGGATATCCCGCCTCGCTTTTTCCTGGCCCATTGCGATGGGTTTGTGGATCTGAGTATTATTGATGGTGCATTTGCGAAGAAGAACAGATCGACCTACTGGAAGGTCGCAGTACCGCGATGGCGTGTTACGCCCAATACCATACCTCCAGGGCAATATTACATCGAAGCTGGAAATTTCACCCGCCAAGAACTTCACAAGAAACCCCAAACGACATACATCACTCTTAAAAGCCTTGTATCATACTGGGGGAAGAGCTATGAACCTGATTCCTGGACTGGTATGTGAAGTCTTTTCTCTACGTTACCTTAGGTTCCTACATTAGATAGCAAGTGAAAAAATGCTAATGATAGAGCTCCATAGCCGTGGTCTTGATGGATCCGTTTAAAACGTATGTTCGTCCGAAATTTCCTGAATCTTCAGACGGGCCTGCCTGCTACGAGTTGCCCGAAATTAAATTCACACGAGAATTTGTGCAGGAAGTCCTGAACACGGGTATCAGGTCAGATGGCCCTCAGTCCTCGCGGCGATCCACCTTCGACGCCGCTGTCGCGACTTACGGCGAAGAATTAGACAGCCTACCACATACGAAAGATCCTTTCACAGGCACAGCATATATTCGGAATATCATCCGTTCTACTTGGGAATCCTTCGTCGTTCGTCGCTCGAGAGAGGTGCACGATCTGATTTTCGACGACCAGATGGAACACGCCACCATTAGTAGAGGTTGATCGAAAATGTTTGCTCGGGATACGGACATAATTGTCTCGTATCAGGATCTCATGGAGGAACGGCAGTTGATTCAAGAAGAGAAGAACCTGGTCAATGCAATCATGTGGGAATTCCGGTGCAGGGATACCATCCCTCCGCCGAGGCACTCTGACGATCCAGAAGATATCGACGAGCAGGAACGCATACGAGACAGTCTGGAACAAGAAAGGAAATCATGGGCGATGATTTACGAGGAGCTCGCGAGGGCAGAGTCAACTATCGTCGAGCACATGGAGATGTGGTCGCTGCGCGCGACCTTAGAGCAAACCGCGGCAGCTAACAGACTGGCGCGAACTTCAGGACAGCTGACTAAGATCGCGACGATTATCGTCCCGTGCTCCTTCGTCGCATCTATCTTCTCCATGGGCGGAAGCTTCGCAGCGGGCGAAGAGTATTTCTTTGTCTACTGGACAATCTCCATACCGGTGACCGTCGCGCTGCTCGCTTGGGTGCTTTACAGAGATATTCAAGAGGTTTATGAGAAAATCAGAGAAATGGAACTCTTGCGTCGCGCACGGCGGTTCCGCCTTAGGCGTAACGTCGTCGAAGATGCTGAAAAGGAAGCTTAGTATGCATAAATGCCCGAGTTATGATCATTCTCTTATTATAACTTGGGAAGTAACTGAGCTAAAAGTTCCATTGGGTGTCTTGTGACGTTGCTTCTTCAGTATATCAACTATCAGGGAGCAAGTCCTAAACCATTGTGAACAAAGTGCCCATCCCTTTCCAAGAGTCCCTTAGGTACATGTTACTCACTACAGGAAAGGGGGTATTACATGTGTTGGATTGCCACATTTACCCCACAGGCACCATTAGCGTCATTGCTATAGCATCCAGGGATCAATATCATAATCCCCTGAGTTAGGTATGTCGATTGGATATCTCCCGGTTTATTTAACCAGCGAGCATACTACGCGGGCCATCAAATCGGAGTAGACCCTTATTGATACAGATTCAACTATGACTAGAATGGCCTAACTAGAAGGAAATACCTAAAGCCATACGAAGGCGATCTGCAAAATGAAGCCCGGTATCACGGTATGCAAGATTGTGGTTACGTTCATATATATCTCACGCAGAGCTTGCCAATATAGCCGAGAACTACCCCCCTCTGCATGGGATACGGCATATTGCTCGGGTGCTTCGCGAACGGTTTTATCGAGAACTGGCTATCTATACCCTTATTTAAACCTGCTCATTCGCACCAGATATACTTATTTCGTCGGTTTAGTTCGACTTGTTAAGAGATGCGTCTTCATTTATTGAAACCCTAGTTACCACACTGGTTTCTACGAATAACAGGCAGAGTTCACGATGTTCGGACCGAGCACTAGAGGGGTCACTGCGGCCCTGTCAATTCTAGCAATTACTACTACAGTCGTGGTCTCAGCAGAGTGTACCCGTGAAGGATTGCTAGCCGCAGCGAATAGCTACATCGCAGCACAAACTAGTGGGAGCATTGACGGGCTCAAACTATCCGCCACCAACTTCACTTATCAGCTGAACAACAAGGTCGCGGACATCAAGACCGGGGTATTAAGCCAGCCCCTGAAGATAGACCTCAACCGCTCCACAGCAGACACCGTAGCATGCGCCAGCTACACGATGCTGATCTCGGCGTCCGGATCCAAGCCGTACGTCATCTCGACGCAGATCCGGCACCCGGACAACGACACGGGCACGATCTCGCTCATCGACACCGTCGCCGCGACCACCGGCGCGCTGTTCTTCAACGCGCCCAAGACGCTGGGGTACATCCAGAAGGAGAACTGGGGCACGCTCGAGGAGGGGCAGAGGGTGGACAGGCAGGAGCTGAAGCGCGTGGGCGACGCGTACCTGGACATGTGGACGGACGCCAAGGCGGCGGACTCGATCCCCTGGGGCACGGACTGCGAGCGCGTCGAAGGGTCGCAGCTGACGCGGCCGTGCGGGGCGACGCTGCCCCGCGGCGGGAGCCAGAGGCCGAACGGCAACCGGCGGTACGTCATCGACGAGACGGTGGGGTCGGTCGACGTGCTTTGCTCCTTCGACTCGCTGGGGAACATGCCGGATTCGCACGAGGTGAGGGTCGAGGGCGGCAAGGTCAAATATGTTCATACTGTTACGGTTCTGCAGTAAATACCAGGTAACAAGTACCTAGGAGCTGAGGGGGTACGTAAGTTAGTTACGAGGTAGCCAGCAATCGAGATATCGGGTCTGCGTTCGTCGACCTAATGCGTGTCCAAGGTGGTTTACGGCAGCTGAGTCCTCACATAGACCATGTCTAAAGGCGGCAACTTCGGAGACTTCAATGAAAGGTATCTATACCGTAGATGCATGAGGTGAGATGTAAGACATACAGCTAGCCACTGGACTTGTGGCTTTTGTGAATCAGCACTTGCAGCCCCCAGCAGCTGCGGATGAAGGTATCCGCAGGACGGCTTACTTTTATTTGCTTTTAATTGATGTAATTGGTTTTCTATAGCAACCTTTCCCCAGATTGTTTCAAGCCACCCCATAGGGCTTGGTGGTGCAACTGATATGTAAAAGTCTGCAGTCCAGCAGGCTTAATTCAGCTCAATACATACAATTAGGCGGAGTCTGCCGGTCTCGCTCGCATTGCCGGAAGTCTTGAGGCTGGCTCATGGATAGCACAACGCGTGAAGCACTCAGCAGATACCGTTATATCTCCTGATGATTTACTATAAGCTGGGTTACTCTAGGTGGGCATCATGTTTGTTTAGTTAACCTACCTCTGAGGCTCAAAGATGATTGTATGATTCATTGTGTATTCTGTTACTATGCTCGACTTTATGATGCCCCTTGACTCTTCACATGGTATAATGATGTATGCAAGCGGTGGACTTGGAAGGTTGCGATGGGTTAATTCGATTATCCCTGGCCACGTACCTACGTAAGACATTGTTTTCACAAAGGCAATACCTGAGGACTTATCTAGAAAGCATTTTAATAGCCTTCTCGGTCTGCTATCAGCTAGGTATGTGCTCGCCAGTCTCCGCATAGGGGTTTCACAGCAGTAGGGACTTAACTCTTCACCGACTTACATTGGCAAGAAATGGCGTAGTCGGTCTAATCAGGGTCAATAGTCGTTAGTTAGCAATGATCTTTCTACTTTCGTCTTCCCTTTACCGACTCGGAGTTCCACGTAACATCAAGTTGTAAAGAAACCGTACTTGTGTAGAACTCGGTATAAAGTATAAAGGTTCGAGCTCAAAATCCCACGAAACTCAATTTGGCTTCAACTCATAGACAAATCCTATATATACCATCTTAGAAGGTTAGACAGATATACATCCACTTGATGATCCGTCAGATATTTCTATTGGGCTTCCTTGCCCTGGCCAACGCGGCCAAAGTTATGCAAGACCTGCCTACGTTGAAGCTACCATGGGGCACTTGGCAAGCTACAGTCTATGAAGAGGATGACAAAGTAAGGAGAACGAGTTCACCTTCATACTAAAGAAGTCATGGGTTCTGACACTATTCCAGATCTACCTCTTCCGTAATGTCCGCTTTGGAGCACCACCGGAACGCTTCGGCCGCCCTTCCTTCCCAGACGAGAAAAGCGATGCACTGCAGACCATCGCACAGGACATTAGTTGTATCCAGTTAGATACCTCGTCAATGAAGAATCCCCCAGGAGGCGACAAGCCCATCGGGGACCCGAGGAACGACGATGTCTTGGAAACCGAAGACTGCCTTTTCCTGGACGTATATGTTCCCGTCTCCGCCTTTGGGTCTGATATTACGGATCTTTTGCCAGTTATCGTATGGATAAACGGGGGTGCCTACGCGGCTGGAAGTAAAAATCCTTCCGGTCCGATCGCTAGCGGGCGGTCGATCCTGAACGCATCCGAATACCAAACGATTTTCATCGAAGGAAACTATCGTCTTGGCGCGTTTGGGTGGCTTGCAGGTGATTACATGCAACAGGTTGGACAGCCCAATGCCGGCTTGTATGACCAGGCTCTGCTGTTTGAGTGGGCACAGGAGTACGTCGAACTAGTTAAAGGGGACAAAGATCGAGTCACCGCCTGGGGCGAGTCTGCTGGCGCCGGATCAGTCCTGCACCACCTCATCCGCGAGGATGGTACGAAAGACCCTCTCTTCAGGACTTTCGCGATCCAGAGTCCTGCTTTCCAATGGGCTTGGGATAATTCTCCAGGTGGCACTCTCGACACTGTCTATCGAAACTTCTCCGACTTTGCGGGATGCGGCTTTGAATTTGACATTGACTGTCTAAGAAAGGCGCCCGAGGAAGACCTAAGACGTGCCAATCAACTGATTTTCCGGTCTTTCCCTTTGACTGGCCTCTTTCCGGTAGGGCCAGCAGTGGACGGGGGCTGGGTTAAGTCTATACCCACGGCGGCATTTTCACAAGGTAAGATGACCAATATTAATCCCCATTCAGGCTACCGTAGAGGAAGTTCGCCTAGTACTGACATGAATTTGAATTAAGCAAGTTCTGGCATGACATTGACTCTGCTATTATATCTCATTGCGCAAATGAGTCTTTCGGTTTCACTCCCGTGGTTACCAACGAAACAGAGTTCGATCAAATTCTGGAAAACTTCTTTCCTGGCTCTCGCCTAAAGCCCCAGAGAGATGCAGTTAAAGAGTACTATAACTGCGAGGAGCTTTATGACGGCGACTTTTACGCCTGCCTTTCCGCCATCGTCCGGGAGTCGTCATTTACATGCAATACCAGAGACCTGTTCGAGGCGTACCCAGCGGAGTCATATATGATGCGATACTCATTTCCGCAGTCCTCTGTCGCCTTTCACGCATCCGACCTGTACCCTTTATTCACAAAGAACGCCGAGGAAGTCATCGCCGCGCTAAACGGTTCAATAGGCGAAGAGAACGCGACATTATATGCGAACCTGCTCTACGGCCTCAAGATCCCAGAAGCATATAAGAACTATTTTGCTTCATTTGCTCTCACTGGCGATCCGAACGAAGGTCTCTTGAGCCCTCCTTATGAACAGTGGCCAGTTGCAAATGGAAGTAGCGAGCTTCTCTCCAACGTTATGAAAGTATCCCTTATTTTTAGCCTTACCACAGATGACCAGAACTCGAAGAGCAACTGCTCGTTTTGGACAGAAATTGCCAAGGAACTCAGCGGAGGACTAGAAGGTCATGGTGGAATGGCGGTTCAAACCCAAGTCCTAAGCGACTCCTTGGAACTCTAATCTCCTAGAGAGCAAGTTATCATTGAGCTAAGGTACCCGAGGTCTACATGAGGTCTAAGCTATAGTGTCAAGTAGGTATATAGTAAACGAATAGGAATCTCAGAGTGTATATCTACCTTAGACATATCATTTAGTATCCGATCTTGTTCGGGATAATGTATCAAGCCAGCTCGTCCAAAGAAATTGGGAAGTTTGTCGGTGCGCAACACTCTAAGCTATTTTATTAAGTGCACTGTCGACGAAGAAATGTTTCATTGGTTGCGTCCTTAGGTACATATCGTTTGTAAACTCGGGCATCCTAAACGAGTTCGGGCAATATCCCGAACGACTTATTTACCACACGTGCGGCATGTCAAAGATCATAACGCCCTGCTTTATGTTAGCCACGGTCCTCCGGTCACAGCTGTCTAGCCTACGGCTTCATGACACCGAACTGCTCCTAGCCAGGAGACTGAACAGGGAAAAACAAGTTGGGGCATATCTGGTAATCATTTGGGTCATATTTCTTGTTTTTCACTAAATTTTCCACATCATCAAAGAACTCGTCCTCTTTCGGGAGCATAAATCTCTCAGCTTACCTATATATAGATCAGAGGGAGGCCATCAGAATGGATAGAAAATGTGTCTAAAGAACTTTCGAATTAGTACAACGCGTTGCTACAGGCCGGAGATCGGATATCGTCGGAGGTACTAGCAAAGTATACTCGGCAACTTTATTCGGCATCTTTACTCGGCTTAAAGCGGAGAACAATTAAGGCCGACGAAGACGTGATTGTCTCCGCTTGGAGACTCACTCAATCTCACCTCGATAGTAAAAAGAACTGATAATAAGAAAATACGTGTGAAATCAAATTAAGACAATAGTAACTACCGTCAGTCTTCGATTCCCTGATCTCATCATGGCTCCGTTGAAAGTTGCAGTGTTAGATGACTACCAAAAAGCCTCTGAGAACCCGTTCAAAGACCTACCCTCTTCCGAGTATGAGGTGACGATATTCACCGATACCCTGCTTCCCTACAACCATCCTAATACTCCTCAAGATGCCAAAGATGCTTTAGTAAAGCGTCTTGAGCCGTTCGAGGTCATTTGTAGGTCTTCCTCGAGAATCAGTATGGACAAGCAAGATAGGCATCTGGGTTAACTAACAATTTCAGCGACAATGAGAGAGCGGACACCATTCCCGGAAGAGCTTATTAACCGGCTCCCAAATTTGAAACTACTCCTCACGACTGGTCCTCGCAATGCATCTCTTGATGTGCAGGCATGTTCTCGGCGTGGCATCCCCGTGGCTGGTACTGGTGGAAAGGGGCTCAGTCCAGACTCTACGACGCAGCATTGTGTTGCCTTAATCCTTGCACTTGCAAGAAATATCCCACAAGACGATGCTGTTATGAAATCCGGGGGTTGGCAAACAACCTTCGCCACTGGCTTAGCAGGGAAGGTGTACGGCAGCATCGGGCTGGGTAGACTAGGTGTATCCATCTCGAAAATCATGCACATAGCTTTCGGGATGAAAATTGTGGCGTGGAGTACTAACTTGACCCAAGAAGCTGCCGATGAGAAGGCAAAATCTGCTGGGCTACCTGTCGAGGACGAAAACGGAGAAAAGACATTCAAAGTAGTGAGTCGGGATGAATTGTTCTCCTCGGCGGATGTTGCTACTGTCCAACTAGTCCTGTCGGACCGATCGAGGGGTCTCATAACAGCAAATGACCTCAGGAAGATGAAGAAATCAGCATTGTTCATAAACACTTCACGCGGGCCGATAGTAGTGGAAGAGGACCTACTTGAAGTTGCTAAGAAGGGACCGATACGCGGCATTGGTATTGATGTGTACGGAGTCGAGCCATTGCCAACGGATAGCGAGTGGAGGACGACAAGATGGGGAGAGGAAGGTAGAAGTCGGGTGGTGCTAACACCGCACATGGGATATGTGCAGGAGGAGGTTATTGAAGAATGGTATCGACAGCAGGTTCAAAACATACTCCGATGGAAGAAAGGAGAACCACTGGATGCACTTTTTAGTGAGAATGGGTACTAATCATAGGTACATACCTTAGGTGCCTATCAAGTGGTTTATAGCTGGAAAGTACAACTGGAAGTTGCAGTATCCTCCTTTTCATGGACGCCAATAGCGTTAGAAGAGATACCAGGTACCTTAGGTACCTACCTAATGATTGGAGACAGGCTAGGTAGCTGCGGATTGATGTTAACAGTACCTGCCTTACGGTTTTAGGTACTTGTTACTTGTTTGAACTACGGCGTTGCAACTTCCCAAAGTGATTTCGCTTCATACGTCCTAGTTTCCTAAGCGTTTTACAACATTTCCCATTATTAAATAATCGTGCTTCCCTTTCATTTCCCTACCACATATCATCACTTAGGTATCCATACCACCAATTTTCGTGTGCACTCTTCGGCCAGGCATTGTCACTTCTTGACGTTGTGTGGACTTGAAAGGTACCATGGAGGCACATGGAAATGCGTCCCAGGTACATGTACCTAATAAAGGGACGTCAGGTAAAGGTAAGAAACCATTTTTTATTACCAAAAATACCTTATATAGCCACTCCGTTCGAAATATCTATTCGAGTTGAGGTTTGGTCTTTGAGCTCACCAATTCTAGATTCACCCTTCAGTGCTGGCTTCAAGGCCTTTCTCACCGACGCGGCTAAGACAGCTGGTCCGACCTTAGCTTCCAATGGGGAATCTGATTCCTCACTAACACACGCAGGTTTTGTCGTCGATCTTGAAAGCAGTGACCCCGCTGGTCAGCCTGGACCGGGTAGCGGCAATGAGGGCAGTTGCTATATCAAGCAAGAAGTTCCCAGATTCTCATTGGAGGGCACAACTGCCCCTGAAGGCACGGCTCAGAATAGTAGGTGTCGCGATATTTCTCCAGTTCGGTACTTAACGACGTTCTAACTGTTATGGAAAGCTGCACCTGGAGGTGGTTCTATGGTACTCCCGCGCCTACCAACCCACCCTGTCGACACGGAAAATAGTCGTACCCAAGCGATCATGTTGGGCCGTCCCACCCCCCCTAGTTCCGAAACCTTGACTGGCCATCATGCAACCGTGTTTCCTCGCGGGTTATTTGGGTTTCATCGGGATCGGAGTGATAACCTGAGGGGTGTCGAGTTAAGACATCCGGGAATTTTCCCTGCAGTAGATGGAAAGTCTGCCACTCCTGCGATGCTGCTGAGCCAAGAATGCCAGAAAAGACGATTCAATCCGAAGTTCACAGAGTGGCATGATGGTAATGGTCATTATAAGTGCGCTGTTAATCTCAATGGGAAGATAGTTACCGATTTCGGTATATATGACACTTCTTTGGAAGCGAAGGCGGCTGTTTCCACAAAGGCCCTCGTCGAAGTTCGCAAGTTGCCGGTACGTAATATCGACAATCTCCAATATTTCCCTTCTGATATTATAATCACCACTTTCATGTTTGTATGGTTATTAATATGTGATCAAGTGTGATGATCCCGCATGCAAACCCGCAGCAATTCTTACGGAGGCCGTTAAACAAGGCATTTACGGAGGGGTGCCCAAATCCGTTGGAGTCGGTTGGGCGCCGACGGAGAATCGAACGAGCTCCCAAGGACGACGACGCAACGATCACTATACCGGACAAAGTTCTATTTCGCGGGAAAATCGAGTTAGTCACCATCAACCACCTAGCGGGCTATCGAACAACTACAACGACAACTTCAGTCTTCACAGCCAACAGGATTTTCTGATGGGTCAAGTCCAACATCTGTTCGGCCGTGTTAACGGACCTAGCAACTGGATCGCACAGGATCCTCTGGCCTCTCGTGCCTTTTTGGAAGGAATGGCCCTGGGGGCAAGACTCAGCCAGCCGACCGCGGATCGTTCCGAGAGGAATACTTACGCCATGCCCCCAGTTCCTTGGAGATCGGGTGCTCGGCCACATGGTGATGCTAATCGCCACCGGGAGCGATCCCCCGTCACAGCGCCTGGGTCCCGCTATGCTCGAGTGAGATCACCTATTCACCGCCGCAAAAATTAACACATCTATTAGCTTGCTCATCGAGCTTAAATAGATATGGCCTCGGGTATAGATCGTCCTAAGTCAGGTTGCTTTTGTACGCAGTCAATAACCATTCATTTCGGATCGATCGAATGTTTTATAAAAGGATTCTTGGTAAAGAATCATAAGATCATTTCATTTCCTGATAGATAGGAAAGGCTATCGCGTTGTTTTCTGGTCAAGCCATAATCGACCAAGTTATTTCTTGTCAGCTTCCTTCAATCGGACAAACACTAAAAGAAGTAAAAAGAAATCTTCCCCAATGCCTGCACCCTGGTTAATCGTGATAATTGCTGTTGTACCGCTTTTAGATCTTGCTTGGCATCCTTAAACCCCCGTCTAATCTGATTACTGTACCATTTAACATAGAATTCTCGATGACGTGCCGAGCCAACTGGGCAAACTCTTCGGGTTGTCCTGCACGTTTCGGGAACTCCATGACCGCTTCTAAACCCTTGAATAACTTTTTGGGCATCACGGCCGTCATTCGTGACTCGAATACTCCTGGAGCGATAGTTACGCAACGGATACCATAGCGTGCTAAGTCCCTTGCCATAGGTAGAGTCAAGGCTGCAACTGCACCTTTACTGGCCGCGTACGAAACCTGGCCTTTCTGCCCGTCAAACGCCGCGACCGAAGCTACCATGATGACCACACCTCGTTCTTTGTCGGGACCTACGGGTTCGGTCTTGGCGATGTGGACGAGACACTGCCGTATCAAGTCAATTGTTCCTCTTAGGTTGATATTTACAACAAAATCGAAACTCTCCATGCTGAAGGCATTTCCGTCACGATCTAGTATCTGCTAGATGGTTAGCTTGTTTGTTTTCAGCGGCTTCACGACTCTTTTTCTTACTGTGGTTGGGTTACCAACGCCGGCAGCAGGTATGACACCGCCTAAGGGCTTCCCCGTCTTCTGCGCCCATTCGACAGTACCTTTGACAGCCGCCGCAATACTCTCAGTGTCTAGCACGTCGCATACGAAGAATTTCCCTGTTCCGCTGGGAAGCTTATTAACCACCGCGTTGCCGTTCTCCTCATTTAAGTCTAGGACGGTGGCGTTACCGCCGCTTCGACAGATCTCCTCTACGCAAGCCTGTCCAAGGCCAGAGGCTCTATGCGTACCTGATAGTCAGCTTGATTTTCCGAGTTTCTTGTGGATATAGTTACGGGAAAGATGTTAATCGCATACCCGCCGGAGACTACGAATGTTCTGCCTTCAATCTTCATATTGAATGAGACTAAATGCGATGGTAATTGGTCCGTATTAATAAAAAGTCAATTGATATTTTTATTACGGAGAAATGATAGAGTTTGCCTTATGGAACGGCTGAAAGTAAATTAGAAATTAGGTATAAACCGAGTAAACCGGATCCAGCCGGCGCAAGTTGCGGCAGTGAGACAAACGGAGGATTCATGAGCCTCGGTAAATTCCAGAACAGAGAGCCTTGAATGAGAATCGAGATAGGGGGGATTTATTGCTGACTAAGGTACGTACTTTAGACAGCTACACCATCATCCATGTACCTTAGGTACCTAAGTACCTTACGTATCTGCGCTGTGCCCTCTGGTAGGTAATCCCTGCATATGTACATCTGCTACCTTACACTCAGTTTCGTCACTGCTGATCACAAGCACAGATAAGCAGATGTGAAACTACCGCATTTCAGGCATGGTTTGAACTGTTTTAAGCCTAGTTTTTAGTTGACAAGTTGATAATCGTTCGGTATCGCAAGGCGAACCTAATCTACAACCTTGATTGTACCCAATTCCTACCTACGTATCCGTATCCGATAGTCACATTTCAGCACCTTTTCTTTTTTTTTTCTTTTTTTTTTCCCCTATCAACCATCCGAACTTCTTATTCCTGAACTAAGTTTTTTTGACCTGTTTTCCGATACCTAATTGCACGACGAATCGGAATCAAGATGACGCGTCCGAGGCGCTCATCGGCCGCTAGCACGGAGACCACTGGGACGGCCGGCGACCAGGTATGCGGCGACGAACCTTAGCCCGGGAGGCAGGTAAACCGAGGCGATGGCTAATACGGGATGTAGGAGCTCGGGAGCATGTATGATTACCTTGCTAAGATTATCCTGCTGGGTCCGAGTGGAACTGGAAAGTGAGTCGCCGATTGCTCTTGATCCAAGTTTATAGAAGATATCCCGAAACGTAACTTGATAGAAGCAAAAGGAAGAAAGACAGGTCTTGGCAATAATTTCCCCGCTAACGCCGCAATCACCACAGATCATGTCTCCTGCATCGCTTTGTCAAGAACGAATGGCGAGTCCTCTCGTCGCAAACGATCGGTGTCGAATTCGCCAGCAAAATCATTAAGGTCGGCACCGGCCCGCGGAGGAAGCGCATAAAGCTACAGGTATTGCAATTTATTCTCATTGGAGGGGGAGCGACTGAAGCTGACAGACACTATCGCTAGCTATGGGATACGGCAGGAACTGAGCGCTTTCGCTCTGTATCGAGATCATACTACCGAGGCGCCGCCGGTGCTATTTTATGTTACGACATCACATCGCATAACTCGTTTAGAGCTTTACAGCCATTTCTCAACGATGCTCGAGCGCTTGCTTCGCCGAATTTAACAATGATCCTTGCTGGGAATAAGTTGGACCTTGCAAACGATACTCTCATCGATACGAGTCTCCCGCCTCCCACACCGTCAAGTACGAGCTCGTCTCTGCTATATAGTACGTCAGTCGGTACAACCAGTGCAGGTGTTTCTCTCGGAACGCAGATGAAAGCGACGGTAGCCCCCGAAGGCCGCGAGGTGTCGACCACGGAGGCGTCACGATGGGCTAGCAGCGTCAGCGTGCCCGTCGCGGTGGAGGTATCAGCGTTCTCGGGCGAGGGCGTAGACGAGGTGTTCGCACGGCTGGCACGCATGATCTTGACCAAGATCGAGCTCGGAGAGATCGACCCGGACGACCCGATGAGCGGGATTCAGTACGGGGACGGAGGCATGTGGAACGCCGGGGGCAGCGACGGCGGCAGCATCAAGAGCTCCATGACGGCGGACGAGGTCGGGCTCGGCGGCATGAGGCGCAGACGCAAAGGCAAGAACCGCGCGCAGAACTGGGGTATGCGCGAGTGGGAGGAGGTGTTTACTCTGAGTCGCGGGCGAGGCAGGGGGAATTGTTGCTAATGATACATGGCGAGAAATCATGGAAGACGGAGAGGATGGACGAGCTTGAGAGAGGGCTGTAATCACGACGAAAGGGATATGGGCTAGATGGGAGGGGCTTGACCTGGTGACACTACGATGATGATGATGATGATACCTTAGTTCTTTTATTCGCAAGCGTGCTCGCTTTGGGTTTTCGTTTTCGGCTATTCCGGCGTTAGGAGTGTGGTCCTGTCCTGGGGATGATTCTGAAGACCTAATAGAATAATATATGAGATTTCTCTTTGCTGTATGCTGCTGATATATCTCGCATGGATATACCATACCAGATATATACCTAAGGTTAGGTAGACAAATGGATACCTTATAAGATCCATAGTATTTACCTTAGGTACCTACCTAAGTTTACCGGGAAGCAATGCCACGATGCCAATAATCGGCGTGGGAGGTGAGGCTCCGTCCTTTTCGGCGGAGAGCCTTCCGCCCTTGCACCTCGGCGAAACGACCTCCACTAAATCACCGATATCTAGCTTCTGGATATATAGGTATTTTTTCTAGCGTTGGAAAATAGGTAGCTAGGTACCTAGATACTTAGTGCCAACAATTATCGATGTCCTCCAGGGATTCGGGGTTATAAAAAGAGTCGAACAAATTGTCCGAGACATATAACACACAGGTATTTTAGGTGCCTAGGAGGTAGGTACCTAGGTACCTAATAACGAGACAGCTCTAATCAAGTACCGGCCCCGGGGCTTTTCTCCGAAGAGGACCCGCCTCTGGCATGGGACTTAGACTAATCGGGTTAGCGGAGTAGTACACTCCGCGATACGCGATATGGAGCGTGGATCTTGTCGGCGGGTTGAAAAGGTGGGGTCTAATAACTGATGGCTCCTCTGCTCCCAAATGTTCTTTCTCGATTCTTTTGCATTACACTTACATGAACACATTCTTAACTTGAACGAAGCTGCAAATCATGCCTCCCTCTCCAACTGCAAGTTCCTGCATGAAGTCATGCACATACATACTATACTGCACATAGGTACTCCCAACGGTTAGAGCGGCTAGTGATGTGACAGCCGCGGCTCGCCGCTTGCATTACCGATTGGAACCATCTCCTCAGCATTGGCCAGATCTACTTCGATTATTGCTCAGAGCTCTTTGTATTGCGTAGCAACTTGGAGATACCTAGGCAGGAAGCAAGCAGTGTTTGTAGGTAAATATTCTAGCAAGTGGCATCCCATCTTTCAGCTATTATTGAACTCTTCTACCTCCGTACACTTCAGAATTTTGCATTGCATTGCAAGAAATGCTGTAAAAGTCAACATCGTCGATAGTGGCTCGTCTAGTTGCGCTCCAATAAGCTGCAAGAATTTACGTTGGGTTTTCCTCTTTGGGTTTTCCTTTATCTTTGCTATTATAGTTCCATCTTTGCTTCCGATCGTTTCGTGCCGCTTAAGCCTATCTCTGCTCATCTGTTTCTATGGAGCATTCTCAGGATTCAAAAGTACTGCTAGGCCAGGCCGATTCTAGAATTTCCGATCTAAGCAAGGCTCGTCTTAATATAAATATACGCTTGCCCTCATCCTCTACTTCCTCCTGTAATGTTCCATCTCCTCTTTCTTCCAAGCCACAACCCCGCGAGATGGCGTCCCGCACTGTGATCCCAATCGACAAGAATTGGGAGTTCAAGCAGGCCGACAAGGAGAGCAGCAAGTATCTACCTGTATCTCAATTCCCTACCAACGTGCACCTCGATTTGCTTGCTCACAAGCTTATACCCGATCCTTATATCGGAAAGAATGAGCTCGACGTACAATGGGTCGGCGAAACAGTCTGGGTCTATAGGACCAAGTTTATATCTCCCACAGTGGAAGGCTCTGCGAAAGCTATCCTGGCATTTGATGGATTGGATACCTTTGCGACTGTGGTGCTTAACGGAAAGACCATTCTCGAGACTGAGAATATGTTCATCCCCGAACGCGTCGACGTTACAGAGCACTTGAAGGAGGACGATGGAGAGAACGAGCTCGTTCTCACATTTGATAGCGCCTACCTGAGAGGCTGGAAGTTGGTTGAGAAATATCCTGATCACAAATGGGGATGTTGGAACGGCGACAACTCAAGGCTGGCCGTGCGGAAGTCGCAATATCACTGGGTAAGTTTAAACCTGAATGGCCCAAGGGAAGATAAACCATAATCTGACAAAACTAATTTTGGTAGGGCTGGGATTGGGGTCCGGCGTTGCTAACTTGCGGCCCCTGGAGACCGATCAATCTAGAGGTCTACGAATCGCGCATCGCTGATCTGTGGGTCGATATCGATGTTGATAAATCTCTCAAATTTGCTACTGTTACAACACACGCTTCTACAGAAGGCAAAGCCTCACAGGTTTGGTTTGATATCTCCTTTAATGGTCTACCTATCGTGGGCCAGGCGGTAGCATCCGGTGGAAGCGCTACATTCACTATTGACAATCCGAAGTTATGGTATCCGGTACGATATGGCAAGCAACCTCTATATACAGTCACAGCCACACTAGACGAAGACGGCAAGATCATAGACAGCGTGTCGAAGAAAATCGGTCTACGGAAAGCAGAGCTCGTCCAGAGACCACTCAAGGGAGAGCCCGGCACGTCATTTTTCTTTGAAATTAATGGAATTCCTATTTTTTGCGGCGGTAGTGACTGGATCCCGGCGGATAATTTCATCCCGCGGATCAGCAAAGAGAGATACTACGAGTGGGTCAAGTTGGTGGCAGATGGCAACCAATTCATGATTCGAGTATGGGGAGGGGGTATCTACGAAGAACAGGCCTTCTACGACGCATGCGACGAACTCGGTATTCTCGTATGGCAGGACTTCATGTTTGGCTGCGGCAACTACCCTGCCTGGCCAAGCCTTCGAGACTCGATCAAACGCGAGGCGGAAGAGAATATTAAGCTGTTAAGACATCATCCGAGTATTGTGATTTACGCTGGTAATAACGAAGACTACCAGTACGCAGAGAGCGTCAACCTTACATGGGATCAGGATAACAAGGATGCAGAAAGTTGGCTGAAGACCGACTTTCCCGCCCGGTATATCTACGAGAAGATTCTTCCCGATGCATGCCGGGAACTAGCTCCTTCTGTATACTACCATCCCGGAAGCCCCTGGGGAGGGATTGACACGCGTGATCCCACTGTAGGTGATATCCACCAGTGGAATGTCTGGCACGGCACGCAAGAGAAGTATCAAAACTTCGACAAGCTAGTTGGACGCTTTGTGTCTGAGTTTGGCATGGAGGCATTCCCATCGGTCAAGACGATCGACGCTTTTCTCCCTCTAGGTAAAGACGATCCTGATCGGTATCCTCAATCGTCTACAATAGACTTCCACAACAAAGCAGAAGGGCACGAACGACGTATCGCGTTGTATCTAGTTGAAAATATGCGGTATGCCCCAGACCCGCTGGAGCAGTTCGTTTATAGCACACAGTTGATGCAGGCTGAGTGTCTGGCGTCAGCTTACCGACTCTGGAAACGACAGTGGAAAGGTCCAGGGCGCGAGTATTGCGCTGGCGCACTTGTATGGCAAATCAACGACTGCTGGCCGGTCACCAGCTGGGCTATCTGCGATTATTATCTTCGACCTAAGCATGCTTACTTCACTGTCAAACGCGAGATGGCGCCGTTATCGGTTGGCATGACACGGCGTGAACACAAATACCCGCGCAATAAATACACACGCGTGGACATCAATACGAAAATAGAGATTGAGATATGGGGCAGCAATCTGACTCTCGAGGACCTAACAGTAGACTGCGTGGTAAAAGCTTGGGATGTTGAAACGGGGCAGGAAACTTATAGCGAAACTATTAACAAGGGACCTCTCGTCCTCCCCAAGAACCAATCTACCGAGATAGTTGCTTTCAACGTGCCAGAGCCGAAGAAGTGCGAGGGCATCGATGCTTCGCGCACTATCGTCGCTGCGTACCTAGTAAGCCGCGATGATGGCACGCAACTTGCGCGCTATGTCAACTGGCCGGAGCCTCTCAAGTATCTACACCTTGCCAAACCGACACAGCTACGCGCCGAGCTGAGCGATGATTTCACCGCCGTGCATGTTTCTGCCGAGGTCCCTGTCAAGGGTGTCGCGGTCGAGAGCGAGGATGACGATGTCAGGTTTGAGGATAACCTCATCGATATAGTGCCTGGAGAGGTGGTGAGTATCAAGGTGCGCGGTGCGAAGAAGGATACTGTTATTACGACTAGATACTTGGGTATGATTTAGATACACCAAGCTAACATGTATCTACCTAATGTACCTAATCCAAGTTAATAGAAGCCTATGATGTTGTTTGGAACGAACAGACGTAAATGAGATACACTCGTTACATAAGTTGACGCATTACCATAGACCTAGCCGCACATGATCTTTTTCTACGAATTTGGATGTACCTGTGGCAAAAGGGTCCTAGTCAGAATATAAAGAATTGGTTAGACGTTGTAAGATTCGGATTCGCATCTGGAGACTATTTTGCAACCGCCTACCCGGCTAATTGTGAAATCATAGATCATATCAGCGTCCCCCATTGTATCCCGTCTATGGTGCATCGAGCAGGGTAACGCGGATGACTTGCGAAATAGAAGCGCCAAGGTGATGTACATTTAGGGCAAAGACTTTTCCTTAGAAAGTTCATGGGTATGTAACTGGCCTTGGTTCTACTACCAATCCTATGAGGCGTACAGGCGTGTGAATACGACACGACCGAGATGAAGCTGCGTGAGCGATAGCGTAGATGCATCAAGAGGTATGTAAGGAGGTAGGTAATCGCTTTTGAAATTCCACTCCTATCAAGTATTAAAGAATCCCACCGGCACTACCTCAAACGTACCTAACCTATCTATCTACCTAAGATTAGATAGGTACCTCTTAACTACAAACTACAAATTAGAAACGCAACTATCATTCGCATCATCACACCGCGCCTCCCATCCCCCCCTCCATCTAACCAACACCGAGAAAACCACCGAAAACACTTTTTTTTTTTTCGTCAGAACCTCTCTAAGCCTTAGCAGCAGCAGCAGCGGCGGCGGCGGCCTACTCGAGCTTCTCGTTAGGGCCGGCGATGAGGATCTTGATGACCTCGCCCTGCTTGACCTTCTTGAAGGCGTCCTCGGCCTCCTTGAAGGGGACGACGGCGCTGATGAGCCTCTTGACGTCCACCTTGCCGGTGGCGACGAGCTCGATGGCGAGGCTGTAGTCGCCGCACCCGTAGCGGAAGCTGCCCTTGGCGGTCACCTCCTTGATGCACATGGCCATGATGGGAAACGTGATGTCCGACTTGCCCATGCCACCCTGGACGTAGGTGCCGCCCACGCGCACCGCGTGCAGGCTCGTCTGGATGCTCGGCTCGGCGCCGCTCGCGTCGATGACCACGTCCGCGCCGTCGGGGAGGTCCGCCTCCTTCCGGATGTTCGCGGCGTTTTGCTCCGCCGACACCCGCTGGCTGAGGTACGTGTGCGTCGAGTAGAAGGACTTGGCGAAGGCGAGCTTCGATTCGACGATGTCGACCGAGACTACTTTGGTCGCTCCGAATGCCCGGGCTACCGCGGCGCAGAGGAGACCGACGGGACCGGCGCCCATGACGATGACCGATTGGCCCGGGGTTACGACTGCTTGCCGGACGATGTGAACGGCTACGGCGAGAGGCTCTATCAGAGCACCTTCTTGTAGAGAGACGTTGTCAGGTAGCTTGTAACAGAAATCGGCCGGGGCGACCCAGAAACCCGTCAGCGTCCCGTCGTAAGGAGGAGTTGCAGCGAAACGCATCTCGGGGCAGAGGTTGTATCTGCCGCCCAGGCAATACCGGCATCGTCGGCAAGGGTAGCCGGGTTCTATAGCAATACGATCACCCGCCTTCAACGACTTCACCTCGGAGCCAACTTGGGTGACGGTACCGGAGGACTCGTGGCCCAAAACCATGGGGTCTTTGACGACAAAGTGGCCAATGGCGCCGTGCTCCCAATAGTGGACATCAGAACCACAGATTCCGGTATAATTTATAGTAACAAGGACATCATAGGGACTATGTAGGGACGGGACGGGTTTATCTGCGAATTGGACATCATGGGGTTTGTTGAGGATGAAAGAAAGATTCTAAAGCGGTTATTAGAGGGATATCCAATGATGGGTTAAGGGAGGTACATACGCTTCCGGATTTGGGATCCATAATGGCAAGTCAGTAAATTCAAGCAGCTTTGAGGAATGGTATCAGGAAGATGAATGAGTTGAGATAAAGGTAATTGACTTCAATATACCAAAGAAATAGTAATGTGAATTTCAGCAGTGAAAAGTAAAGATTAAGATTATGAGGGAAGATATATAAATATCACCACAACAGCATGAATGCAAAGAAATGAGAAGAAAAAAAAAATTTACTCTCCTCCTTTGCTTTCACCGTACTCGGAGAGCTAAGCTCTGCTAAGGTAAAAATCATCTTGTGAGAGCTCCAGCATCCACGATAGCGGGGAGGGGGGCAACAGTCGGCATAGCATGTTGGGTTATCTGATAGTAATTCATAGAGTAATTCATAGGACATCGAATGTCGTAATGACGCCCGCAACCCGTCCACCAGGTCGAAGCTTAGTGGGGGATTGATCCCCGGTCGACCCCCCAGTTTGTGGTTCTGTGATGGAGCTTTGACATTGAAAAAATCGCTGTGTACTATGTAATGCTTGCAAGCTGCTTTTCCCCTCGGGCTAGAATCACGTTTGTGTTTAACCAACGATTTACCCGGGCCAATCAGGGAGATGGCGGCGTCTGCGCTAGCTCATTCATGTCGTAGAAGATCTGGGGCTAGGAATTCGTCTATGCTGGGAGGTGCCGCAGAACGAGAAGCAAAGAGACAGATACTGATGTCGTGAGGTACGCCGTCAAGCCGCGAAGTTCGGTAGCAACAACTACTAAGTTAATAAGAGATGATAAATTAATTACAAATCTACCTGCCTGGCTTATTATCTATCAACTTGATGCTAGCGATCGGGATATACTAACGTGACGTTGGTGGTGGAATGATAACGGATAAAAGTGAACGAATGATGGATGAAGGAGAAAAAAGAGAGCTTTTGGTTAGGCGCATAGGTAGGTAGGTAGCTAGATACCTAAGCAGCTAAGGTAATAACCCATTTTTGCGGGACAGTGGGACAGTGGGACAGTGGGGTAGCGGGGTTGGGATATTGAGCACCGAGTTTTTTTAGTTTTTATTTTTTATTTTATTTTTGTCCGGCAGAAATTCACCGCCCAGGAATTTCTCTACACCGCCCAAAAGCTTCCGAAAAATCAACTATCCAACAATTCTCACCTTTACAAGTGGTCTGAGAGCAGGTGTCGCAAACGATGGATATCTTAAAGATCCTGTCCCGAGGGACAAAGAAGTCTGCCAGTCAATTAACAATCCCAAAACCTATTGCGAAACCTTCAACTCCCCAGCTCTTCAATGACCCCACTCGAGGCGTGAAGCGTAAGAGGAACGAGGAGGCTGCTTCGACGCTAGAAGCCGACGATGACCTCGATGAAATCAACTTTTTTGCGCCTCGAGCAGCTAAAAAGCCAAGCCCTGAACCCGAGGCTAAGACGGCCCCGAAGGAAGATGCGCCAGCCCCTGTGCTTGATGACGAAGAAGTCCGACAAGTTCTACGGTCGCATCGTTTGAAGTTTACGCTACTTTCCTCCCACGAGGAAAAGAAGAAGAAAAAGGTGAAGAAGTCCAAAAAGAAGGAAGAAGCGAAGCCGAAAGCGAAGGATAGTAAGAAGCAGCTATTCCCGCAGCCGATGACGTCGTTTTCGGAATTGCGATCCGCGTACAACATTTCCCATAGGCTTGGAGAGAATCTCGCAAAGCAAGGATATAGAATACCCACCGAAGTCCAATTGGGCAGTTTACCTCTTTTGTTGCAGCCGGATAGAGCTATATCCAATTCTGCTGCCGAAGAGTTAAATTTCAAAACCGAAAATGGTATTGATTTCGTGGCGGTTGCGCCGACCGGCAGCGGCAAGACTCTTGCCTTTTTAATCCCGGCCATTAACAGCGTCTTACGCAGGAGGGCAGGCGAGACATCCCTGAAAGAGCGTCTATTGGAAGTGGTGGTTGTTGCGCCTACGCGGGAGCTCGCTCATCAGATTGTCAATGAGGGTAGAAAACTAGCGCAAGGCACAGGAGTCAAGATCGTGGGGATGAAGAAGGGTATGCAAATACCTACGGAAGGCCAAGCAGCTGTTGACGAGGAGTCTGCCGCCGAGAGTGAGGACGAGGCAGATAGTGCTGGTGATGATTCGGAGGGTGAGAGTGAGGGTGAGGGTGAACAGAAAAAGGCGACAATAACGAAAACAGATATACTGGTGACAACGCCGTTACTTTTACGGAACTATCTGAAATCAAGGACATTACCAACAGTCAAGTCGTTGATATTAGACGAAGCAGATGTCCTTCTTGATCCTCTCTTCCGCGAACAGACTCTGGGGATCTGGTCTGCTTGTACTAGCGAATCGCTAAGACTGACATGTTGGTCTGCGACTATGGGGTCTAGTATTGAGGGGCTCATCTTGGAACAACTGAAGTCTCGGGAGTCTCCTGAGATCCCCCTCATTCGTCTTGTTGTTGGATTAAAAGATACGGCAGTCCCAAGCATTAATCACAAACTCATCTACACCGCTACCGAGCAGGGCAAACTCTTTGCGCTCCGTCAACTTTTACACCCTAAATCTTCGGACGATTCGATGCCGCAGATGCGGCTCCCCTTCCTAGTATTCACACAAACGATAGAGCGTGCTTCAGCGCTGCATGACGAGTTGAAGTTTGATATACCTGCAGAAGCCGGAGGCTCGGCTCGTATTGCGGCTCTCCACTCGTCCTTATCAGACACGGCACGTTCTAATATCGTTGCTCGATTCCGGGCTGGCGAGATATGGGTGCTAATCACAACGGATCTGCTCATGAGGGGTATCGATTTCCGCGGTGTCAACGGTGTGATTAACTACGATGTCCCAACGTCTGCAGCAGCCTACGTCCACCGCGTGGGTCGAACCGGACGAGCTGGTCACGAGGGTGGTGTTGCTGTGACATTTTACACCACCGAAGATGTCCCCTACCTTAAGAGTATCGCGAATGTTATCGCGCTGAGCGAAAAACAGGCCGGAAAGAGTAGTGAGGAGAGCGTTCCCAAGTGGCTGATTGATTCGTTACCTAAGGTTGGAAAGGAGGAAAAGAAGAAGCTGAAGAAGCACGGTGTTGAATCTCGAAGGGGCGCTAAAGCTGCTAAGATAACAACGCGAAGCGCGTGGGAGAGGCGCAAGGAGAATAATAGGCGGGGTGCAATTGCTGGAAGTAAGAAGAGGAAGACGCAAGAAGTAGTGAATGATACCCAGGGGCAGGACGATGGCGAGTGGGACGGGATAGGAGACTGAGATGTGTTGATGTTGTTCGAAGCTTCAAGCTTGTACCTATATAGGGAGTTGTATGCTAAGCTAGCAGGCGAGGTGCCTAATATAAACCCACCTTAAATTTGGAACTTTCCTGAGTAAGGCGCATACGTCGTAGGTACCTAGGTAGGTATGTTATAGAAGAAGAATCATTGGATTTAAGAAGTATAGGTAAGTATATGTTATCATGTGACATAGGATGGCATAGTACCTAATATCAGATCAATTATTGGCCAATTGATGCTCACCTCATAGAGTTGCCGAATGACGAAGGCTCGGAATTTGAGCAACGTGGGGTGGGGCTCCGATACCGTGCTCCACTTTGTTTTTATAGGTGATAGTTAGCGGCTATCTCAGGTTCATTCTTTACCTACCTCCCAGGTACCCTCGCAAGTCGCCCGAATCACCATCTTCCCTCCTAAATCCTTCCCGTCTTCCGACATACGAGTTATATACGAATCGGTCTTGACTGTCGGAGGTACAAATTATATCTGAAGCCCTGGCATGTCATAAGATGAGGTGGTCATCATCATTATAGGTTCAAGACATACTGAAATCGAATATGTCGCGACTTGTATGTCGATCAAGCCACGCCGGGCTTCGGTGCCTCGGCGTTCCCAGACCCCTCCGGACAGCATCGCCATACGTCGCATATTTACACCGTACGCGATCGTATGCTACCGAGAAGAGGGACCATGGATCTAGCTTCCAGGGCCAGATGCTCGAGAGTATAAGCTCACGTATCGCGCGCGAGAAAGCAGAGAGAGAAAAGTTTGCGAAGCAACAGCAAGAATCGGCCGGAACAAGACGTTGGGCCACGACTTTTGGTGAGAATTACCCTAACCTCATAGACCTTTATAAAACACATTAAAGCTTATACTAGTAAATGGCTAGTCATTCTCGCTTCTGCTGGAGGTTCTTATTTCCTAGGAACCTTGGCCCCCCGCGACGTGGACCCGACCTCAACTCTTCCTTTAGCTCGAACGCGCGACCCGAAATATAAGAACGACAAAGCAAACCTCGAAGCTGCGTGGGCCGACTTTGCCGCTATCGTCGGTAAGGAGAATGTCAGCACCGTGGAGTCTGACCTCGAAACGCACGCCAACTCGGACTGGTCGAGCTACCGTAGCAAGGAGACAGAGAAGCCGTTCATGGTAGTTTACCCAAGCTCGACAGAAGAAGTGAGCAAGATTATGAAGATCTGCCACTCACGACGGATACCAGTGGTAGGCTACAGCGGTGGCACCAGCTTAGAAGGTCACTTTACGCCGACGAGAGGAGGTATCTGCGTGGATTTCCGGAGGATGGATAAGATCATTTCCTTACACAAGGAAGATCTGGACGTCGTTGTTCAACCGGCTGTTGGCTGGGAGCTCCTAAACGAGGAGCTAGCTAAAGATAACCTCTTCTTCCCCCCCGATCCAGGCCCAGGTGCTCAGATTGGTGGTATGATCGGCACAGGATGCAGCGGCACGAATTCGTACCGATATGGTACCATGCGGGAATGGGTTCTCTCACTGACCGTCGTCCTTGCTGATGGTACCATAATTAAGACTCGCCAGCGGCCAAGAAAGAGCTCTGCAGGCTATGATTTAACGAAGCTCTTTATCGGAAGTGAAGGCACCCTCGGTCTTGTTACTGAAGCAACTCTCAAACTTACCACAAAGCCTATTAGCACAAGTGTCGCAGTTTGCGGCTTCGGTACAATCCGCCAAGCCGCCGACTGTGTTGCGAAGGTTGTCGGGCAGGGTGTCCCCGTCGCCGCAGTCGAAATCCTCGATGAGGAGCAGATGAAATGTATCAACCAAGCTGGTACGACATCTAAGCAATGGAAAGAGGTCCCTACCTTGTTTTTCAAGTTCTCCGGTACCGAGCGCGGCGTCAAGGAGCAGATCCAGATTGTACAAGAGATGGCTAGGATAGCGGGTAGCAAGAGCTTTGAGTTTGCCCGCTCCGAGGCCGAAAAAGCCGAGCTGTGGAGCGCACGTAAGGAGGCGTTGTGGAGCACCATGGCCGTTGCCAAGCCCGGCGAGAAGGTGTGGACTGGAGACGTTGCCGTTCCCATGAGCCGATTACCACTCCTTATTGAAGAGACTAAGGACGACATGAAGAAGAGCGGCATGTACGGCACCATTGTTGGACATGTCGGCGATGGAAACTTCCATAGTAAGTAACCCGAGTTCAGCAGTCGGAGCATTCTAACAAATGTGTCAGTCATTCTACTTTCAAATCCTGAGCAGAGACATGCTGCTGAGGAGCTAGTGCACCGTATGGTCAAGCGAGCCGTTGAGTTAGAGGGAACCGTGACAGTGAGTTTCTCAGGCGCCATCCTAATATCAGAGCTAACAGATATAGGGTGAACACGGCGTTGGTTTGGTTAAGAGAGATTACCTACCACAGGAGCTAGGCGAGAGCACTGTCGATACTATGAGAAAGGTGAGCCTATATCACCTACCCGTCCACCTACTACAAAATACTAATTATTTGCTATATAGATTAAGCAAGCGCTTGACCCTCTTGGTCTGCTCAATGCCGACAAGGTTATCCGAATACAGAAGCCCAAGCCCGGTGAGATCCCCGAATGGTGATGCTACTATTTTGTTAGCACCTTGTATAGAAGACACAATTACTCCGTATATACCTCCTATCTATATCACTGGCACATTGCCTACCTTACCTACGAATACCGATTTACAATTTTGTGTGTACTCGACCCTTCATTTAGTCGAAATATTGTGCAAGTGCGGCTATGTAGGAGATAACTTAGTTCATCAGGTTTTAAGGGTATTTTATTTTCACACTCTATTATTTTTAATGCGATGTGGCATCTTCATCTTAATACCCCCCGAGCACAACCACCACTTCAAACCATCGCTATCCCTTAACGCCAATTTCTGTATCAGAATCTCGATCCGAGGTACGGCTTCATCACTCATACACGAAGCAGAAAGGCGAACCGCCTACGGTGTCGAGCAATTGGCGGTAATTGTAGGTTCCGCCAACTGGATTGATGTCAAGGATGTCATCCAGTGTTCCGTTACGACTTGCAGGCATGTTCATCATAGTGATAGTCCCGGCCATGGTCTATATTATACGTTTCCGTCAGTACCCAAAAACAATGTGTTTAGTGGGGCAACTCACCTGTCGATTCTTCCAGTCGAGATTTTGCCAGATGAAGTACATGCGATCAATCTGTCCATGGTGTTGGTAGAAGGCGGGCTCTAGAGGTGAGAAGTAGAAGTCCCCGCCCGGGTCACCAGCTAGATACATGTCAGCCAAAGCGCGCGTCTCCGTTAGAAATTCGAGGCTTACCGATTGTGAAGTGGCCACCACCGTGCACGGCGAATCCCCACTTCCGGGCCGCGGGCCAGCGGAAATCGCCTTGCAAGTTGGCCTGGAACAGGGCGATATCGGGGCTCTCGAGGATCGTCTCGGTGGTATTTTTAAGAGAAGCCCACTGGGCGCATATCTGAGTGTTTAGATCCCGCTTTAGACACCGCGGGTTGTACGCCAGCGGGTTCCTAGCGGTGTTAGGCCCGAAGTTGACGGTGTAGTTGGCAAACGGCCCGTGCGTCACACAACCGCCTCCCGAGCCACCGGGGAAGAAAGTGTTGGACCCGTTGACCTTAGCTCCGTTCGATCCCAGAGACGTCTCGGAGCCGTCGAACAGGGGCGATTTTTCGACGCCGCCGGCGTCAAGGCCCCACTATATATCAAAGTTAGATCTATCGCGTGAAGCTCGGCCGGAAGAAGATGACTTACTTCCCAGTAAGGGAATGCGCCGGTGTAGCCGCACATGGTCCTCAATTTCTCCTCGAAGGTCCAGACATAGAGTCTGTGAAAGAGGAGGAAGTATGCCTATACATCGTATCAGATACATGTTAAGAAAGGACGCTAATATAGTTGACTTACAGAGTTGTGAACGTACGGTGTCACTCTGTAGTGCAAAACGCCGAAGCTGTCGAACATCGACCTAGTAAGGGTTATTAGGGTCAAGCCGCCCCGAGTCGGTGTTGGGTTTAGAACTTACTTCGGACCAGTCACGTTTTCGTACACATTGGGCTGTTCCATCAAACACTCGACGGCTTTGACGTACGCCTTTCGTTCTTCTCTTGGGATGGTTCTCCTATCCATGGGTTAGATCCACATGGCAGAGTCGAGAATATCACACGTACCATTCCTTGCGCCTCCTGACATTTTCCTTCGTACACTTCGAACTGCCATCGAGTCGAGCCAGAGCGGTATTCAAGGCCGTCTGACTGATCTCCTTCAAGGCTTTGCCCGAATCGATATCCGCCTGAGGGAAGTCGACGCCAACCGCGAGCCCCCGGAGGGACGCACCCGCGAGAGCGAACGTCAGCAGCTTCTTGAGGAACCCCATTGCAACAGTCGCAACGATAACTGCTTCCTTGATTCCCTATTCTCGAAGGGGCAAAGAGAAGAAATGCGCATGCCTATCTATATCCTCCATCCTCGTCAACCCGGAAGAGAGCAACAACATTGTGTTGTAATCCTCCACCCCCTATACGCCAAGACCGTCCCAGGCTGCGAGTATGGCAGAATGGCAAAATATGGGGAACCCCTGTCCCGGCATGGAAGCGACTCAGAGGCTACCAACCCGGGAGGTTGAGCACGAGGAAGCAAGGTTAAAACGTTACCTAAGAGCGCAATATACGACGAGGCAATTTTTTTATTGTTTTTCCTCTTTTTTTATTATTTTTTTTTCTTCTATGCGAGTCGTGCATGTCACATTAAATGCGGACGGGATGCCATTGGCCAGGGGGGCGCCGATCATGTGGCCTTTTTAGCGATGGGAAAGGGTAGTCGACAAAAGTGCCGCACACAACCAAGCAAAGACGACTTACCCAAAGGGCTAAATAGGGGGTGGCGGAATACCGCTCGCCAATTGGCTCCAGATGCTCCTTGCCGAGCCGCTTGATTGTGTGGTCACTTGATTTCTGCCGGCGAGCGTGATTGCCACGACGAGAAAAGGCACGTTCTATGTTCTACCCCCTTTTCTGTGTCTGGCTCTCTGACCGCTCTGGATACCTAAAAGGGAACGATACGCAGATACGCGGGCCGGGTGCGGGACGGCGCTATTGGCGACATTTATCCAACGTGTTGGAACCGGGGTCCGGGGTGTATGAAGGGTAAGGTAGATCACCTAGGTACCTGTACGTAACCTAGGTAGGTCACGCCAGCGCTGAGGGAGCCAGCTTGGCGGAACGCGTGTTATCCGTTTTTGCGAGGTTGGCGCGTGGATGCGTGGCTCCGGGTGTATAGGTATATATCTAGGTAATAATTAGGACAAGGCATTTGCAACGGCACTTGCGTCTCCTGCGCGCGCTGGCGGTAGCGAAGTTGTTTGTTTTGGCTATGCCGCTTACCCGGGACTCGAGGACATTTTCAACTGGGTTTGGTATCCTTGCTTTGCGTGCTCAAGACGATGTTCTGGGAGGTACGTAAGGAGATTTTGGCATGTGAGATTTGCTCAGCGGATAATGGGCATAAATTGAGGGCGAGCAACAGGCAGGCAGGGTGGTAGTTCAGCTGCCGTGGCTGGATATTGACTGCAAATGGAAATATACGCTATAATTATCTTCAGTTCTATTGGCGAGGAGTGTCTATCCAAGGGCAACGTAACATGGAACGCCGGATCATCACACTATCCGATACTTTGTAAAAAAAGGACATTGTCTGATTGCCACTAGGTAGACTTCTCTTACATGCCAAATGCCAAATGCCGTGTTCTTAACTCGGCCCTTGATAGCAGGGGATATAAATGAAGATAAACGAGGGAGTATGAATCTGGGGATGACGTGGTCAGTCGGACTCATGAATTTGACTCTCATTTCTTCTCGTTCTCTAATTCGTGTCATGTCTCCGGTTATTATATTACAATAGTATTTGTCACATCCGAATGTGTTTCGACGAAATAACTTCCGCCACAGTGTCTTCCTGTAATGAAACGGCATGCTCAATTCGGAGCCAATATATTGAATGCAGAGATGCTTATTATTACGAAATTCTAAAAGTCTTTAATTTAGAATATAACGGATGAAGTACTCCTCGTACACCAAAGCTTTTCGTCAAGACTAATAGCGAAAGGCTGAAGTGAGACTATTAGCAAGTTTTTTTTCGATGCAATTGGCTTAGCATAGGCAGAGGTTTACCTCTTGAACGTACACCGAATACAAATAATTTTTATCCATTTAAGTATGTAGTTGTTCCCGTATCCAGTAGTAAAAGTCATTCCCGTGACTTCTTTCACCCTAAGATGAAGATTACTAGGCACAATGCCATGATAATCGGTACCTGTTTCTAATGATAACCTTCTATCCAAAATACTCGATGCATCAAAAGTAGAATGCATGTCATATACAGAGTAAATATCAGGGGCATAGTTTTCAGTCTATTGTAGAGATCTTGTAACGCCTAGGTAGCCCTCTCACCTCCTTCGAGGGAGATGGCTACCATTTATATAGACAATAGACCCCTGCTGTATCCACGTATCCTCATATCCCTAGCAACAAAGCATATATTCTTACTCTAAGTCAAGTATAAGCACGATAGATAGACATCTCAGGCACTGGTGGAATCAGTCTTATTACCTTAGGTATTGCTTTAAGAGTGCCTAACGAGCTTACAAGAGAAGCTTTAAGGGGTAAGAATAGATAATATTGAGTGCATCATGAGTGAAAACCTGGCCCCAAAACGCTAATATACACATGAACAACTCCTGTTAACCCATAATCTATCGCCCGTGCTTCTACACACTACTGGCTTTTTCCGATGATGCTCCTGGCCACAACCAAGTCTCCGATAGCTGAAATTGGCACGTTGCCCATGATATCAAAAACAGCCACGCTCGCCTGGAAATCTCTGCCGATCCAGTTACGCAACTCGACCGCCATCAGGGAGTCAACACCGTAACTTGAAAGAGGCTTGTTGAGCTCCACGTCGTCGGCTGAGATGGCCATGGAACGAGCTAGCTTCTGAGTCAGTGCGCTGATGACAATCTGGATACGCTCGCTAGTATCCGTTGCGTCTCTGAAGAGGGCAGCCGAGTCTACACCGACATCCTTCGAAGCGCTCTTAGCCTCTCCGACGACGTGAGAGAAGGGGGAGAACAATGGCCTGGTTAGTAAAGCCGGGACCGGCTGGTTCTTGACTAGGAAGTCAGCCGGTGTGCGCAGACCGAAAAGAACTTGGCTGCCGGTCGGCGAAGGGACAGGCTCGGACGGGTCGCAGAGCACGCTCAAAAGTGCTAAATATTCCGTGTCGTCGATCTTCTGCATATCATCCCAGCTCTTTCGTTGACGTTGGTATGCCTGCGTCTCTGCGACGATTCCGATGTTTCTCATCCAACCGATGTCGATGGAAACTCCCTTTTGGCCGTGGGCAACGCGATACCGCGCCAGCGCGTCTTGGAACGAACAACCACCCGCGTAATTGGATTGGGCTAACGCTCCGCACACACCGTTCAGGGAAGATAAGAGGATAAAAAAGTCCAGGTCCTTGGGTAGTAACTCATGTAATACCAGGGCCGAGTGCACCTTGGACTTGATCGTGAGGTCCCACTGGGCGAAGGTCATGTTGTCGAACACGGCGTCTTGGAGGACCATAGCAGCGTTGATGCAGCCCTTGACAGGCGGCATCATGCGAGAAGCTTCCTCGAGTACCTTCTTCACAGATTCGGTCGAAGATACGTCGCACGCGGGGGCGTACACGTTGACGCCGCGCTTTGCCAACTCCGAGATGAGCCCGGCGAGCGCTGGCTTCGAACTGCCCGACCTCGACGGGACAATCACATGCTTCGCGCCCCTGTCGGCCATCCATTTGATGGTCGCACGACCAAGACCGCCAGATCCTCCAGCAATCACATAAGAAGCGTTCTCGTCGAACTTCCATGTTCGTCGTTCAACAAGGAGTTGCTATTACCATAACATTAGTTACCTATCTTTTTCCAAAACGATTTCTATTCATGGAGTGCTACTTACCGGGACCACGTCATTGGGCGCGACGTCAAGAATGACACGCCCGATATTCTTTCCGTCCCCGAGGAACCGGAATGCTTCCACGACCTTCGACACGGGGTAGACATGTATCGGGCCGGGATGCTTCACAGAGCCCTCGTTCAAGAGGCCGAGGGTGGCTTTTAGGAGGTCGAAAGTCAAGTCTTGGTTATTGAGGATGGCGTAGCGCAAGTCTATAGCCGAGTAGCTGACGTTTCTGGCGAAGCCAGCCATGGGTAGTCCCGAGTTGGCCTTGATATCGAGCACACCAATCTCCACAAAACGACCGAACGGCGCCATGCACTCCCAAGTTGCCCGCAGGCTGTCTCCTGAGAGCGAGTTGAGGACTACATCAACGCCGTATCCGTTGGTCACTCTCAAGATTCCTTGGGCGAAAGAAGTGTTTCGGCTGTTGAAGATGTGGTCGTCAGGAATGCCGAAGGTATCCTTCAGGAATTGTCGCTTCGCCTGAGAGCCGACGGTAGCAAATATTTCGGCTCCCCTAGACTTCGCAATCCAGGTCGCCATCTGCCCAGTGCTGCCAGCGGCGCAATGAATAAGGACCTTGTCTCCCTTGCGAACACGAGCGATATCGACCATGGCGTAATAGGCTGTCATACCAGGAACGAGGACCGATGTGGCGACCTCGAAGGACAGGCCTTCGGGAATCTTAAAGACGGCCTTGTCCGAAGCGCGTGGGTGTGTCCGCATGCAGTCGATCGAGATCATACACACCTTATCGCCTGGTCGGATCTCTGGGTCGGTGTCGGGACCTACTCTAGTCACAACACCAGCGCAGTCGACACCCAATTCATTATCCTTCAAGCGGCCCAAGGCGCAGAGGACATCTCTGAAGTTCAGGCCCCAAGACTTGGCCTTGATCTCTACCTCGTGCGGGAGGAGTTCAGCTTCCCGCGCGACATCCTCTACAAGCTGTAGGCCGTCCAGTGTCCCCGTCTCGCCGATGGCAAGCTTCAGTGCTGGTCCTTCCGAGAAAGGCTTCTCTTGGATCCGTGGGTAAAGGAGAGCCCGGAGGGTCTCGTTGCCGGACACGTCTTCCGCAACCCTACCTGTAGTGAGCTGGCCCTTGCGGACGATATATTCCAGCTCCGCGGTTTGCGATTCGAAGGCCGCCTTGTACGCCTTAGCGACATATTGCGCGTGCTGTTCCTTGGTTTCCCCTTGAGACTCGATCGCGACCGTGACAATGTGCTTTTCACTTTCTTCGTGCCGGATAGATCGTAAGAATCCGCTCATGATACCATACTCAGAGTATTTTTCGTCTTCCAGGCTTGTTAACGTAACCCATAATAGAGAAATTACGTGCTTTAGGAGTTCTTGGATCAGCTTGAACTTTTCTTCGGAGAGTGCCGCGAGGAAAGGCTTGTTCATCTCAGCAATGCATATGACAGTATCGTCCTTGGAAAGGCCTGCAGTAGCAACCTGGTCGAGAGTTACAATGCGAGCCTGCTGATCTTGGGACTTGACGATGCTACTGTGGATCAAGTTGGCGATCTCGGTTTGTTCTTCCGACTGGCTATCGACAATAAGGACAGGTCCAGGCTTAGTAGAGGGGGCTTCTTGAGCTTCCTCCGCAGCCCTTGAGACGATGATACTGAAGATGTGGCAGGCATCGCTTTGGTAATCTCTCAGGACAAGGTCGTTTCCGCTGAATCCCGTCCATTTCAAGACGTCGTCCCACTGCTTCTCGGGGATGGCAGGGGATAAGCCTCGCCACTCTTCTCGGCGACCCCACCATCCGGGCACGAGACCGAATGTGAAGTTTGTGACCACATCTTCAGGTGCAATGACCTCGAGGAGCAAGAGATGGCCAGTGGGCTTGAGCGTGCTGCGCACATTCTTCATCGTAGCGATCAAATCCTCCGTAGCATGCAGGACACTTCCGGCAATGATCAAGTCGTAAGAGCCTAGCTCGAAGCCTTGGCTTTCAGCGCTACGCTTCATATCAAATGACTTGAAGGTCATTCGCTCTTTGTAGTCCTCCCATTTAGCTTTGGCCCTTTCGAAGAAAGCAGGCGATACGTCAGTGTATGTGTACTCCGCAAACTTAAGCGAGCCGCTCTTCTTCTCGAGTTCGGTCAGGGCCGCAATGACTCGCGACGTCATACCACCAGTTCCGGCGCCGACCTCGAGGATACGGAGGTTGGGGTTCTCGTGGGTTGCCAAGTCCAAAAACTTCAGCATCCTATGGTCGCACACGTGTTCAAACATGTCCGCGTAGAACACGTCCGCCAAGTTGGAATCGAAGATAACTTCTAAGGGGTCAACCTCGCCCGTGAGGATATCAGCTAGACGACGGACTGCCGTTGTGTGTAGCTTCCACGGTGGGTGAAGATCCTCGATTTCTTTCAATAGAACCTCAAGCTCTTCTTCGCTTATATCTTCAGCTATCCGCTCGGGAGAAACGGACTTGATATGATAATTTAGCCATTCCACATGCCTCTTCTGGCTTTCGGGGACCTTCTCGCCCTTTTCACCAGACAGCAATTTCAAGGTCTTTGAGACGACCTTGTCCAGAACAAGGGTCAGCTTCTGATGGTGAAGCAACATTGTGGCTTCATCCCTGACGAAAGTGTCAGCGTCGACCGCAGATTCCAGCTGCTTTGGGTCGATCAGGCTTAGTTGAGGTTTCCATTCGATGCTATACAATAGCTTTTTACCAGACTGGTCTCCCTCGTTCCTCCTCGACACAACTCCAGTTACTAGTCTGCCCATCGTGCACAGCACAGATCCGTTATCCGCGATGGCGTAGATAGAACCTTCATCGCTCTCCCGGCCACCCTTAACTTCGGATGTCGCAAACCACTTGACCGAAGACGTCTCAGGTTGTTGCCATCCGGTCTGCGAGAACCAACCATCTACTAATCGGACGGGAACGTTCGTGGCATTGGATAGGTCTAGGCCCGATGTAGTGCTGACACGTAAGGCGTGGAAAGCAGAGTCCAAAACCACAGGGTGAACAAGACTAGTCGTCTTCCACTTTGACATATCGACACGGGCGACGGTGTCTGCTTTACCGTCCCATCGGATGTCTTCGAGTACTTGGAATGCCTCTCCGTACGCCAAGCCATGCTCCGTAGCATCGTCGTAGAATACATGGGAGTCAACAGGCCTCGTGCACGCGGCTTGCGCTTCCAGGAACCTATCGGCAACTTTCTTGTGGGCCTGGCGGCGCTCTTCTCGGATGTCGACTTGAGCGGGATCTTCAAACTCGACTTGGACGCTGGCCTTGAAACACTCAGTCCACCGGCTATCGTAATACGCGTATATCGTGATATCGGACCAGGTAGATTCCTTTTCGTATGGTCTCTGTACCGGTCGTAGATGAAGCATGGTCTCTGTTCTGTCTTCCCAGGCCTCTTTGACGACAATAGGGTTCATGAAGTTAGCCTCCTTCACGTAGTATCCTGATACTACGCGGTTGTCAGGCTGAATCTGTAGTACGGCTTCCATCGCCATTACCAACATTCCTGCAGCAGGGTAGAGTGTAGTTCCACTGATGACGTGATCTCCAATCCAAGGCGTAGTCTCGACGCTGAGGAAGTTCCTCCACCTGGGCTCGAGCGGGTTCCAATCGAAGAACCTTGCTCCTAAGGTCTCGCCCTTGGTGCTCTCGCGTAATCTGAAGTCTCGACTCAGACGGGACTCGGACCAGTACGCCTTCGAGTGGTCGAAGGGATACTTCGGACAGTTGACCAAGAAGCGATGAGACTCCTTGTCAGTCTGTTGGTTTGCTGCTGAGATGGAGACTGCATGTCCGTAGCAGAAAAGCTGGCCGACAAGTTCGAGGGTAGTCTGAACTGCAGAATGAGATCGGTGAAGAACGTAGCTGTACCGTGTTTGTTCCTTCTTCTTTCCGAGCTTCGCCAGAGTGTCTTGGACTGGTCGGCGCAGCGCTGGATGAGGGCCAACCTCAACTAGATCAGTAATATTCCCTAACCCTACCTTTAATGTCGATGTCTTCTGTGTCAGAAGCTCGACGGCATCAGAAAACCTGACGGGAGAAACCATATTATCGACCCAGTACTGGGGAGTCGCCAATGAAGCCGGCTTCACGGGCTTGCCAGTGACAGACGAGACCATCGGGATTGATGATCTAATTCCCTTGAGATTGCCATCATCAAGGGATCCCATCTTGCGTATATACTCGTCCGCAATCTGAGACATAGAAGGGGAGTGATACGCAACGCCAGTCTTAAGCTTCTGAGCAAAGATGCCGTCTTTGTCGAGCTGCTCTTTCGCGATGTCGATGGCGCTCTCCTTTCCAGAAAGTGTGCAGTTTAACGGACTGTTAATACAGGCGATGTTAATCTGGGACGCGACCTCGTCGCTAATCTTCTGGAGATAACCTTGCACCTCTTCTTCAGGGAGATTCACTGATATCATAGCCTCCGGAGTAGAGCTCGTGGCTCTAAGTTGTCCAGCTAGCTGACCTCGGAAATAAGATACTTTACAAGCTGCGAGTAACGATAGTGCTCCAATCGCATAGCTAGGAGGCACAACTTAATTAGAAACGATACTTCTAGGCATCCAAGGATATGTAGACTTACGCTGCCGCGATTTCACCAGACGAGTGTCCGACCACTGCCTTGGGAATAACGCCAAAACTCTTCAGTAACTCGATTAACCCTAACTGAACAGCCGTCGACAAGGGCTGACTACACTCGGGTTTATCAATATTCTCTTTATTGTGAAGCTCATCTGAATTTACGCGTTAGTTTAATTCCGCATTCTCCAAAGCTTAAGTGAGTATTTCTTACCAAATAACGACCATTGGCATCCTAGACTCTTGTATATCTCGTCAATCTCCTGTAGCGTCTTCTTAAACAACGGAAACTCGAGAAGATCTGAGCCCATATTGGCGTATTGTGCTCCCTGGCCCGTGAATACGAACGCTAACCCGGCGTCGGTCGAGCTTCGAACTGGTTTGGCGGTTGTGAGTTTCACATCCTGTTCGCCGTTGCCGGCAACGGCGAATGCCCGCCAGAGCATATGACTTCGGCGGTTGGCTAATGTAAACGCTAAGTCGTCGAGTTTGCTCGGACTATCGGAGATTTGATCCTCGTAGAAGGTCTGGTAGTCTCCAACCATCCGCTTAAGTGCTTTTTCATCTGATGCAGACCAAACCAGAAGTTTCGATCCAGCTTCCGCATGGTGTCCATTGGAATGGTGACCATTTGCACCATTGCCATTGGTAGCACCATTGGTGCCGTTAGTGCCATTAACACCGTTGGTACCGTTGGTGCCATTGGTAACACCATTCGTGATCGACTTGTGCGGCAGACTGGTGCAGTGGTTTCCACGTAGCCCTCGTTCTTGTACTATAGCAAGGAATTAGCAACGAACTTACCAAGATTAGGTGCTTTATGACTTACAGTAATGTAATGCGTCGTCAACAACTACATGTACATTTGTTCCTCCAAACCCAAAGGAATTAACTGAAGCGCGGCGCACACCCTCGGTTGGCCAAGGCACGCTTTCGGTTGGTACCTAGCATTCTGTTAGTCCTGGACATCGGTTATAGAGGTCATGATAACTAACCTTGATGTTGTAGAAGTCTGCGTCAATCTTGGGGTTCATCTTTTCGAAGTTGGCATTTCCTGGAATTATACCCTTTTCAAGAATCACTAAAAGGGGTGTTAGCCACAACTAAGAGCCTCAAGTATACGAGAACAAATGGAGCCTAGAAACTTACATATCGTCTTCAAAAGGCCAGCCAAACCGCTACCAGCTTCCAGATGACCGATATTAGATTTAATAGAGCCACTAGGATATTGTTAGACTTTGAGTTCCAAATGAAAGCCCACTGCTTGACATACACATAAAGGGGATCTTCGGGAGAACGACTCGTTCTGAAAACTTTTCCGATAGCTTTCATCTCAATCGGGTCACCAACTGGAGTTCCAGTGCCTAAGATTTGTCGTTAGCAACGGTCTTCTAAATCGGCACAGGTAGCCAGATCATATAATTACCGTGAGCCTCAAGATAGCGAGTAACATCGAGAGGCAGGTTTGCCTTTTTGTAAACCTGTCTTATAAGATCTTCTTGCGCCTGAGGGCTGGGTTGTGTAAGACCTGGCGTGTGTCCGTCTTGGTTCGTACTAGTCGACCTAATAACTGCCCGAATCATATCACCATCTCGCACAGCGTCTGATAGTGGTTTGACGACGAGGGCAATAACACCTTCTCCTCGAGCATAGCCATTGGCTCGGTGGTCGAAACTGTAGCAACGACTATCTGGCGATAAGAAATTAAGCGCGGATAACATCTGGTATAAAGCAGGACCAATGATCAAATTGGTCCCGGTAACAATTGCCTAGGTGGTATTATAGTCAATATGATAGAGCTCCATAAGGATCTCGTGGAATTCACTTACAGTCGTGGCTTCACCAGTTCGAAGAGCCTGGCAAGCAAAATCTAGAGCTAACAAACTGCTCGAACAAGCCGAGTCTATATGGATACTGGGTCCATGTAAGTCAAAATACCAGCTGACACGGTTGGGCAGGATTGATTCGAAGGTTCCTGTGACAGCCATGCGAGGTAAATTATCGGGATCCTGTCCGGTCATCCTCTTGTAGTCATCCGTCATTGAAGCGGAGTATACGCCGCAGCGTGAGGATTTAAGCTGTTCGAGTGGTATTCCAGCTATAAGGTGTCATTGGTCAGTATCTCGAGGTTGTTAGTACGTTGTTCGATATCTAACTCACCATTTTCAAAAGCATGATAAGCTGCTTCAAGAGTCCATCGCTGCAATGGGTCCATGGAAGCCGCCTCCTTTGCGGTCACTGAGAAGAACGGTGCGTCAAACAACGCAGGGTCTTCTGTAATAAAATGTCCTCCTCGGCAGCGGACCTGAAGAATATTAGAACATGCTTGCAATAGATAAGGATAGCATCAACATACGTTACCCTCCTTACTTGCTTCAAATGAGCCACTCTTTATCCGGTTCTCTGGCCACTCGGTCATCAGGTTCCTCCTGTTCTCGAGGACCTCCCACAAACTAGAGACGTCGTTGACATCTTGAGGGAGCTTAAAGGAAAATCCTACAACCGCTATGTCGTCAGTCATTATGCCAAAAATGAAAAATAAAAATTTTTAATAGGCCCCTTCTTTCAAAGCTATAGTATTGGCTATAGTACGACGACCGGTAGGAAAACAGGAATATGATCGAGAGTCTTCGACCAGGAGTAGGCGTATGCCTACCCTATTTATAAGAAGTGCCATCTATAGATAACGACTTCGTAGCTTGTACCTTTCCAGAACTATAATTATGGGTAATACTTTAATTCAGATGCCCATTGGCCACGATGCCACCCATCGTTCTGGGCCAGGAAGGTGTCAGAACGTAATTCGTACCGTCCGGCATCAAAGTGGACGTCTAGATCAAGGAGTCCATCGCTTAGCGGAAAGATGAAGCTATTAACCACAGGGCCACACGTTGATTGGACGGTAATACTACCTCCCCCTTTGTCTTCCTGATTTAGATTGCGAACAACACTTTCTGGGCAGGATGCAGGATACGGAGCCGGTACACACGATTCATACGTTTATGTGTGAAGTTGTCTGTAGCAACCTAGAAGTCCTGCAGCAATGAATCTATGAACTGCTTCTCTGGTGACGAAAGTGAGCTTGGCCAGCAGTCAGCGGTCTATTCGTTTCAGTCCGCGGCTAGAACCCAATATGGCTCCGCCTGGAGTAGACACCGCACCAAATCCTAAGCGGTTTTTCCCTCGCAGAACTAGTCATGGGTTATCGTAACCTAGACTGTTGTTATGTGGGTATGCCTGTGGGTATGGCATTGGATACGTAAGGTGGGTGTGGATAGCTTCTACTCTGCTACGTAGTTTGCAGCTTTTCTGCCAGAACCCTGGGAAACGAGGGGGAATCACGAAGTCAAAATTCGGATACCTATCTCCAAACGACTATCCACATGAAGTAGATGTCGGACGCCTGCTGAGACAACTTGTCGTAAGATATTGTAAAACTTATGTCACGAAGGAGACAATTTTACCTACCTAAGTTAGTACTTCGGTAGATCCACTTGGCACTATATCGTCTACATAGGTACCTAACGCTAAAAGGTTTACACTTATGGCCACATAGCTACTACCATGATAACCCGAAAGACAACATAGAACTGAGGTACCTATGTAGAACGATATGAAGCTTGAAGTAATTCGCAAGCTTATGGGCTGCCTGGACGGGTCTTAAGCCAACATCTCGTTGCGTTTGAATCTTACTATAGGTATGGTGGAATATAGTCAATTATGTATGTTGGTCTCTCTTTTCAAAGCTGACCACTGTTTGATGATCAGATAAGTCCTAGTCTCAACGAATCTTGACCCGAGGACCAGATACTGCCCGATTTAGAAGATACCGGAACCTTGCTCGATGGAAACAAAAAAAGAGGTTATTTTTCGCGAATGCACTGAGCGAGACATACCGACAATTCCTCAAGGTGGTCAGCTACAGCCTACTGGGATGCGATGTGGACAAATTAGAAGTTGAAGGGTTAATCACAGGGGTGCCGATCTCGCGGGACGACGTTAAAACCAGCTGCTATTAAACTCGACCAGGGTGTTTTTACAAGGGGGTAAGAACAGATGGGGGTCACCTCGGTGAGCTTCTGCGACACCAACGGTAAAAATAAAGTATGCACGCTATCCTCAATGCATGTAACTGCTTATTACCGCTGCAAGCATGATGTATTACCAGTTGAAGTAAGGCTTATGTTAATATATTAAGTACCTAACCTACCTAACCTCAGTCTTGATGGTTGATGCTTGAGATGCTGAATAGTGGCCCGAACTCCGTATACCCAAGCCATCAGGGGCAATTGGAATATTCCGTAGCGCGGAGAAATCCCGAACGACCCACCACACAGCTTCGGCTCACCGTAATCGGTATATTATGTTTAAGGTACCTAAACCTATGGTTCGGGTTCGTGGGGCGTCTGGGTAATATCTCCTCTGCTAGCATAACCGGGTCAGTAGGATCATTACGATAATAGCCTTATCGACACGGCATACGGAGAATTTCCAACATGGATAGAGATATTAGAATCCTTTGGATTGAACAAGTAGTGCATATCGCATATGCACTGTGCGTGACTGTAGGGTTCAACGCGCAACTTGTCGTTGCATTGGTACCTTACCTTGTATAGGAGAGCCCGGTAACTTTGGCAGATGAGCAAGCTGACTGTATGCATGCTTTTTTAATTTAAACTTGGTACAAAATGCGTAAGTCCTGAAGTAAGGTAAGGTTGAGTCAATGATTCTTAAGGTCACCTGTCCGTGTAGCTATATAGTACTTTGCTTTATGCAGACGCTTGTTACTAGTGATCCTTGCGATGATCTCTTGAAGTAACCCCATTCATATCTCAACAATAAACCATCTAAGCAGTTAAGCTTATTTTAAGGGTTATAAAAAATGTAATATGACTGACTACCTCCTTTAAGTAAGGTAATTTGTTGTTTGCCTTATGTATACATACCTCTTATCCGTTCCCGTGGATATAAACTACCTAGAGGTACCGTAAGCAGGTAAGCGATACTGCAGAGTGATCCCAAGCGAAAGCCAAGATTTTTATTATTATTATTTTAAATGCCAATTTTATCCAAGAATGTAACCGTATAAGAACAGTGTAAGCATTTTCCACGCCCATGACTCCACAGGATCGATAGAGTCCGCAGTAGCGTGAAGTGAATGTTGCCGAAAGCTCTTATTTTTCTTTTTCCCGCGTTGAGCTCTTTAACAGTGTTCTTGTCGCAACCCGTTTCTCAGCTGGGCTTTGTTTCACGATTTTAACCGAGTTTAAAGAGGCCGCCAATCTCATGGAATGATTGGACCGGCTACGCGAGATGATTTTTGCATACTGCATGATGTATGCTTACGATAGATACAAGAATTAGTTTCTATAAAGACAGACAGAATCGGGAGACTACATAATACCTAACATGCAAACGGCTATATGTACAATAGGAGGTAAGTAATAGCGACAATCGTGTAACGTAAGTTGGCTAAAGACTTCTAGTGTATAAGTGTATAGGTTAGGTTACCTAGGTGGTAAGTATGCATCAATAATTTAACTTATGGTAACTAACACGCCAAGGCCATACCGCCTGATGCTTTGCATTAGGACGGACCGAACGCAAAGTCTCGGGCGCATTACTATTCAATTCGGGAGGAATTGAATATGGCGGTATGAATGATGATAGTATAGTACCCACACGTAAGGATGTAAGGAAGTAAAGTCTACCTAGGTTAGGTAGGTTAGGGATTTACATACCTAACACTACCTTCTTATTAGACTTGAGACGATTCTCAGTAGCGTCACTACCTAGGTACCTAGACAAGGAATGTTAATTCAATACTATTTAAACTATTTCTTCAATGAGCCTAAACATCTAGGTGAAAGGCACATTGGCTAAGGGACCATGTCTTCGTGTCTGGAATCATATCAGCCAAGACCACTGCTGCTTGGGCTGCTCCATAAGAACAGTTGCAGATCCTCTCGGCTATTTTTACCCTCCTTTTAGGTAAGCAAGGCTTTCTTTCTGTTAGAGTGGTTCATCCTCAAGGACACCCTTGCGAAGTTCATCATACACTGCAAATTACCTCTATGTTAGGTACACACCAAACCCACTTTACCCACAAGCACTGAGCGATAATAAAGACGATGAGCTAATGATAAAAAAAAAATATTAAAAAAAAAAATAACAGTGTTGAATTGTCCAATGCTGTTGAGAGCTCGAGGTTGACGATACGGTTGTTTACCTAGGATATAATTTAACTACTACCAAGTTTGATATAATATGGTTAATTGAAATTGTAAGATATTGTATTAATGATGATGCGAACGACGTTTGAATGATATGTGCCTATATCATGGGACTATTTGTAAAAGATATTTTGTGACTATTGAGGTACTTTAAGCGAACAATTCAACGTCTTGGAATGGTTTGTTTTACGTTAATTACCTAATTTGAAACGGAGAAAGCTCGAGCCACAGATCCCAAAAACGTCGACCCGGGTCTTTGGAAAAAAGAAAAAATCACGTGAGGGAAACTATCTTCTTATAAATCATACCAAGGTCGTATTAAAGCGGTTAATATACTAGTTTAGGTATGCACGTATGTAAGTGTTAGGTATAATACATACATGACGCTACTAAAGGTTAGGTAAGGTAGACGCAGTGTGTTTAATACGTGTTTCTTTCAACAGGTAGTATTAGACTAAATAGGATTTGTTACACTACATATGCCGGCCCCTCATCTCTCCTCACTGCAGTTACTACCTAAGTACGGATTAGTGTATGTGCCGTACCTGGCAGGTACCTACCTAATAAAGTAGTGTATTTCATGCAGGGGGGTCCCTAAAAAGAGGGTCTCAACTGTCTGACCCCCGCGTAACTATGGGCCGTCCCGATTCCTTTTTTGGGTGAATGGAACTAAGGAGAGATTCCGCCAACTTTATTTGCTGGGTGCAACTCCACCACAGCAACGCTAATGTCACTTTGAACTGCACTTTGTACTTAAGTGTCTTACGATTAGTTATGCATCCTGTTACATAATGTTTGCCTTGAATGCTTCATGCCTCCACCACGTGTTGTTCACGCAGAAAGCCAAACGAAGGGGACTTGTATATACCAACCAATATACCCACACCACACACATACATGTATACGTACTTAAGGAGGGAAAATCAATATGCTAATCAGATAGCTATAGATTAATTCAACTGGACCGAATTAAATAATTATTAAACCAATTACATTAGGTACCTGTAATAAGATATAGGTAAGCCACTCCTGCATCAACGCACGACCTAGAGGAACATAACAGCTAGAAGCGAGTATATCACATATATACCTATCTGACTATATATATATATATATCTGGAGAAATGTTACTATTAGCAGTAAACAACCCCCCTATAAACGTCAAGAATGAACTGACAACATACCCTGCAAATAACATACAAAGGATGACTTCGATCCAGCTTGCCGAATCATATTCTGATAATATGCATTAATTTTTGTTTTGTACATTACTAAAGGCGCTCATATACACAATCCAAGATAAGGCGCCTACTAAACTTTTCCGTATGAATCGTACCCCTTTTTCATGGCCAGCACGAAGATTATAATATATTAAACTCTGTTGTCTCCATGCCAAAGGGCACCGTGATCCATGCCATTGCCTTTAGAGTCGCTCACATACTCCTGCTTCACGGTTACACGGGTAGTACGTAGGATACCCTGATCAAGTCTGTCGTCTCGAAGTTGCTCGGTCGATTCGGATGGTTGGAGATCCTTCATCGGCACACCGTACTCGTCGATTTTTCGATACGTGTTCGTGTGATCCGCAACCGTTGACACTCCCGTGGGCTTGTTCACACTCATCATGGCGGTGTTTTTTAAACCCACGAATGACCTCATTGCCCGTCGCATTTTATCGAGAACGCCGTGGTCCTTCAAGATCTTCGGGGTAGAAGGCATGCACGCGATAATGAAACCGCACATGATTTCCACAAATGCCCAAAACATCACCGGCGCGAACGCGTATGTGCCGTCCGGCTCGCTCACGATAGTCTGTTGAGTCGTTACACGGAAGATAGCCGAGACACAGGCGCTATACAGTGATAGATTAGAATGTGCAAAAATACTTCCATCGTCGCTTCAACTTACAGAATGCCAAGAGAGAAGAAAAAGGAAACACCCAGCTTCTTCTTAAAAGATAGCTGCAAGGTCCAAATGACTCTCTGAGGAAGGATCAACATGATAAAGTCAATTGAAAGATTGGCACAGGCAGTGGCTAGACCGACAACGAATTGGTTGCCACAGTGTCCCTTGACTGTCAAATCCCATATCTTTTCATACGGGAAGCAGATAAGCGATAATCCGAGAGGAATGGAAATTAAAAGGCCGACGTTTATTCCGATGAGCCCATAGCAGCACCACATGAATGTGTTGCGCTGGCCGGGAGGGACGAGGATACTCGTCCATTCCATGAGAATAGCTATCTTAAGAAACGGGATGGCAAAAGCATACGCAAGAGCAGCATAGTGGACATCCTATTCTCGTTAGCTCCCATAAACACAACAGCCACATACGCCTCATAACCTACGTAAGAATAATCAATCAAGGCCTTAACCTTGACTTCATATTGGTGGACAAAGTATCCAGGATGTTCCGTTAGTCGTAATCCGAAAACCGTCCATACTATATAGAAAGCCTAATCACGAGAAGTTAGTTGAGTGTCAAAAGAAACCCTCTCTACAGCAGAGACTAACATAAGCAGCTAAAATCATATCTAAAGTCGTTTTATTAGCAAAGTATTCCGACATCATGAGAATCCTAACTTAGAGAGAACATACAATCTTCCAGCTTCAATTGCTTGAACAGAAAAATTCTTGCGTAAAACCGAATTAGCAAGCAAAGAGTCGTCACGACAGTGCAGGCGGCTATAACTCCGAAGGCCAGGCCATTATTGTTCCCAGGATGATCGAAGTCGGGTATAATACCAGGAGGGGCCGCTAAGGCAGGCGCGTTGAGAGCTATTTGCTGCTGGTCCGGAGGGAGATTTGCTATTGCGTCCGCCATCTTTGATTTGCCGTGAAGAGCTGCCTTACGAAATCTGAATGGAGGACGACAGTATGTAGGTACTCAGTGGGTTGAGGTTGAGTAAGTATTATAAACAGTCCAATAGTCGGGACTAAAATAAGGGGGAACGGAATCGTAGATCGAGTATGAGATCCCGGACAGTAACAAGAAAATTGCCAATTGGTAGAAAGGAAAAAACATCACCCACCGCATAGGGCCTCCCCTTGCTACACACAGACTCTTTTACGACATAATGTAGGCTCTTATGCCAAACCGAGTAAAGCATCATGAAAGAGGGCGATTGTTCCAAAAATTCGTTCCCCAGAGCCCATGTCCGGCGGGACTCGTGCCGCCAATTCCTAGTCTTGGATGGGTTTCTAGCGCTTATCCCGCCCCATGTTTCCCACGTATTAGGAAATCCCCCTGTTGCCACGTCTCCGCTAAAACCTTGAAAACCTGAGGCTTTCACAGGCTGAGCGTTATAAGATTGTCGCTATAGAGGACGGGTCATGGAAAATTGGTGGCATTATAGTGGACCGTTAATAAAAAAAGGCCATGGCATTAACGGCGCAGCAAAATTATTTTATACCCGCCATGCAACGCTGCTGCGTTGTTGGGGGCATAAGACCTGCACAAGGCCAATTTAAACGAGGAACATGAAACATAAATAAAGGCCTTTAAAACACATAAAAAAAGAGCCGGCAGTGTGAGTTCGATGAAAATAGAAAGAAAAAAAAAACCTCAAAGTTATAATTAAAAACCCGCGATGTGTAGCCTTCCTATAACACTAACTATATATTGCACATCAACACAAAAGTCAGAATTACTACGCTCAGCTTACCTTAAGATTACTTGAAAGCCGATGTTTATCGCATTGTACTGCCAAATATCTCGACATTATTATAAGATACCTTGTACTAGTTGTAAAATAGAATGTGACAACCCACGAATTTTCCATGTAAGTATTCGGAGCTCTAAACCCATTCAAGTTATCCTAATCATGTAAAACGCTTCGGGGGACCGGCTGTTTAATTCATGACTTACATTAGTGGATCGGTGGTTTTACCTATACCACGAAATAAGCAGTAGCAGTTATTAGGTATCTAGCCACGTCGATCCGGGGACTGGCCCACGTATCGGACGAAGTAGGTAAGGTAATTGCAAATGGTGGAGAGAGAAGAGAGGAGCTGAGCAGTAAAATAAGGTGTATATCACTACATGGAACTTGAAGAAGACGCTTGGCTTAGTTAGTTAACCAGGATTCTTCACCAACAAACATTACACGTCTACTTTCAAGAAAAGCAATTACTAACTAAATCTTCAATAATTTTTTGTGCAAGACTGTGGGTACACCCTGTTCTTCTCATATCTCAGCTCATGGTATTTTACGTTACCCAATACCAAGGTCTATTGTAGAGTAATTCGATTCATCGGCGATACCTAATCACCTAATCCAGGATGAGGTGGCTTTGCTTACATGGAAGGGGGACCAGCGCACAGGTACACTGACCTCTCTCCCCCCGTGGCGTGTGCTTTAAGGCGAATAAGCTGACTGTTCCTAAAAAGATTTTTGAGATGCAGACAGGTATCTCTCTCCCCTTACCATCGCCCCGTCTCGAGCGGTCATTACTTTAAAGCTTAAGAATAACCGCTATTTAGCAAGGATTAGAGAGGCACTTGGCCGCGATCACGAATTCGTGTTTGTCAACGGCACCGTGTCAACCGATCCCGACATTGGTAAGTCCCTCCCGTGATATGCCTATTCCCCCAGCAACGAGAGACTTACCCGTAACAAGGTGCTGATGCGATCACCGACGAGTTTTTCGGTTATGTCGCCCACGATGTAGATCAAGATCGAGAACTGTGCGACAACATGATAGAGTTTGTCGAGAGCCAGGGGCCATTTGATGGATTCATGGGGTTCTCCGAAGGCGGCACCGTAGCCGCTATGATGCTTGTCGAAGATGCCTGGCATGGTTCATTTGGCGGTATCAAATGTGCCGTTTTCTTTTCCGCCGCTGTACCCTTTGATCCCGACCAGGCCCGCGCTGGCGTAATCCGATATATCGATCCCGACACAGATGGGGTTCTCTTGACTATTCCAACAGCTCATATATGGGCCCATAATATCAAGGCTCATGATATTAAGGTTCATGAGTCCCTGAGCCGGATTTGTGATGGGAAAGTTAAAGAAGTGTCTCTCCATGACTTGGGTCATGACGTACCAGGGGCAAAATCGGACAAGGGGTTAGCTGAAGCGCTCCGAGCCATCGAACACGTGATTGAGAATGCTATGGACAATGCCAGATGACAGATCACAAATAGATGAGAATACCAAATGAAAAATGCGTCTGAAGTAACTAAACCTGGTGGTACGCAACTATGAAGTCTCATATTCTTTTAGGTTAGGTTACGTACGCACATACACCATCCAATATTTCATGGTACGACAGCAGCCCACACGAATGCAACTCATAATGACTAATAAAATTCTACCGCTGGTTCCATCGTTCCAAGGATTGCAGCTTTTGAAACCTCAGGCCAGGGGATCTGCTCCTTATCCAAGCCTACGGAACGAGCGCTAATACCCGCTCTCCCGCTTCAGTCCCGCTCTCCCTGGGTCGCTACCAGAGAAAACAAAGAGTTGAGTGAGATTTTAATATGCAGTCGTCCCATGCTTCTTCATATGAGGACTTTCGGTGAAGTTAGAGTACCATCGCTTCTACTAGCTCTGCTACTCTTATGCCTCTCATGCGTCTATCATTCTACGAAAGAAGTAATCAATGGAACATCAGAAATTCTATTAGATCCAGAGCCTACGCGATGGTATCACATGAAAAAGAGAAAAGTAAATTTTTGAGACGCGAATTAACGTCTCCACTCATGCTCAATCGTCAATGCCAACGATACTATCGCCGATAGGCTATCGCCATAGTCAGCATAGTGTTTTCTTTGACACTTTGCCCTCAATCTTTGCGCCGCCCCCTACATCGCCAGCAAAGCGTGCTCCCTACAGGACCAATGTTAAATCTTTTTGCGTCGATAATATTACATTAATACATTTGATCAGAAACATTAACAAGATTATAGGCGATAAGCGTCTATGTCAGTTAACTACTCCTTACGCGTATCATTACCCCTTTTTCCAATATGCGAAAACATTGGCCTAGTTATGGAATAAAAACTCAACCGATATATCTCTAGTGATAGGCTCAAAATATTTGAGTAGATAAAGCATTAGATAGACGCATTTACCATGCCCTAGGACCAAGGATTTGATCCTAGACACCTAGATTTCGTATTCTCCAGGCTAATAAGCTATCCCCATTCAATCGGTTATGATCAATTACTCGGAATTATACCCCAGAACATGGGCCACTAAGCAATTGTGGCCCTCGGCAAATTTTCACTTCGGCCGGGCATCTTGTTTCCATGAGCAGAATAGGCAGTTCTTTCATCGAATACCCCAACTCATTTCAAAACACTTCCGCTTCAGTCTCAACCTTGAAGAGACGCAATGGCCCCTCGTAAAGTTTGGAAATACCCGTAGGATCGGCCTAGCAGCAGACTAGGGAACGAAAAACAGGTCAGGATAATGCCTAGCTGCCAGTCGGCTATAAATTGTTTCGGCACTTCCAAGTTTAACATTAGGCGGACCGAGTCTCAACATTCCTTCCTGTTACTATTCAACCATACCACAGGATATTCTATTGGCTCATAAGCTAGCTGTGCCCCTACTATCGGCCGGCCACCCGCTCAAGACTAGGACAGAAGAAGGAAGTATATCTGCCCTGTATGCTAGGTATGGTTTCATCGTCCCAAATGTGACCCGAGGTGAAGTTGACAACTCTTCTGCCGACAGGCTCCATCAATTCTTACTCTACATATGCACTCCATGTTCAAAGAGCAAGGTCGCGAAACTCGAAAATACGTCGCTCTAATCGATTGTCTCTGGATCCCCGCGATATTTCTCGACTCTCTTAGATGAGGAGTACCGCGAAAAGATCCACAACCTAGATCCTGCCGAACCCTTGCGCAACTAGGCGAACTACATACACGAGGGCAAGAATGTATCACGTGAACATCGTACAATAACGATAAAGACTTTTTTTCGGCAAATATTCCTATACGTCTCCAGAGTTCGGCGACACCATTCTAGTCTTACCTAGTATGGTAGTGGCCTATATGGTGGCGTGACGAAGAATGCAGGCATAGCATTCTGGAAGGATTAATGTACTGATCAATCCTTGCTTTAGTTATCAACTTTAACTTGAGATTGAAGCGGTCAACACATCGTGGTGACTATCCCAAGCCCTTAGAAGATAGGATAAGGTGTCCATAGCAATGTATCCCTTGCAGGTATCTACCATCTCACCAAGGGATCTAATTACCTGATTTAAGACAAGCCTGGTTGAACAATCAAATCTTCAAGGCTAGGTTAGGTAATTTAGTGAACTTGAAGTTTGGAAAAAAGAAAATATTAGACGGTAGGTGATATAGCTGACAGTGTGTTAAGGAGAGTAATTTAGCACGGTATATGCTGTTCATCAGAAGTGGAATCTGTTTAAAAAGCAAAGGCGAACTAAGGGAGATGAGATGAGATGCCTATTACAAAACTAGCATCCAAGTCTACAAAGTCTAAGCGACAAAATACTAGACACTAAAGGTTCCGAATCTCACAGAGTTACGTTGAAAAAAATGAAAGTTCATCTCCCACATGAATTGACGTATTATACAACATACCTTAGTTACCTATTACTGAAGCCAATATAAAGTAACTATGCGACGGCGACGAGACAAAGATACATCATCTTAAACTCTCATTCTATGCTATCCATACACACCGTACGTCTGTGACCTAGGTGAACCCGTAAGGGACAGGGCAAGATGGAACGTAGATGCGATCTCCTAAGTCGGAGCAAGTAAAGCAACAAGACAGAAAAAACGGCGACAAATCTGGGGGTTCATGTGCACTACCAGAACTAATACGATATAGCAGTGTTCTTAGTGGACGCCCGAATCTTTTGTTAATCTTCAATATTAGGTACTTACCTTAGGTACCTAGGTAGGTAGTTCTACCTCGACTATTTTACACTGAATTCTATTGATATCGTACTGTAAATTGCGAGCTATAATATGTGATACGTGATATGGTGTTGATGCAGCTGCAATGCAGGGGCAGAATACAGAACCATTACAAAACAACTGCGACAAGTGCGTTGTAGATCGCATGCTATCGTCGCGTTGAGCACTGGTATAGTAATTCTCGAAACGTGGCTCTTATATACCTGATAGTATTATGATGCCATGCATTGTCACTGTTACGATAGCAACCGTTCGCACTCGTCCCAAGTGACATTCCAGAGACCAAACCGCATAGCGGAATGCAGATGTAACACCATTCGTGTTACATGGAGTGAAGTAATATGACTATACTATGCAGTTTCTGCATGTGTACCTTGTACGCTGCAACCTCAACTGTATGCGTTGAAGATTTTCGGGGTTCCGTGGCATTTGGGGAAAAACGTTTGAATGAACCGTTTGTGGACCGTTTAACTATTTCAGTTTCGAATTACAAGGGCTTTGGGATGAACAAGAGCTACCTAGGTAAGTTACCTACCTACAGTGATAGGATGACTACGATATTAAGTTGGTTGTTTTGCTTAAAGAACAATACAACCCTAATCCAGCCAACATCTCGTGTTAATAGCACCACCGCCGTACCTTCAGATACATATTACAAGTCATATTCGACACCTGTTACAATACTAGTACTGTCTACGTAAACTGGACGACGCACCCCCAAAGGGGTGCTGAGCTTTAATCAAGGAACGGGCAAGACTACCTAGGTACCTCCTAAAGATACGATCTGAAGGACTTTCTGATAGGTATAATTTCTACGAGTTTTGAGATATTTTAAACATTCATAAGATGTCATAAAATGTCATTATTTCTTTTCCTTTTTCAGCATGTGGCAGGGGTCGGAATAATCTCTTACTGATGTTTAAAGTCTGGTACGCTTGCTTTAGGTAGCTATTACTGCTCATTTTCCTAATTAAAGCGCAGCACCCTTTTAAGGGTGCGTCGTCGAGTTTACGTAGACAGCAACTAATATAAGTTACAAAACACACTACTTTTAAACGTTTGGAGATGTCATCTATGCACTAGTGAGACCTTGGCTCAGGCACGGTCGTGATGCGAAGACAGCCTTAAGGAATTGTCGGATGTAATGAGCAGCTACCTTCTTTCATTAGGTAGGCTGGAGATATCCCAAAATCATGGTTATCAATGATTTGAGCTAACCCTGCTCACATAGGAAAATAAGGTGAACAGTCCTACTATGTATCTGGGTTGATGTAATCAATCCCTTGATCGCCTCTACCGTCGCAAACCACTTTCGCGCCTAAAAGAAGCGGTACCTAGTAGGTATCACTAAATAAGCTTACCTCCCTCTTACCTAGGTACCTAAAGTAGGCTCTTACCGCATAATCAACGGCCTCCTTGGCATCAATTCAAGCAAACGCAGATAAGCCAAGCTGGAGAAAACCACGGTAATCCAGCATCAGCCAAGAGAATGGTTTAAGCTTGTTGCAATTTAGCTATCTCTACCTTAAACTATGTAGGTGCCGTCTCGCCGGCGTTGATTCCGAATAACCCGGGCTCCAGTAAGGGTACAATACCCAAGGGTCTGGGTGATCACCCCGTAACAAGAGAGAACTGCACAAGCTGCGACGTAGATGGGTCCACGTATGGGTCTGAATAGCCTCAAAGATGCTTGGTATCCAATCAATCCTAAACGATTTTGATTCGCAATGGTCCAATACCCAATACTACATAGTATGTAACCGTATTTAGTGGAAACCTCCCGGTCGGTGGTCAAAGTGTTAATAGTAATACCTTTATCTCCCGGACTGCCGGACTGCGCCGCATATAATATCCATTTCTAAAATGAACTATGCTCGGACCACCTCTTACTCTATATTGACAGCACACATAGAAAGAAGACTGTGGGCAAAGAAAAAAAAAAAAAAGAAAAGAAACTGTTCATACACTTCCCCTTCGCAAATACAGAGTTGAGTCGCTACATTCCAAGAATCGCAGACCGCCATGATGCCCTTAGCCTTCCTTGGCTACTCCAGTTCCTATTCAATTACAAGTCAAAATCTTTAATCCACTCTATGCGTTCGAAGGCCATTTGGCCAGCCCGAAAATACCCCTGGGGAGGCCAGTCCCATACCTCTCTCAAAAGTGCCTGGAAGAGTTCGCAGAGGCGAATAGAATCATACCACGTACATGGTTGGGTTGAATTGCAGGATACGTTAGGTTACTCAACAGTTATTCAGACTTCTATCGCGGTACATCATGTTCCCCAAAAAGTCGACGACGACGAGTCTTCTTTCATTACCTTGGCCCATTGGTGCGCCAGCTCAGCGCCTAATCCACATACTGTGCCTCTCGGCCAAGTCGCAAATCGACAGTCTTGCAACAACTACAACAAAAACGTAACTAGGTAGGTTCTAAAGATAGTGCAAATCAAGCTGGAAGGGTGGCACTTTGATCATCTCTCACCCTGGACTGAAAGGATCTAACTCACCTGATAATCGTCGACAAGGTTCAAAGTCCCTGACTTCTTGAGTGGGCTTTCGAAGATGACAACCTTAAGTGGTTGTAATAGCGGTCTACTTACTACGTGGGCTATGGAGACCTTCCCCAACATGATTGAACAAAGCGGTCCCCACGAAATCGCAAAAAATCTCTAGTTGGGGAGGGATGGAGGAAGAGACCTTAAAAAAACGAAGTCAAGCCTAAAAACCATCAATATTACTTAGGAGGTCTCTTACTCTGAAAAGTCAACATTCTATATAGTGCTTTAAGCAATTTGTATTTTCATATACGTACCTACCTACCTAATGTAGCTAACCTAAGCTAGACTCGAAGTTATAGAAGCGATATCATGGAGAGAAGCAGAGGTCAAGGAGATGCTATGAAAATACCATAACATACCTTAGGTAAAGGTACCTAGGAGGTAGGTAGTTAAGTGACAAGATACAACTGCTGAGCCAAATGTGTATTTCTTATCAATTAGCACAATTGCTATGACAGTCTATCTGACACTAAGTTTATTCTATTATTGTAATCAGCCTTTGATTATATTACCTAGCATGTACGAGGCTGTTACAAGACTTTCGTTTTTACATCGCCCAGGGAGGTTCTTTCTATACTCGTTCACCTGCACGGGAATGGATTCATTAACGAAAGCCTCTTTCTGCATGGCGTTCTTACGAACGATATGGGATAAGATATACCCAGTTACGAACTAAACAATTTTGGGTCATTGTAGCCAAAATCTACTTAGAATGCCATCGTATCTTTTTACTTACGAGGTTGCTTCTACGATATTTATCCTCATATTTTAAGACGCTAGGTTACTTGTATTAATAACAGGTATATACTTGGGATTGGCTATCTATTCACCTGAGTTTGGGTAGGAGTACTAACATGTATGTTGGAGTTCATGTATGTTGGAGTTGTATATAAAATATCTACCTAAGGATAGATGATGTGTTTAGTATTTTGTGCAACTTGCTTACCTTAGGTATTGAAGTACTTATCACAGGCTTAGTTGGGCTTCATCGCGCGATGAAAAGAATTGAAGCACCGTTGCTTTGTTGGTGTTAATGTTTGCTACGAAACTTCATGTGAGAAAAAAAAGTCATCTCCCTTGGTTCAGCATGCAGGGTAGGAGGTAGTTTGGTACGACGTAAGACTATTAACATTTTTACTTTTCTACAAAACCCCGCTTTGAAATTTTCATGCAAGGTCCATTTCGCCTTGACGATGACTACAATCCAAATACTTTCCGACCTCCACTTGGAGGCTTACGATACGTACGCCGACTTCGAAATTCCTCCCCGCTCACCTTATCTCGCACTGCTAGGGGATATCGGATGTGTCAAGAAGGATGAAGGAAAATACCTCTCTTTCTTAAGCAGGCAGCTGGCAAACTTCCGCGTTGTATTCCTCATTCTTGGCAACCATGAGCCCTACTATTCGACTTGGGATTATTCTAAGCAAACAATGGTTCAGTTTGAGCAGCAAGTGCGTCAGGAGCGAGAGAATCACGCTTCTATCGGCGAATTCATCCTTCTTGACAAGAAAAGATACGATATCGATAGCTATGGGACAAGTTTGACGGTCCTGGGCTGCACTCTTTTCTCCGGGGTTCCCTCGGAATCTATGCATGATGTCAGCTTTGGGCTAAATGACTTTTACCGTATCGGGGACTGGACGGTTGAGCAGCACACTGCAGAACATGAACGAGACCTAGAGTGGCTTAATAGTCAGGTAAAGGAATTGAAGGATTCGGGGAGAAAAGTTGTCGTCTTCACGCATCACAGTCCGACACGAGATGATAGGGCTGTTGAGGCCCAACATCGCCGGAGCAAAAGGATTGCTGGGTTTTCCACCGATCTTAGCGATCAGTATTGCTGGCGCAGTAACGACGTGATACTCTGGGCATTCGGGCATACTCACTACAACTGCGACTATATCGATACGCAGACTAGTAAGAGAGTCTGCACAAACCAGAAAGGCTATTCGGGCGCGTGCGAAGGATTTGATGTTAACAGAGTAATAAGCTTATGAGTTCATATCGTAGAAACAAGAGTTTAGTTGGCGTCTAATGAAGCAAAAATCCTAAGTCGAACACCCCCATACCCTCGAGGACGTTCAATACCTCTAGTAGTATCTTTTGAATGGAGGACTGGGAACAAAGTGGACGAAGTTGTTTGGGTAGTACGACTTTACGTGGCCCGTGTTACTATGTACTTCCTATATATATGAGGTCCGGATAGCCATTCTCAACCTCTCTCCTTATCTTTCCGTCTTACAAACAAGACAGGATCGCATCTCACCACAAAACCCTTTATGAACTACCATTGGAGATACTCTTCATCGGGACTTATATTGAAACAATGCTCTTACTAGAAATAAATGAAATCAATGAAAGGGCCTGTCAAGTCTATCTCTAAACTCTTATTAGATGCCGGCACAACTTGTCAGGGATATGTGGATAGGTGGATGTTACAGGGGACCTATCGCCTATATAAAGGGTAGCCAGCTCCCTCGAAGGAGGTTAGAAGGCCAGGCGTTACTAGATATCACTAATATACAGCATACTGGCCTTCCCTTTGACACTCACTCTGTATACGACATCCATCACGGGCTACACCCTGACACAACTTCGGTTCTGTGATGATTATCTCCCAACCGTGTATGGAGTACTCTCCATCATAGAGGTATAGCGCAATCTTCCATATTCTATCAGAAAAGGCTCGACGCTAACCGGAATATAGGGAATAGAGTTCCTCGTCCCTGATGACAAGGTTCCAATCGCCGTTGCGGCGTTGAAGAGTTGAAATCGGAAAGGATGCCCCGATCCAGGATCGTGTGCTGTATCTAAGAAGCATGCACAGCAAACCGCCCTGACCTTTCATATGCACCTTGAAGTGTCGAACGTGGATGTTACTATACGAGCACTTTAAGAAGCCCTATGGCTCATACATTCGCTTGAAGATATATTTACTTACTACGGTGAACTTTTGGACGGGAAGCCTAGTTCCACGGTATATATTGGCTTCAAATGACTCTATCCTGTCGCGCCCTAGACATGGCAGGGGTCATGGTGTTTTTTTTTTTTGTTTTTTTTTTTTTTTTTTCAAAAGACAGCTTCCCCGTTATCGTCCCGACTGCGCGTATCATTTTAAAGGCCTATATGCGCCTATTAATCAGACCTCGGGAGCAATACGGCGGCTTTTACCTCGCCATGATGACATACGTTACCGGATATATCGATGCCGACGGACTCCTGGACGATACAAAGTGGCCTGAACGATGCGGGAGATTCTGGAACGATTTCAACGAGGGCAGTCTACCTACACAAGACATAATGAACTACAGGACTATTTTGGTGAAGAAAGCGCGAGAAATAGTGCAGAATTGTAACAGTCCATCATGGTTGTCAACTCAGAGAACTTCCAACGCCTACTTGTCACATTAGGGACTTCTCATCTGACTGGAAAATAAATATATTTCCGACTGTAGCTAAAACATTACCACTAGCATGCAATTGTCTATATAAACAGGGCAAATATTAACAATATCTTCCGTCACGACAGCCTTCCTAGCGCACGCCTAGTTGCCGTCGGTGGGAAGAGGGCAGTCGAAGATGGAAGCCGTGAAGTTCCTCGGTCCGGTGTAGTGCTGAGTGCTGACCGCGCCGTTGTTCTGCGTAACGATCTGGCTGGCGGGGATGGTGTGGCAGTAGGTGATGTTGGAGCGCGAGTTGAAGGGGTACCAGATGGCGAACTTGAGGCCGCCGTCGGAACTCTTGGTCGTCGACCACGTGTAAGCCGTGTTGTTGCACTTGCCCTCCGTGATCTCGGGCAAGTTGTCAGGGCCCTGCACGAAGGCGCTGCAAGTGTCGAGGGGGAAGAAGGATTCAGTGACGACGTTGAAGTTGTAACTGGATTTTGAGTTAGTAAATCATGCCGTTCCGATATTCGAGTGCAGACGGCGGCTACTTACCTGCAGAATGTGCTGTGTGGGATGCAGTCCGCAGCGAAGTTCACGATGTCACGGTTTTGGACTTGGCGCCTCTGAAGAGAAGCAGCCAAAGCGGTGGTAGCGAAAGCGAGGACAGCTGAGACCTTCATTTTGTCTGGGTTTTGATGAACGAAAGTGCGTTATGTTGAGTCTAAAATGAACGAGAGTGCGCGCCTGTAAGTCGAGATTGAATATCGAGTTCCTACTGGTGATAAATACGAGAGCATTACCTCGACGTCGCTGGGAGGCCAGCGCATTATATGCATATTTCCATTCCCCACACATTGTCGATAGTAAAAAATCATGGATCGCTCCAGCCCGTCCAGCTCGACCCATTATGTTCCTTGACATCCGTTACCGTTACATTCTATCCACCAATAATAAAGCGTTCTGAGGTCGATCTTCTCGTATTCCCCATCAGAGCAGTTAGGCTCTCAGTAGCCTCAGGGGCTTTTACTAGCCTTCTGTCAATCGGTCAGTTCGAATTGAACTGTACGAGGCAGCCCAACGACGTCACATTCTCGTTAATTGCCGAAAGTGGCTCCATTACTAGAACCAACTAGACGCGGAAAACATCGTAACGAAACTCTTCTAGAACTAGTAGCCCACTCGATAAAACAGACTAACATCGCTACACCCACATTCTCTCGAAAAGGTTGATAAAATATCTCATATCGAGGGGCTTCCGTTGCGCAGATTGCGGTCAGCAAAGCAGGTGGATACTTCGAACAAGTTCCCAATTCCATCAATAGCTGGATGAAATTGAAGAATACGCTTCGATACAAACTTGCCCCTGAATCACTTTTAAATGCCATAGTAAAATAGAATGTAAAATATGTAGGTAGTTATTTAATGTTAATAATACAACAGAAGTTCTTAAATACGTCATAATACGTTATGTTATCCCTTCGAGAAGCTCTTTGCTGTGCAGAATCGCAAGCAAATGGACACGGGCCCCCTAACCCAACTCTAAACACCGGGTAAAACCCCTTTACGTGTGGCCGACAAGGCCGGCCTTGGGAGCCTGGTCGGGGTTGATGTCAACACCAGCAAAGCCAAGAGCCTCATTCCAGGCGTTAGCCGTCGAGGCATCCTTAGGACCGGAACCCAGGTCAGCCTTGGCTTGCTTGCAGGCGGCAACGGCGTCGGCAGCAGCACCGCAGACGTTGACGAGCTGGTCGCAGATGCGGTTGAAGATGATGTTGGGGTTGACTAAGACAAGCTAAGTTAGCGCTCTGTGAAGTGATGAGTTATAAAGGAGAGGAAGACAAAAACTTACGAGCTTCCTGTTGACCCTTGTTAACGACGGGGTCCTGAGCCTGGAAGGTGAACTCGCCGGCCTTGCGACCGTTGAGGGATTCCTCGAATTTGACGGTGGGCGTGCAAGTACCGAAGTCAAGGCCAAGGCTGGAGGCTTGGAAACCGGGGAAGTTACCAGTAACGGCATCGGTAACAGCACCGGCGCCCGCTTGGCTAGATGCACCACCTGTGCTGGCATTGTTACCACTGTTGTTGTTGTTGGAAGCAGCAGTAGAAGTGGCAGCAGCGGTACTAGTGGTCCTGGTCCTCGATTTACGGACGCATTTAGTAGCACTGGCAGTGGCAGAAGCGGCAGAAGTAGTGATAGTGGTTGAGCCGGCGTTGTTATTTTGGTTATTACCGTTGCTAGCGTTGTTGTTTCCGTTGTTGGCATTGCCACCCGCGGCAACTCCCTTGACAGTGAAGTTGGAAAACCCCTGAGCGGTCATCACTTGTGCAACACTGAGGCCGGTAGCATCGAATGGAGACTTTAGCGAGGTCGCCGAGTTGGCGTTCTCGACGTCGGAGCCAGTTACGGCAGGGTCGACTAGAGGAACGATACCACGGAGTTCTTTCGTAGCAGGTAGGCTGGCATCGCCGCAGATATTAGGGACTGACACTACGAAGGGGTTGAAGTTCTGCTCCGCAGCAACAAGCTTCTGGGCAGCTGCAATGACCTTAGGGTCGTTGCCGAGAGTCGTTACGATCTTGTCAGCGTGGCTGAGCTTGGCACAAGGGTCAGCGGCAGCGAGGAGCACGCCCGGAACACCTCCAGCAAGTGTGGCGGCTTCACCCGGGTTGCCGAATTGACCCAGAGCCTGGATATCGGCGACGGGTGTTTGCTCCTGGCCGAAACGGGCTTCGGCAACAGCTAATAGAGCTGAGATAAATGCTGTCTTGGTATACATGATGACGAAATAAAAGAACTAAGTTGGCGTCAAGCAACAGACTCAGGCTCTTTGAAAAGATATAAAAAGTTTAATGAATAAAACAGTAAGGACCGGCCGGGCGGTATACGATAAATAGAACGAAGGAAAGGTTGAGAACGAAAAGTTCGCAGAACTGAAACGAATTAGATATCAAAGAACGGACTGAAGCTTGATAGAGAGAAGAAGGAAAGAGAAGAGCTCACGATGTGAAGTTGGGATAATGCAATTATATAGCTGATCCAGCTGGATGGCTGTAAGTCAACACCGACATGACTAGCTATGATGGGCTAACCTATCCAAGGTAGGCTTTGGCGAGCCCCTTCCGTAGATCAAACCTCATGTCGGGGTTGAGATCAGATGGGTGAGCTAGCATGGTGCGGCAAGGATATGAACGCTCATGGTAACCCTCCGGCGTATGTTATCCCATGTCGAAGCGTCTCATCTCATAACAGAGAAACGGAGGGTACAAGGATACAAGGATACAAGGATGCATACCGTGATGTTTTGGAATGGTAAAGCACATTAGGTTACCTGCCTGCTTAAGGCATCTGACAGATAGACATGGCTATTAGATGCTTCGTCGTAGTTTAGAGGAAATGCATCTTTCCTACATTGTTGAGTATCTATCGTCTCTTGAAAGATCTCTCGGGCGGTTAGTGGAACTGATAATAGCGGAAGCAAATATGAACCAGGGGATGCTCAAGAGTAATTAGTTCTTTAGCTACCCAGGTAGGTGAACTGCCAGGGGTTAGTAAATACATTGCATTAGGTACGGCTATGAACCTACCTAGGGTTAGGAGATATCGTATTTTTTAGTTAGTTGATATTAAACTATGAGAGGTAGCTAGCTCAACATAGAAAATCTTTCAGGTGAGGCTCAATGTAGGCTGAAAGATCAGCAGCAACCTGGGTTCGGTATACTTGAATCTATTAGATGTCGTTTACCTTGTTTGTTTACCATCCATATGGAAATTTAGCCAGTTTCTTTGCTTTAATTCTCAATTCATTTTTTGAAGAGCACAGTCTAGGTATTCGCGAATTCGATATAAACTCATATGGTGAATCTCATACAATAGGTTAGGTACTCTACTATCCGAAGAAAAAAAAAAAAAGGATTCCCAAGATGATTCCCCGTGGTGTTTGATTTGAAAAGGATTGATGGTACCTAGAGAGGTAGCCACTCGGGACTATGTAAACCGAAGTTAGGGAGCTTGCAGCTAAAGATCAAATTTGACCTTAGGGTATTAACCTTCTCGAACACCAAAAATGCTAGGGGTGTACAGGTGCGGCGACAGCTTGGCGCCTTGAGAGACCCACTGTATGTCTCTAAACGGCTTGTCTCCGACGTATTCTAGACCCCAACCCCTCGCTAAACGTCCCTAATATCCCTGCTAGAAAAAGCGACCAGACAGCCCCATAAGGGGGGGTTTTTTGAGACGACTACGAGACTCAGGGGGGTTTTATCAAAACTTGACTTTTCTTACTTTCGAGTTGAACTTCTGCTGATAACGGAAATTGTTACTGCAATTGGTACAGCCAATTGGCACAGCACCAGTTGAATAGAGCGGTTGAGGAGATCTTCGTTTTTCGTTCCCCGTTCCTAATACCAACATGCAACTGGTCATAGCTGAATATTCTGTCAAGTGACAAGACAATCCGTGGCTTCAAAAATATGTCTTTATGTTTCTAAACTAATCTTGTTAGTAGGATATAACTAACACGCCAATACTTACCTCGGTACGAAAAGGCAAATCCGTTCAGCAGCAGAACTCTGCCTCTGATCAACTCATGGATTTTCGATGAGATCGAACATCATATGCTTTATCATATTCTCAAATGCTGAAGACATATTCTCGCTGCGATTTTCACAAGGGTGCCACCAGCTGTAATCCAAATTTTACCTGAGATGATAACGGCAACTCGGATCGATTTTCCTGCTGATCATGTTTCTTTTCGAGCCAATCCATGACGGACATCATCAAGCGCCGATCAAGATTATCTTCAGGGCTTTCAGGATATTCGAGCCTAGGGAGCTTTGCGAACCGTCTGTTCCACTTAACCCGAGAGCAGTGAATCGTAGAAATTGATCTTATGCATCTCCTTAAAAGCGCTTGGGATCCTTTATTAAATCCGACGTCTCTGATGGACGATTTTGAATTAGTCTTTACCAAATGGGCTTGGTCGGCGCCTCGCCAGACGCTCACTCCGGGACTCCTTCATTCCGTTCTGGCCCCCTGGTGCTTTTGGATGCAATTGCAGAATCACCGTACACCACGGCGAATTGGTTGGTACTTCTGGTCCCACAGGCAATACGAAATGTATCACGTCTTGGGAATTCCTGTAACATCCATGCTTACAAAACCACTACCTATTTGATACCTGATATGGATGCAACATATTATGTACCTAAGGTATGAATGACCCTGCTTGATGAATTGAGACAGGTTGCATGTTGTCAACTAGGAGTCAATCGGAATCATGCTAACAAAAAAATAGATTAGGTTAGGTACCTCCTAAGATGACTGGACTACCTGTGCTTTGCTTAGAACTAGACTTATTTGTTGACTGACCCGAATTGAATGCCCAAGGCACCTTACAGGTAGGTAGGTAGGTACCTCCTATGCAAGAAGAAGAAGCCACTCGCAAAGAGAACGAGACCAAATACATCGCCGCAACCCCCGGAACAACTTCGTGTATCCTCCATATGATTGTGTTAAAATTGTTTTACCTCCTCTTCTGATAGAAGCAGATAGAACATTCAGACACATTGTTCTTTGCTGCGTTTGCGGTATCAAGCACCGTTTTTGACAATCCCGCTCTTCTCCCTCGCAGGAATCGGCAAATTCAAAAGAGGAATTTTCCCAAAATCGCGAGGGCCAATATTGGGGCGCTTCTTAAGCTCCTTTTCGGGTTCTCCGCTTTCCAACCGCTTGATTAGGTCCTCTGGGTCGAAATCGATGCCGATGGGATTTTCAGCGAACTCAGGACTAGCCATGTACTCCATGGATTCCTCAACCGTGGAAAGGTTGTCTACCTGAGTCTCGAGTACGTTCCCGTCAGGGTCCTGGTAGTACATACTCGTGGTCGGCCCATGGTTAACACACCAAATGGGTACGATACCGTGCGCTTTGCGCTGCTGATAAGCGACCAAAAGATCATCCAGCGTTTCGAAAGTAAATGATATATGATCCAGGCCAGCGGTCATCCGGTTCTTGTCGCCGCAGTCGGGGACCTCCATGATGGCGATACGATGGTGTTCATCGTCATAAGTCAAGAAGGATATCGAATCGTTCCCTGCCACTACGCGCGCGCCGAGAAAAATCTTATAAAATTCGAGCATGGGCTTCGACTCGGGCGTCCTAAGTACAACGTGTGCCAGACGAGAAGGCGGAAGGACTTTCCCAGACAGGTTTGTTCTAGCCATGATATAAGCGGCTGCGGAGGTCAATGATAGGTTATTCGAACGTCTGATTTATATCAAAAATAGCTGGCTAATTTGAGTCAGCGTTGATTGATGTGGCGGATAATAAGAAGCCCATTTAGAGGTAGATTTCGGTGTCTTGTATAACTACAGGTCAATACGATACAAGCAGGACGCTTATCAATATATTTCGACAGTTTACTAATTATATCACAGATACAACGACTGCACACATCTTCATGCATCTTCATGCGGAGAGACTTGAACAATTTTTTCTTGGCAAATCCGCTGTTTCAATAAGCCGTACGTAACACATAGACGTAACATCATAACTCCGCGTGACTATACGGATATAATCCCCCAGCCCGCGGCGAGGGATGCAAAGCTTCTTCTTCCCCGCTCGTATGAAGAGCCCTGCACTATGTATCTCCACTATCGCTTTCACCCTCACAATAATTCCTTCTTGCTGCAGCTAGTAGCACGCACATACTGACGTAAATCTAAGATCCTTCTATTTACAATGTCACGGGTTGTGGCACTAGGGCCAAAAGGCAACGAATGGAGCTACGACAAAGACGCCAGGGCTTATGACCTTACTCGTGGGGCTTCCCCGTTGGCATTTACTCTTCGCACGACCAAGGGTCCTACGGACACTTCGATTACGTTGGCCCCGAGTCTGAGTGCTCTAGTGGTGGTTGATATGCAGAACTTCTTTCTTCATCCGAGTTGCAGTAATCACCCCACTGGTCTAGTTGCTGCAGAACGCACTCTTGAACTTATTAAGAAATGTCGTGAGGTTGGCATTAAAGTACGGTAAAAACTATTAGTTTACAAATAATTGAGTTTTCCATTCATCGTCCCCCGAATGCTTATATGGGAGGCATATACATAATGACTGTCTACCTGATAAAGTACTGACTCAATAACCGGATTCAGATTATTTGGTTAAACTGGGGGTTAAATGATGGAGACCTTGAAAATATGCCAGCAGCTACAGAGCGAAGCTTCAACAAGAGCCTAGTCGCAACGCCTTTAGACGACAGGCGGACCAGAGTCGGCTTTGACTCTGACTTAGGAGAAGGTAGAGGTCGACTACTGATGGAGGAGTCATGGAATGCAGCGCTGTATGGCGCTCTGCATGACGCCGCGAGCGACTCAGATACTTTTTGCAGCAAGAACCGCATGTCGGGCTTTTGGCATAGCGAGACACCGCTCGCGAAAGCGTTAGTCTCCGGTGGCTTTCGGTCTCTCTTGTTTGCCGGCGTAAACACAGACCGATGCGTCTTGGGGACCCTGGTTGACGCATATAATCGCGGTTACGACTGCATTATGGTCGAGGACTGCTGCGCGACGACAACTCCAGGAGGTCAGGAGGTTACTATCTACAATACCGCAGTGAGTCGATATATCCTATCTCATCATTGATTCCCCCGCATCTTGAATCATATGCCGCCATAACCCATGAAGGATTCCAAGACACTTTTGCTAACACCACATGCATAGGAGATATACGGGTTTGTAATTGATAGTAAGAGCGTTATTACGGGTATGCTCAGCACCGAGGCGCATATATAAGCATCACAAATCAAGAAATGCTATGAAAGGACTTTGTTGTGATGTTATTTGGCCTACCGGCCCTTCTTGACCTTCGCCCTAATAGGACATGCGAGGGCATCTACAGCTTTGTTTCGCTAGGGTTTATGTGGCTCAAGTATCAAATTGGCAACTCCGCAGCTTAGAGGTAGTCAGCTGTACCCAAGAATTGCTGTTCTAGGCTGGAGTCGCTCTAACCCATGGTTCTGGTTCTCGCACTAATTCAAAATCGCGGCACAGTCGCTTTACGCGCGCTGTCGGTTGATCTTAAGCTGGAGAAAGAGGAGTGTAAAAGCCTATCATGGTACCTAGGTACCTAGGGTTAAGACGTTACGGGATTCTAGTGTGTTGGGCATGAGGCAGCTGGTGAGCGGCCAGAGGCTTATCAGCGACGATCATGTTTATACAGAACGTCTAAGAAAAAAAAAGAAAAAGAAAAAAAAAAAAAAGATAGGCGTACTATTTCCAAAGTAGCTGCCTAGCGAATATTTTGACTGACTCCTTACTGTTTTAGCAACTTAGCAGGAATATCACAGAACTTTTCTTCAATAACACTCCCTTTTCGTAATGGCGAGAGGCTGATTTGTCATGTTGCAGGCTCTTATTGCATTGACTGACTAATAAGGCAACAACAAATGATTCCTTTTTACTAAGTCTTTGTAATAACCATTCCGAAAAAGTATGGCGATGACCTAACGTACAAGTATCTATATCATATGATGACGATGTATGCAAATTCATATCTGTATTTACCCAAGGTAGGGTGACTAGGTCTAGTTTCGTTTATTGGTGATCGGACATTGACCGCTTAGATGCTTTCGTTGTCTCAACAGCTTCTAAAACACTCTGAGAAAATGTAACTGAATGCGAGTTAATATTCAACTGACATTTTCGTCCTTTGGGGCGGGTGCAGAGACTGGCACTGCATCTAGAAATGCGAAGTAACTATAGCTTAATACCTATAAGGGTGCGCAGATAGGAGATGTCTTCTTTTCTGTTCAACCGTTATGCACATGCAGATCAACTTAACAGCCCCAGGTAGTCAAGTCAAGACACTCCACTCCACTCCATATACCAACCATACTTGTTGATAAGGAACTTGAAGCTCAAGTCTGCGAAGTCCTTTGTATTTTCTAATCACAAATGACGGATAAGCGCTGCGAAATTATGACTTCGCAAGAGTCTCCCCCAGCTCCTTTCCCCGGTCAGCCGCTGCCTTTACGGCCCTGTCTACGGTCTCCTTGAACCCCGAGGCATCGAAGCTCTTCAGGGCGGCTTCCGTAGTCCCCTTCGGACTAGTCACGTTGATCCGCAGCTGCGCCGGCTCGTCGGACGACTCCACCAGCATCTTACCCGCCCCGAAGCAAGTCTGCTTGGCTAGACGCGTAGCCTGTTCCCGGGACAGCCCTAGGCTTATCCCGCTTTCGATCAGGTGTTCTACCATGGCGAAGAAATACGCAGGTCCGGATCCTACATCACGTTTGCGTCCGATTAGGTACCTTGTTTCAACGGGTTTCACTCAGTTCGGTGGGAATGATAATGAATCTTACCGGACAGCCCCGTCACGACGTCAATGAGCTCTTCCCGGTCCACCCACTCGGCCACCTTGCTCACGCTTCCCAGCAGCGCGGCGGCCAAGTCCTTCTCTTCTTGCGACACGTCGCCGCTCGCGAAGAGGCCGGATGCGCCCTCGCCCAGCAGAGCGGGGGTATTCGGCATGACGCGAATGATATGGGGCGTGCGTCCGTCGGCGAGCTCGAGCCAGTCCTTCAGGCTCTGCAGCGTGATGCCCGCGGCGATGGAGACGATCAAAGGCAGGGACGTGCGGCCGGCCCAAGCACCGGCGAGCTCTTGGCACACGCCCTTCGTGACCTGGGGCTTCACCGCGAGGACGAGGAGATCGGCATCCTGCGAGGCCTCGGCGTTGGACGCGGTGGTGCGCACCCCGGTCGCTTGGATCTTATCCCGGTTCACCTCCCAGGGCTCCGAGACGATGATGTTCTGCTTGTTAACGCCTTTGGCAACGAGGCCGCCGATAATGGCGCCAGCCATGTTACCGCCTCCGATGAACCCTAGCTTGCTTTTGTCTAATTGGGAAGCCATTTTCGTAGTTTTGATTTGATTTGATTATTTTTTTTTTTTCGGCTTCCGCAGATTTATGGAAAACGAACCTCAGGTAGAACCTCACTAGAATATGGAATTAATGTGTACCTAACCTAGCCGAGAATTAATATTCAGAAAGCCCGCGCCGATGTTGTCGATATCGGCTTGTTTCGGCCTTCTTAGCGTCACTTCGTTCGATGTATTGTACCCGTCATTGTGGCAGTGCGGTCAGCTTGCTGTGTGGCTGGGGCCAAGGGTTATGAAGTCGGGGGGTGGCTAGGGAGTCAGACCAAACTTCTTGAATATTATGTATGAGGTAGTTAGCACGAGTTATTGCTCTTCGGTTTTCCTGAAGTCATATCTAGATCATTCATTTGAATGAAAACAAGGACTTTACAAATACAGTATCAAACGATCAAATAACCATCGAGCTTAATATCGCAGGTATCTAACCTAACGTCACAGGCGTACCCTCTAGTTAGGTAGAATCTAGATACTTCTAATTGTTTTTATTGTCATTGTTCAGCTACAATGAATGGATTCAGAAATTGAATTTCCAATGGCTCTAAGGTTGTCAATAGATTCAATTTATAAAGCATTGTAATGAAGTGGCGAATTGCTATAGTCAATATAGTAGAATAGAGTGAATTTGGCAAATTATCGATTCGTAGGAGATATCTTACGTAGTAGGTAGTCAATGGCGTCTTTCTTGTGTATTGGAGGCAGCTAAGTATGGGCCTAAGGTAAAGACGCCATGTGTGAATAGAAATCAGGCACATCCAGGTCTTTAGGAAATGATATCAAAGCTTTCAACGCTACTGAGTCAGGGAAGGAGTGACTCCTGACCGTGACAATGGGATTGCTTACATTCCGTCCATTCTTATATCAACTTGTTTGATTTATAGTCACAATTACATGATTCTATAGTATTCAAAGCCACTTACGAGACAATATTTCTATACAAGCCCGTGTAAAAGTTATGTTTAAAAGCTAGGTAGGTACCGAAGGTAGTAGTTTTTGATCGCCCCACGAATACCGCAAACCTCCAAATTCCTCTCCTGGCTTGTATCATATCGCCACAGCATCTATATTGGAAAATAATCTAGTATGGCGTCCCTTACAAGCTTTCCCAATGAGCTCCTAATGGAGATTTCGAAATACATAAATGATTCCGCCGATTTGAAGCACCTTTGTCTCGTTAGTCGACGCCTTTACTTCGTGTTTGACCCTGTTTTGTACGCCTTCGCTGCTCTCAACCATCCGCACCTCATGTGCTGGGCTTCCGAAGCTGGCAGAATTGAAACGGTGAAGAAGCTCCTCTTGGGAGGGATGAGCCCTAATATGATTACATCTAATCATAGAGACAAAGATGTAGAGGATGGTCGGCATATCAAATGGGCTCGCGATATGGCAGATACTGGGGCTGTGATCGGATCGGTAATGACCCATAAGCAGAGGGTTGTGGAATCCCGTTCCAAGCAGAAGAACGAACCACCGACATATGACGAGCACTTGACCAAGAGAAAACGAAGGAGGAGAATACGGAAGTACTTGCGTTCGTCGGTGGATACTTTCTGGTTTTCTCTCCATTCCGCTGCTATGGCTGGGTCTACTGAGATAACCGAACTTCTACTAGACTCTGGGGCTCAGTTAGATGTTCCTTCGCGCGCATTACACATCTGGGAGGCTTATTATCGCTGTAGAGAATCATCGAAGAAGACTCACTTTTGGACACCACTGCATACCGCCTTATGCTGTGGTCAGGAAGATGTGGCCAACCTTCTCATCACTCGGGGAGCATCCGTAGATGTCGAAGTTCAAACACGGCCGTCTAATGCACTACATTGGGCGGCTCGATGCGGCTGTTTATCAACCATACGACTACTTCTAGAAGGCGACCAAAAGGTCCCCGTCGACACTCGAGATTTTGTAAGTAATGCATAGTAACGGTATCCTTGAAAATGATGATTGCATGCCTGGTACTAACATTTCTTTAGGAGGGTGCAAGTCCCCTTATGTGGGCTTTAGGGACCACAAACAGTATCGCGACAATGAAATGCCTGCTCCAATATGGTGCGAACCTTGATGTGTTGACGCATGGACAATGTCCTCACCATGATAACCAATCCACAGCACTTCTGCGAGCTCTTCGCCATTGCTGGTATGAGGATGCTGGATTTCTTATTAATTCCGGCGCAAATATTCATCCTCCTACAGACGACTTACCTTCCGCCTTAGACCAGTGTCTTATTTCATTACGCGTAGGCTATTTCGACATGAAGAGCGAGACTCGACTCAGCGAGCTTGCTTCGAGAGAGAGCGAATCTCGCAAAGTTTTTTGCGAGGCCTTTGACGTTAGGAGTCAATTGAGGTATCTGTCGAGTTATCCTTCCTACAACGATATTACTGGTGCAAAAGTTCGCATTGGGATGGTAGGAGTGGCTAAAAAGCTGATACTCCACGGTGCTAATGTCCATGGTTCTCCCACCGCTGAATCTTCTCCAATAGTGCGCGCGGCAAGAGCTCATTTGCCGGAGATAGTAGGCCTCTTGCTTAAGTTTGGGGCTTCAGTTGACCACGAGGATGACGATGGGACGTATCCACTACTTGCTGCTGTTTCGACACGATGTACCACGCAACCAGAATCTTACATCGATACTGTTGCGTGCCTCCTGAAAAATGGGTCAAATCCTGACAAGGCAACTCGGGTCAAGCAATACCGGACAGCTCTCGCGGCTCTATGCTTGTTGCAATTTGACAACCCCGGGGAACTTGAGGTTGCTAAACTTCTAGTCGAACATGGTGCGGATATACACGCTCGCGGTTACTCAAACGTGTATAGGGATCGACTGCAGTTGACACCACTTCAAGCCGCTCTCTACAGTTGTAAACCGGACATTTGTCGGTACCTCATAAATAAAGGCGCGAAGATGGATCCCGACAAGTTGGATTTTCACAAAGTGCTGCATAATTTAAAGAGTCGGTTCTGCGGTCCTTTCGCGCTACCCGGCGGCTTACCGCGCGAACGAGTAGCAGAAATCTTCCGACTCCTCGTGGAACTCGATCAATCAAGATCTCTTATGGAAAATTCCATGTGTTTTTGGATGTCTATAACCATCGGTTCCTTTCCTCTGGTGAAAGAATTTCTCGATTCGGGTGCTTCCGATGCGTCGTGGGTCGACAGGTTCAATCAAACTTGTAAGTACGCTTGATTCACCAACTCTTACTTTTGAAACCCTTGGTGTGCACTTATCCTTACCTGACACTGGCGTGGCATGCTATTAGAATATCTGACCAAGTAGAGGGATAGAGACTTGACAAGTTTACTATAGGTCTTCATAGGTTGGCTGCCAATACGTCCGGCGAGCTTGAGGCCACTGCCTTGGTACCGCAACTTATTGAAGTGGGAGCGGACGTAAACATGCTTGATTCGTATCGACGCACGCCATTTACACACCTTATTTTACCATCGTCCTCCGCGCGCGATCCTGAGGAAAGCCTTGAACCGTATACTGAGCTGTTCAAGGCCTTCATTGAAAACGGGGTAGTCCAGAGTAAATGGAATATAGCGACATTCAAATGGTTAATGGAATCCGGATGCTCTAACTCCTCCACATTTCGAACACGTTGGGCTGTTGAACTAGGAAGTCTATACCAGGTGAAAGAGGGAAAGATAGTTCCCCGAGAACAACGCCTTTATGGGGAAGCCTTAATATTAGATGGGATGGAGGAGGAACGAATGTCTAACTGGGGAGACATGTCTGATATGCCTGAAATGTCTGGCCTATCTGACAGGGAAGAAGATTTATTTTTTTAAATCCTTTTTAAGGAAAAAAAATTTGACAGGAATTAGACAATATTAAGCACCAGAGAGTAATCAAATTTCAAACTTAGATATCTACGGAGGGAGATATATGGTAATTGTGAGTGGCCATAGGTCAGATAGACTGTAATAGTACCTACCTAGGTAGGTAATTATGCTATTAAGAAATACACTTTTGACTCAGCGGTTTGCATCTGGGAGTAATTAAGAATCACATGGCAACACGATATCATTGTACCTAATACACCTGCAAGTACCATTACAACGCATAACTGATTTGGGCCAGATTTTCAATTGCGGCCAGTCCGTAGAGCGCGGCATCGTTGGTCGAAACCCACGCCGCCTCGTCGACCGGTGACAGAACTTGGCTTCCATTCAGGTGCTCGCTCGCCCAGGGCAACGACGGCGATAACCCGTCCGTGCTGAGGAACTCTTTCCACGCGCGCGCTGCCAGCGTCGAGTTGTCTAGCTTCTTAGCTGCGTACGCCGTCAGCCGCGAGTGCCCCTGCTTCAAGTTTAGTTTGCCGAAGCTGACTCCATATCGTGCCGTTTGCTCCGCGGCCCCGGCGCCGTAGTAGTAGCAGTAATCCAACCACGCCTGCTCGAAGCCGGCTGGCAGGTCGTCTCCTAGGTAGTCCGCCAGCTGCGAGATGATTTCCGGCAATCCGAAGCTCGCGGGGAGGTGCGACACCTCCACGTGGCCGAGATTCTTCGGATCGGTGGCTGGAGGTGAGATGACGCCCGTGTGTAGATTGTAAAGACCTAGTCCCGTAACAAAGCCGTTCTTCAGATTTGCAATGCTGTGCATGGTCGTGTTAAGCTTCGACCGTGCTTCTTCCCATCGCGGGCCGCGCCTCTCCCACTCGAGGAACCAGGTCGAAGCCAGACCCGACCAGTCGAGACCGACGTCTAAATCCAGAGCGGTCGGGTCGATTACGTAGGTGCCGTTATCCTGGCGGACCTTGCGTCGCGGGTCCACGGTGAGGAAGGCCTGGTCGGCATCCATAAGCTCGTGCAGGAGCTCTCCTGTTCGCTCGTCACCGCCGGATAAGTAGTAGAATACTTGCCGGTAAATAGGTGTTGATACGCGGATCTGCTTGGAGCTATCGCCCCAGTGCTGGACACCGTGACGAGTGCCGAAACCCTTAAAAGGGCCGATGTGATACACATCTACCTCGCCGGTGTGTCGCGCGTGTGCTTCCGCAAATCGGTATACGTCCGCTCTACCAGTGCGCAAGAAGTAGTTCCAAAAGAAAAGGTTGGGAGAAAGTTCCGAGTTATCCCACGCATATCCTCCAATGTCGTAGCGCCAGGTGTGTCTATCCTCATCGTAGGTATCTATATAAGCTTGTTAGCAGTTTTATAATCGAAAGATTAAGGGTTAGCGATAGCAGGTGGGCAGAAAGCCTTGGATTACATACGCATGATGTCGCCGTGGTCCCAAAATCCATACCATCGTCTCTGGAATACTTGGTCCTGGTAGAATTTGATCAAGAAGTCAAGATGCGATTCAATCGTTCGCGCCGACTCGGTCAAATTATCAGGAATCATCTCCCAGTACGACCCGATAGCTTTCGTCCGTTGAATATATGCCGGGTCGGCTGCAAGCACGGGCGGCTCGTTTGCATGGGCTGTGAGAGAAGCTAGTGTATCCGCGGAGGGTGTGCTGTCAAATGGAAATAAGAAGATTTCGTTAGTCCGAGCGATGCCGTATGGTGTGTTGTAGCCTCCCTCGTAATCCTCATAGGTGATCTCAAGAGCATCAAGTTGGTCGTCGTATGTGTCTTCGCCTAGGCCGTCATGGAATGGCCTGAGATCCATGGGTTCGGCAGCAGGGCTGTATAGCCATAAGGTAATCTGGCCAACGTCCGTAGCCGCATTGGATATATCTAGACTCGTTGGATATTTCTTCCAGAAATCGCGAAGAGCGACTGCCAGACCACCTTGCGTAGCACCGCCGAGATAAGCAAGACCGCCAGCTCGTGTGCCCCCGGGGATCTTGACCCAGCTATGACCGGCCTTTGTGCGCTTCTTCAATGTAAATCCATCCGGAGATAGCTGAGTTAAGCTATAGTCATTCCATGAGGGGATCCATTTTAATCGGGAGGAGACGCGGGTATCCCAGGATGAGATATCGGGTGTCTTTTCGCCCTTGAACTGGGAATTCCGAACTTCCTCGCCAGGGTCTCTTCGCAGTCCTGTGATTCCTTGTACCGCTTCACTCAGGAGTCCCCTATCCTGACCAGCTAGCCTAACATGGCGGTTATACAATTCCTCACCTGCTAGAGGGACATCAAACTGGATTCCAATTCCCGTGACGAAATCCTCGTCGGCTTTGCCGTCGAATATAAGTGTGTGAACAACACGAATGGCATCAGAGTCCGCGTATAGGTAAAAGCGAAGAATAAATGGTAGCCAGTTATCGCGAGTACCCGATGTCGTCTGGTGTTTTCCACGAACAGCTACCAAACTCCTGACTATGCTATCTTCGGTAGTGTTGACGGTGACTTCCTCAATGTTGCTTTCGAATCTTAGCTTCTCAATTGAAGTTGTTTTCTCCCCATCGTCCTCGATACCAGACTGAGACCGCAGTATCAGTCGACCATTCTGCCCTACAATTTTGCCGCTTGCCGTCTTGATCAAGCCCAGGACCGTGCTACCGGACTTTGGGAATGTCGCAGTAAGTTTCCCGGTGTCAACAGTAACCTCGTCGTTGGAGTCGCGAACGGTCAGCTTTGATTGGGGAGCCGGACTGGAGCGTCTGGTCGTGTTACCCCTAGTATTGGTGGATGCGGTAATCTTGTATTCTTCGTAGACCTTCTCGGACCCGCCTAATGCGTGCCCTGTCCATTTGATGGTGTCATCTGGCCAGTACGCGGTTATCCATGACTCTAACCGAACCGAGTCACCATTATTGCCTCCTAGACCACTGAATATGGTCTGGTTTGCCGGGTACTTTCCTCGGGGCCAAGGAAGTCCGAACGTCGTCCCCGAATTGAATGTTGGCGTGTTGCCGACCCATCTCACTGTGACATCTTCCGAGTTGTTGACCTTCTCATAGATTTGGGCGGAGGCAATATTAGCTAGTCCCAGGGCTATGAGCCCTATAGTTCGGATGTGAGGCATTCTTAGAAAGTTCCGAGGCTAGAAATCCAACCGGGGCGCTCTTGAACTTTCTTGAAGCCTCGTTGGCCTTACCACCATCGAGGTCAAATTCCCATACTGAAGTCCCGTCATCTCCTTGTATATTATATACGCAGCCCATGACTGCGGCGAAATTGATTTCCAACTTCCGGCATACCGGTTTTTGGATATACTTCAAGCTAGAGGCATTGAAGCTATGCGACTTGGTTACCGTAGTATTGCAACCTCGGTAGGATATTACACCGGAGGTGTTGCCTAGTAAAGCTGGCATATTTAGCTACTCCGCATCTGGGCCAGCTTTAGTATTCGCTAGTATTGATTCATGCTATGGCGAACAAGACAGGATAGAATAACGTAAGTATCAAAGTACATTTACTCCCCTTATGGAAAGATTCCACGAATGACAGGAGGGCCCGAAAAGCTAATCCACGTAACTTAACAGCGATATTACTCTGCGTGGAAGGTAGTTATGGGGGTTGTGGAGATACCCTGGCTGGCCTGGCCAAGCACGCGAGTTTAGTGTGGCTTTGGTAAATAATTTAGAGGCTTCGCAGTAGAGGAGTCTTTGCAATGATCATGAAAGAAGGTTGGAGATGATAAGAGATTCCCCACAGGCGGTTCAAGAGGTCAAATGTTGATGTCATACCAACTTGGATTAACAATGAAGTCAAGAATAAATTCAGGAAAAGAAATGTCCGTGAAAGTATAGTGTGGTAGCAGCACGGCCGGTTTATCCTAGAGAAGAAGGTTTTGTCACAATGCAATAAAGGTAAACGGCCTTGGGGATGACATTTAATAAACCTCATTCATTTCTAGTATTTCTTGGGTACTATTTGGCTGTACTGGCTTTAGAAGGAAAAAGAATTTATGAGATAGGGAATGCCTGGGCGTAGCAACTGATAAACTCTAGGTACCTCCTATTAGGGTTTTTCTTGTTTCTGGTGATGCTTGTTTTTAAGCCATTATGACATTGGATCGCGTACTGTGTTGTCGTAAAACTAGTCCAAGTAATTCGTCCCAATCTTATGTCTCTCAATTTATATAGACTTCGTACCTAAGCTAAAACATTGAAAATTGCCACTTTTTAAATGAACGCCGGAAACAGCATTTAAACATAGGGGTATCATACCTCCTTTCCACCACTTCCATAACATCATCCCCCGTTAAACGATGCATAGCCGCAAAATTTGAAGATAAAAATAGATCGGAAAGACAGCTATCAGAAAGAAAAGAGGCCATCTTGGTGGCGACATGAATCCGGAAGAATCCCTTTCCTCTTCTCAGGTCGAGTGCGACGATGAAGAATTCCTGCTTAACTTCTTGCTCTTCTTGCCCACGATTTCAATCACTTCCGGTTGCGGCATCTCGGGTTCCTCAAACCGAGCCGACGGCTCGCCCGCCTCGGGATCGTCTCTATACGGGGCAACCGGTGCAGCCGTCTCTTCTTCCACGTCGCGGTCGTCGCGGTCGTCGTCGTCGTGAGGATCGGTAGAAACAAACAACGGCGCGTACCCTCGCGCGCCGCGGTTCCTAAACCAAGTCGGGGTCCTCCACTGTGGCGCTTTCACCTTGGGGATGGCCGGCAGCTTCCACTTGACGCTCCTGATCTTGGTGTTGAGGTTCGGCCTCGGCAGCGAGGCTTCGTCGAGCCACGGCATGCGCGGCGGCGCGTCCGGCCGCAGCTGGTGTCCGCAGTTGGGACAGTCGGGCGGGACAGCCTGCCACGCGAGGTACTGCGTCAGCCCCGGAATCGCGAGGCCACGGGAGAATTCGCGTACCGCTAGGAAGAGATGGATTAAGCTACGAGTAGCAAGGACGCCATGTTTAGTAAACGATGCTCTTTGTTTATTCACCCATCTCCGGTCCAGATGTTTATCTACCGCAGAGGTGTCTAATCTATAGGAGGTAGGTACCTTAGGTACCTAACCTAGGATACGAGGAAAAGGAAAGAGAAAAAAAAGAAAAAAAACCTACAAATTAATTAGCAGCGGGATTGTCGCGTACGCGGCTAGCATAGCTGACTCGGCGCTGTTGGTGCTACCGCTGCTGGAATCAATCCAAATGAACACCAGAACTACCATTAGCGCAGCGGCGAGGATCAAGTCGACGGCGAATGTAAGGAAAGGGTGGGTCGGAGTCGATCTCGACGCTGGAGCTGGAGTGGGCGCATCAGATGCTTCTCTGCTCTGCGGTGTGTCGTCCGTCTCCGGCCCGCGCTCGTACTCTTGCTCCAGGGCACTCTCCCCGACATCTCCGCGCTCTAAGTCCGGCTCGGGTTCAGATGATGGCTGCTTACTTCTAGACTGCCGTGAGTTTATGAAGATGCCTGCCCCGGCGGAGAAGGCGAGGGGCACCAAGCCGACGGCGGGGGTGGGGCTACCCGAGACGATGCCGTGCGCGAGGCAGAGAGGGAATGCAGGTAAGAAAGTCGCGGCAGTGACTATGCGAAGCGTTCTAGAGTCGGCCATGGGATACGGTAGCCGACTATCACGGCGGTGAAACTATAGAACTGACATATATGTATATGGCATTGGAAAGAAGAGGGGTTGACGAACGACGCGAAACTTGCGACGGTTCAAATGGAGATTTATTTACAGATTAGGTCGGCACCCCCCTGCTCTCTACCCTTCTTATCGTTGCCAGGGTTTTGATTCGCCAACCAATGAGGTAACATTAATGATGGATCACGACCTGGCGATCTTGCGACGGTAATGAATTCATTTAATAGGTGCTCGTTCGAAACTAAACAATGGGTATAATTGGTTGTTGCGAGCTACGTGGTCGAGTAGCATGTATTACGACATTAAACTAGGTACCTAAGGTAAATAACTATAACTATTTCATAGACAAGCAGTTTACTTGCAAGCAAAGAGGAAAGCATCTTTCCTCGATCGAGAAGCAACTTAGAAGATCATTCACATTCCTTGACATAAAACGACGGATATGAGGATAAATGATAATGATGTATCAATGTGCCTAATTCAGGCGACAGGTATAACTAAAGTAATGCTAGACATCGCCTCAACCCCTATCCGTAAAGTCGTAAGCTCCACCCCGCGAATGTAGTTTCTGATAGCCACGATCGTCGTAAGAGTAAAGTGACGTTCCCCTAAATAAACCCTTCACACAATCCGTCGTAGGAGAACTGCATTCGGTGCCAGTGGAACCCGCGGTGCAGGAACACCAGTCTCCACATCCATAGGCGGCGACGTAGGGCGTAGAACGGCAACAGGCCGAAGAACGGTGGTCGGGTATACGACAGCTGGGCCGCCAACCCTGTATTTAGGACGTACCGGTGGCTTAGGGAGCGGACGGTTCGGCGGTCCGGGGGCGTCACGGGCGGGATAGAGAGGATTGTAGATGTGTGGCGGCGGCACCTCGTAGACGACGCGGCTGACGGGCGGCGGCATGATGACGTTGGACGGCATTGGAATTCCTTGAGGCTGAGTTAATATCAATGGGTTTCTGCTAATAATGTGGCTTAAGAGCAGCTGGAAGGGAGGCGATGGATCGAAAGTAGGCGTGTACCGAAATGTAACGGGGATCAAAAAAGAGCACATGTGCTTGATGAAAATTGTTAGGTAGTAGGGGGGAAAGAAGGAAGGATTTCAAAGCAGGCTGGAAAGATGGTAGATTCCGTTAAATATTCGCGCAGGCGTCTTGTTCTGTCAATAGGCTTGCCGTCTGGTCTAAGTATGGTTATCTAAAAGCAAATCAGAATCTTCTATTATAAGATGACGAAAGCCTTAGGTCTCAGTATCGCTGAGATCAGTGATCTGGGGTTATGCGTATAATTTGGAGCTTGGAGCTTGGAGCTTGGAGTCATGGTAGTAGGGGCTTGTACGAGGTAGCCTTTTACTAAGATCGGGGGACGTGGATGGTCTGGCTTAGGACAATGTCCCGCAGAGCAGGCCAAGGGGGTGAACTAGGAAGCTTAGATCTTACCCTTGAATCAAGGCCATTTGGAATATCCTACGGTAGGGCGACTCAGTATGTGAATCTGTTGGGTGTGGATCTTGTTAGGAATAACTCTCTGATTATGGTCTTCTGCTTGACACCATCGATGCTGAGGCTGTCACACTGGCTTAAGAGCTTGCTTTGACGACCATACCCGAAACGACATTTGTAATATTGAACGATACGCCGAGAAGGAATAAGTCACAGGCTTCATAGCGAACTTAGATACCTCCTTAGGTACCTACTCACGGAATGATTCCTGGCCATGCAGTACATTGTTCCTACCTACATGTAAAGCTTTTAATAGTGGCTGCGTCCCTATAATGACAATCAGGCAAGGGGTCTTTTAGAACGTTGGATAAAGGATCCTACGCCAAACACGTCGGGGGCGGTATGCTTGAGTTGGAATTATTCATCGAGAATGTCATATAATGGTATCGCCAATAGAGACCTGTCCTAAAACGCCGAGTTATATCATGCCCTGCTATGCAAACTTCCCCTATCTAATCCCAATATCTGATTATACCGTCAAGACCCGCCGCCACAACTTTACTCGTCTCCTGAGGATGCCACTGCACGCACGTGATCGGTTGGTCGCCAGCTTGCAGCTTATGATACATCTTACACGTCTTCCAATCCCAGAAGCAGACGAATCCGCCGCTGTCGCCGCTAGCAAGAAACTGCCCGTCGGGACTGCACGCGACGTCGATGGCTGTACCAGCGTTGTTGTGGCCTCTGTAACTTTTCTTCCTGTTCTGCCTGAACTTGTCATTGGCACCGTATACGACGATCTGATTATCAGATGATTGGTACGCCACGTATTTGTTTGAAGGGTGTAGACATGCGCGCGTCATCGGGAACATATATGGTTCCGCAATGTACTTGATGGGTACGGGGATATTATAGTCCCAGGCGCGTAAACTCTTGTCGTCCGATGTAGTCATGAATCGTCGGTTATCGTCAACAAAGGTGATTGTGTTGATGGCGTTCAGGTGGTGATCGTACTCTTGGACAAGCTCCCTCGTCCGGGTGTCGAATTGAACAATCTTCTTATCCGACATACCTGCGAGGAATTCATGGGAATGCTCAGGAGAAGGGTTGAACTTAATGACGTGTGGTGTCTTTCCGGTTGTAAACTTATTTAGACATGCGCCCGTTTCGGTATCCCATAATTTCATCTGTCGGTCGTATGATGCCGAGAGGAATTGCGTGCCAGAGTTGTTGAAGCATATATCCGATACGGCTTTGGAATGGCCCAGATAACTTCGTAATAGCTCCTTTTGATGATAAACGTCCCAGATCTTGACCGTACTATCTGCTCCAGATGATAGTAATAGATGTCCCGAGTTGGGAAAGAATCGAAGAGCGGTAACGGCTTTGTTGTCGTGGTTCTTCCATGTATGAACCAGCTTCTTGGGGATATAATTGGTGATGCTGCCGGGTTCTTTTCGTAAATCGACATCGAGATCTTGAGGTACGTGCATATAGGTTCTCCCTTGGTAGTCGTATTCTTGTTGGCCGTGGAATATGGTTTGTTCGTCTCCCAGTTCCTCCACTTCCTTCCTCCTCGCTATAGCCTCAGGAGGTGCCGAGACGACAGTACCACTTGCGACAACGTCATCCTCATCTTCGTAAACGTATTCCACCTCTTCATCACTTGCTAGTTCTTCGTCTTCCCCGACTTCTTCGTATTCATCCTTTTGATATTTCGCCCATGGTCCTACGTATGCGCCATCTCCATCAGCAATAGTCGCGTCTCCCTTCTTTTGTCTCGACGCCCTCAATTTAGCTGCTTCTTCTTTTACTGCAGTACCTGATTGATATTCTCTCTCTGGGCCGCCTTTGCGTTCGATTGCGCGATGCTTGCTGCGGAAAGTGTGTTCGCTGAGAAAAGTCTCTTCCGCATTACCAGTAAGCACATTTTTGCGTTTTAACGTATTTGCTTCGTCCTTGAATGGATTAAGAGGTCCAAGTTTGGGGCGCGCAAGATCTTCGCCGGTATATGGCACGACAGCATGATCAGGTTCAGCTTGTTCGCGTACGATGAGGGCATCCTGGGGTGCCATATTTGGCGGATATTCCCCAAAATCCTTCATTTTGCTTCCGTGTGTCGTGGTTGATGCGCCCTCGTAAATTTGTTGCAATTTGTAATTTGTTGTAAGCGCGTCGGAAAGACGTGGCGGAAGCTTTTGCTCCAAGGTTAGGGGACTTTCCAAAGCTTATAGCTGGTACCTATAAAGCCTGATAAATGCCCAGGTGCCCGTTAGAACTTAGCAGTCTCTATCAACCGTTAACCCCACCATTCTTACTTATCAGCCAATCAAATTGTCAAATCATACATTTATCTCTAAGTACCTAGGTACCTAGGAGGTACTTAACCCTTGAAGAGGTTGTATCTATCAGGTACGTGCTTCGTACATCTCATCTTATAAATCGATTCATACATCTCGGTATCATTACTTCGTACAATATATATATCCTGTTGTTAAGACAGGTCAAGTCAAGCTTTTAAACTGAACAAGCTCGTATAAATCGGGGTATTATCTTGTAACTTTATTACCTATGAGAATCTCCTGCCCGAAACAAATTTGCACATGCTGCTAATTCAACAGGGGACCTGACCTACTCCCAGGTCGCTTGCCATCGTCGCCATCATCATCCCAATCTTATGGTATCGCACATATCAAACGAGAAAAACGGGGACATATCGATCCCTATAAAGGGACCACGTTCTATCCCGCTTGATCAAATCGTCCGATAACCCTTCACTTTCCCAGCAAAATCCACTACTCTAAGGCTCGCTCCAAGGTTGTTTAGATTCACAACCTTCCCGCCGGGGATCCGGAGACCCTGTGTAATTCGTGGCTCATTAGAGTCATTTCCGTTCGGGTGTCTCGTTTGCGTCGTATTTCTCATTGTGCTTATCCCATCTTTTTCAGAATTTATTTCGTCTCGTCCTTGATCAAGGCAACGATCATGCTGTATAGATAGAAGAAGAACATGACCAAGTGGAAGCCCAGCTTGAAGAAAGACTCCTGCAACTGACGTTAGATAGACCGCTCCGAGAGATATTTGACAATATCCATACCTTCTTGTGCACGTTGAGCTTCCTGAAGATTTCGGTTGCGTCCAGTAGATGAGTGTTATCCACAATCCTATAAAGTACAGTACCTAAGGTTAGAATCTTAAAACAAAAGACGTAAAACAATTCTGGGTGACTTGGACAAAACGCACTTCTTGATGTTCCAGCCGAGAAGCGGTAGGTTGAGAATCAGTGCGACCCAGTATCCGTTGATCAAAAATAAGAAAGTCAGGAATCCGTGCACGGCAGCTTCGGGGATGATATAGGTGTTGAGACGGTTGCATAGGTCGATAGGGTTGATATAGTCACTGAACAAACAACAGTTAGCCAAAACATCCCGAGGGAATAAAACCCGAGGAAGTAGAAAGGGAGAAGCAATGACGTAGATCACAGGCGCATCCTGCAGAACGTAGATCTGGCCACGAACTACGACATCTTTCCCCTCCAGGTCCTTGCACATACCATTCTAAGTCGCTGTACATAATCGTGAAGAATACTTGGAGGAACAGATTGACGGCATTTATGAGCACGGCGAAGAGGTATAACCACGCTTCGCCCGACATCTTGACAGCTATATGCTTTCGTGTGGCCTATAAGAATGTTTGTAGTGATGCACAACGGGCCGTCAAATATACAGTAGGTTGCTCGTTAACCGATATAGTCGAGAGGAGCAAGAGGGAAGCTTCCTGGCGGCGTTTGGCTAGACGGTGTCAAGTGCACGTCAAAAAGTTGGACGGTTTAAAAAATGACGGATCTCGAGGGAGAGAGAATGCGGAGATAAGGCTGCAAGATTGAAGGCTACGTGGAAGGTCGAAGCTTCTTTTTCTTTTCTCTTCTTTTGCGCGAGTATCACAGCAAATTAGGAGAGAGAGAGATTGACGTGCCGTCAAAATGCACACTGTAGTGTGTGATGTCGAAATGTCCCCGCGATTAATTAAAGCTGAGAACGGTGATTTGGTTATTTCTCGGTAGTTTGGGAGATTTTGGGGGGGCGGCGGTTTTGTGCGGGTGGATGATGAAAGCGGCTCGCTGCGAAGCAAGAAAAAAAAAAGCTTGCCTTCCCCTTGGGAGAATAGAGGAGGGAATCGGAGCGGCCTTGAAGCGGCGAAGCTTGGTGAAGCTTTCGGCTACCTAAGGTCCACTCACTAAACGGATGCAGACATGACATCTGGATGTATCCCAAGTACAATAGTACCTGAACATCTTAGGCACACATCACATATAGCAGGTACCCTGTACTACCAGAACTACCAGAACCCTCTACCTAAACGGAGACCCCACATCGGAAGGCTGGAAAAAACGAACGAATAGGGACAGCAGGAATATCAAGTAATAGTACGAAATAGAGACTACCTCTACACTATGTAAAACCTACTGCTACATTTAGGTTTCTGTAGCAGTGGCCCTGTACGCTAAAATGCAAAAAGGCTTAACCTTAGGTTAAGTACATAGGTACCTAAGGTATGTACCAGCCTATAAGGTGCCTAAACATAACGCCTATGTAAAAAGGGGGCAGGTTTCAATAAATACATCGCCCAACAAGACAAGTCGACAAGTCACATATAAGGGATGGTTCTTGGGTCAAGATTGGTTCATCTTCCCTATTTCATACGCCATGCTACAACTTATTCTAGTAAAATGCATCCATTGCTTGCACTTTAGACAAAGTCATATCATGTCATATCATCGTCCGCGAATATATCATGCGCTACCATTTACCGGTACGCTTTCAACGTTCGGCATCGGTATAGGTCCTCCGGGGGAGTTTTCCGTTCGTGCTGTTAATACTTCCACTCCAGTTTCCGTAACTAGATAAGTATGTTCTAAAAGGAGGGAAGAATTGGTTAGCTTATCTGTTACGAATTATGCCAGTGTCGATTTTACTCACCAAACTGAGCGGTCCTCTTGCCGTCAATCGTGGTGCTTGTCCAGTTGTCTGGCCAGGTAACGTCTCGGTACTTCCCAAGAGCGATCATAGGCTCAATGGTAAAGGTCATACCGGGCTTACATTCTCCTACGGCCTTGTTCTTGGCGTAATGAGGCACGTTCGGCGGGCAGTGGAACAGAGAATTGACTCCGTGGCCACAGTACGTTCTGATAACGCTGCAGTTCCTCTCCTTGGCGTGCTTTTCGATAATGTTACCGAACTCTCGTATCAGTGTCCCCGGTTTTATGAGCTTAGCTGCCTCGTCCAGACACTCTCGAGCCGTTTCGACCACCCGAACCGAGTCGGGGTCAGCCTTGGCTTTGTCTCCGACGTAGTACGTCTCGTTCAGATCCGCATGATAGCCACCGTGGTATAGCGAAACATCGAGGTTGATAATATCTCCATCTAACAGTACCCGCTGGTCTGGAATACCGTGGCAGATAACTTCGTTAACTGACGTACATATAGATTTAGGGAAATTGTTGTAGTTGAGGGGCGACGGATAGCACTACGACGGTCAGTTATTGATAAAAGAAACCCATCTAGCTCCTCGGAGGAAGCCAATCAACTTACCCCTCGTTCCACGGAAGCCTTATGGCAAATTTCATCGAGGTAATCGGTTGTGACACCGGGTCTGACCTCGGCCGCGACGATATCCAAAACTTCTCGTCCTAACCTGCACACCTTGCGCATAGCCTCTTGTCCCTTAGCATCGAGTATGTCGACCTTATTCCTGTTGATAAATCGCTCGCTCTTAGGGTAGCCCGTCTCGGCGTAGTCGGGATGAGGTATCGATTTAGGGACAGCGCGTGGTTTCGATAGGGGATAGACGGGACGCAGTGGTCCGGTATAGGCGAAGTTAGGGAATGGATTGTAGAAGCCGGTTGCTGGATCAGGTTTAGAGACGACCTTTGGAGTTCGGATACGGTCAAGTATACCATTAGCAGTCTTGCCCTGGGCGATCTTGTGCAGTATTTTGTGATTATTCTACAAAACGAATACCGTCAGCATAAAACATACGACTGGCATCGTGGCCGAAGCATACGAACCCAGTTCTTCTTAAAGCAATCTTGCGAACAGAAGTTGCTGTCCTTTATTCCTATCTTTAGACACGTAGGACATTGTAAAGCCGAGGCATCGTTTTCACAGCCTGCTCCTAAGCATTTTTTCTTGGTAGGCGGTTCGGTGGCCATGATGGAGGGGCTTGGAAGAGACTTAATACGAGGGGCGAGGGACGAGGGACGAGGTGCGATCTCAGCTGAAGAATGAGGAATAACGCGAGTTGTATGTTCCTATTTGCGAGACCATTAAAGATATAATATTAGCTGCCTAACCTAAAGGTACCTCCAGGTCTATGGAAATCGAATCGTAGAACAAAGTTGATTTCTCGGCGGGATGCTTTTTTTTTTTTGTATTTTTTAATCCTTTTTGTAGAACCGAAGGCTACATAGGTAAGTAGTAGGCGCAAAACCCTTCCAATCCCAAATCACGTAAAGGGTACCTGGGTATATAGCCCCACATTAAAAGCATTAAAACTGCAGGTCTAGTGCGCCCCCAAGGGCGTCCGGCCTTGCCTAGGTCGGTGCCTAGAAATTTAGATGCCTCGATTTAGGGTTATTTACTGGATAAGACATCTGAAATATCCTCATAACCGAATAGTAGTCCGATGTCAAAACGGGATTTCGTTATCAATACTTCCGTTTAGGCCGTCCGTACCCGGAACAAGATCTGATGATATGTAAGAAATTTCAACTTTCTTTTTAGGTATGGGGACATCCATAACCTGATTGATAACTTAATAATTTGCCTACATTAAAAAACCCCCTCCTATAATATTCCAAAAATGTCAGGTCAAAAATACGTGGTTGTTGGTGCAGGTCCCGTCGGATCGCTTGCCGCGTTGTATGCAGCCAAGAGAGGTCACGATGTTGAGATCTACGAGCTTCGAGGTGGTAGGTTGCGATATTTCAAATACCCTAGCTACCTAAGCATACCAGTCCAGAATCTATACATCGTTGCCTATAATAAACTATCTTCTTACCTACCTACCTACCTGACCTCATATGAAGCTTCGGCATTTTGAACTTGATACTGATGTGAAGTAGATCTAAGAGATCCTTCAACAACGCCACTAAACTTTACAAAGTCTATAAACCTAGCCCTATCAGAAAGGGGCATCAATGCTATGCGACATGCCAGCCAGCAAGATCTTCTCGACCATGTCTCCTCAGCCACCATCCCCATGAGAGGCAGGATGATCCATGGCAGACGTCCATCTGGTGAACTCTTTGAAGAACCTCAGGATTATGATATCCACGGAAGAGTACTGCGACGTCCATTTGTTAGCGAGCCTAAAGGTTTCAACCGACTAACATGACATTATAGACGATATTCGCCGCCGACAGGGCCGATCTTAACAGGCGACTGTTAGATATTCTTGGAGCGATGCCGAATGTTAAATTTTACTTCAATCATAAACTCACCGGCGCAGATTTCAAGCGACGCAAAGCGTGGTTCGAAGTTCGCGGTCAGGATTCGTCGACGGGTCGAGCCGAGGAGATTGAAGTTTCGTTCGACTTCATGATGGGTGCTGACGGGGCTCATTCGGCCGTCCGATACCACCTTATGAAGTATACTAGAATGAATTACCAACAGGAGTACATCGATACTCTATGGTGTGAGTTTCAGATCAAGCCCAGGGAAGGAGATGAACTTCGCGATCAAAAGTCCAAGTTCCGAATATCACCAAACCACCTTCACATTTGGCCCGGGAAGCAATTCATGTTTATCGCTATTCCTAGCGAGGTATGAAAACTTACTATTATGCGCCGACAGTACTAACAGATGTCAGGACGGTTCCTTCACGTGTACTCTCTTTATGCCCAGCGCAGAATTTGCGAAACTGGAGGCTGACTCGTCCAAACTGTCCGCCTTCTTCGATCAACATTTCCCAGGCGTAACTTCGTTGATAGAACCAGGCGAACTAATCTCTTCATTCGAGACCAACCCACATCTTCCTCTGATCAGTATCAAATGCCAGCCTTACCACTACTCTAGCTCCGTAGTTATCTTAGGAGATGCGGCTCACGCAATGGTACCGTTCTATGGCCAGGGCATGAATGCAGGACTGGAGGATGTTCGCATCCTCTTTTCTATTCTAGACAAGCACGCCGCGGCCGAAAACAACAACCCGGAAAAACCAGGTTCGATTGACTTAGCTTTCCAAAGAGGATTGGCCTTAGCAGAATATTCGGCCCTTCGCGTTCCAGATGCTCACGCTATAAATGATCTCGCTTTACAGAATTACGTTGAGATGCGTGCCTCAGTCCTCAGCCCGGCTTATCGTATCCGCAAATATCTGGAAGAGTTTATGTCTGTCCATGTACCAAGCCTGGGATGGCGGACAAAATATTCTCGAGTGAGCTTCGGAAACGAAAGGTACTCAGAGGTTGTCGCCAAAAGTAACCACCAAGGCAAGGTTCTCCTGCGTGGGCTTATTGCCGTGCTGTGCAGTCCGATCGTCGCGGGCCTGCTCGGCCTATATTGGACCCGACGTCGTTCCCTTGGCGGCGTATCTCTTCTTGACACAATTCGCAACTTAAGAAGATGATTCCATAGACTATTAAAATGGTAAGGTTTCGCCGTGTAATACGAGTAAGGCTATGGGATACCTCAACTTAATCGCATATGTTCAGTAGAACTCCGAGCAGCAATTTTCCCACCTGGCCATCTTAATGGAAAGCATGAAGCTCAGCGCTAGCGATCCGTGCACACATAAGCCTGCACATAAGGCCAAGTTCAATACCCATACCGCATTCTAGATAGATGTTCTAAGACGCTGCAAAGAAAATCCAAAGGCCTCGAATTTCTATAAAAAGATGGCAATGACTTCATAATTCATCTGCAATGTCTTTCACTGGCTCGACGCTACTGCATTTAGTATGCAGCCACCCATTCAGATGTAAACATGTGAACGACATGTAACAAGTGTGTGTATGTTGTCTATGTGAAAGAAAAGATTTTTTTTTTTAACAATCACTCAACACTGAAGAAGAGCAGGAGAGCCACGTCACGTGGCTCATGAGTGGCACACTCACAACATGTGAGCGGACAAAGCGGACTGTTAATAGCGGAGCGGAGTCTGTCTCATGGGCATTTTCTCCATTACGGTTACCACGTGAGCGGACTTTTGCCTCCTATCACTCCTTTTACACAACACATGCGAAGCGAAGCTGGTAATGACCAAAGATACTGGTGGATAATAGAAGAAGAGGATGGGGAGGGGTACCAAGTTTTGTCAATGAGTCAGTCACCTTCTTAACTAAATGAAGTTTGAAAAGAAAGTGTCCTATTTCAACTATAATAGCCAATTGTCCGCGATTCCGCTCCTACTATATCGCAAGAGCGGATTTCCAAACTTGAATACCAAGATGAACGGTAGAGCTCAGTTCGCTTGCGTTACATGCCGGTATGATACTTCGATCTTTCTATCGTGGGATTAGTCGCTTATAATACCTTATAGGCGATTGAAACGGAAATGTCCTAAAGAATTTCCCTCTTGCTCATTGGTGAGGCTTAGACAAACGTGATAGGCCTACGCACTACGGAGACTTACTGAGGACATTTCATAGTGCCTTCGGCTCGAAAAGCAATGCGAATATCCGCCGCGGGTCCGAAGTCTATACGAGAACAAGACTCCTAATTCATCAACCAGTTCTCAAGACACTAATGAGGAAGCAAACCCACAGATAGCAAGTAACTTACCAGCAGTCTCGGATCTGGGCTTGAGTCCAATACAAGACCTTGTCCCAGGGCATGAAGACATCCATACCTTCCCGCCAATGTTCTTCTTGGATTCTGATGTATGTACCAAACCTTTGGCCTCGGAACCTTGTCAAGCAACAGGTATTGTGGTACCCTCTTGTAACCTTTCCCCCGAGTCGAACGCAGTCTGTGAAAAGTATTTTTCTACCGTCCACCATTGGCTACCAATACTAAGTAAGAAACGCGTCCGACGGCTTATCGCTGAAAATGGGTCGGTCCCTGACTGTCCCTCTCAACTTCTGTTTCTTTGCATGAAGCTAGTATCGGAGCCTTTACCAGCAGAAGTATCCGCTAGGGCGAATATCCCCTACCGAAGGGTTTTGGAAACGTTGCTGAAAGTTGAAAATTCATATCTACCCTCTCTCCAGCTCCTGCAATCCGTCGTCTTAATATCCGCTTATGAGCTCGGTCACGCGATATATCCGGCAGCTTATCTGCACGTCGGTCACGCTGCTCGGCTCTGTGCGATGATGGGCTTTCACGATCGTAAAGCTGCAAATCAACTGTTCAAAGATGCCATTACGTGGACATCGCGGGAAGAAGAGCGTAGGACGTGGTGGGCAGTCTTCTGTCTCGACAGGTATTTCTACATCCAATACCCATAGCGTTGTTATTGGGAATACCTGGTTGGCTTATACGTGTCTAGAATCACTAACCAAGGTACTACCGGATTGCCCTTCGCCGCGCCCGATCCAAATCCAGGAGAATTACTACCGTGTCCGGAGGCTCCGTGGCTTGAAGGTGAAATTGGCTTCAACGAGCCCCTTTTTGCGACTTCATTCTCTAGCAATACAAGTCTAGGATCATTCGCCAATGTTTGCCAGGCAGCACACGTCCTCGGCCGCGTGTTGCGACACCGCGACGAACATCACAGCAGCCGTATTGCCCTCGGTTTCCTAGTATCAGAGGCAAAACAGCTTCACCAGATTCTCGTGTCCTTATCCGCCCATCTAACTAGCATCTGCGAGCAGTCCCTTCTGCTCGATGCTTCCGTATCGGTCCCTTTGGCCTTATGTTTCTCTGCGCGCCTTATTCTGTACTATATATATGCATGTAATGAGACGTATTCGACGGACTATGGTAGATCTTCCGAAGAAGCTGAGTTGCAGAAGGAGACCATGGCAGGTATCTTCGACGTTACCAGGGGCATTTGGCAGCTCGCGTGCCAATTGCTTGACTCTATCGACCAATCCGGGGGAAAAGGACTAGAAAGCATTAGTCCAATTCTATGCCACTGCTTGTTTGCAGCAGCGGGCGAGAGCGAGTGGCTAATTCTCGAACACGAAGATTCAAGCGCAAGTATATGGCTGAAAGATATTGTAAAGCTTCTTCGGGTCATTGGAAAACGATGGCAAGTCGCAGGTAAGTAGAGTACCTAATATAAAAGTTACCTGGAACACGCAAAGAAATCTCCGGAATCTAATATGCTGCAGATGTCTACTTATCACAGATCTATAAATGGCCGGGATATAACAGCTTAGGCATGTTATAAGGGTTTGGGCTGCAATAAACCATGACCATGTAGAAAGTTTATGTCAAGAGAATACAATTTTATAATTTAATTGGGATAATCCCGAGGAAGTAAACTTGGTAGTAAATCGTAACCTCAAAGTCGGCCTCGGATTTTAATCTCGAAGGATCTGATAAGAATATAGGCTATAAATGCTACGACAACAGCGAATTCGAAGCCGAGATCCCCCGTCTTCTTTGCGATAGGCCCGGTGTACCAATCTGTCTGCATAGATGGGATGATGAACGCCCACGCGATGAGTACGGACGACAATGCGCTCAACCCCGTCGGCAATGCACGGCCATCGTTCCAAATTTTCGGGTTGAGGCTATTCGGATCACCTTTCCGAAACCATAAATATTCAGTTAAGAAGCACGTCACCGATGCTCCTGCGTAGTAGCCGATTATGCTAAGAAACGCCGTCACCGACGCGACGAACGATCTTGAAGCGGGAATCGCCACCGCAATGATAACTGCTGTGGCAACAACAGCTAATACGATACGAGGGACTCGACGCAAGATAGGGGCCACAGCGGTCAGGTTGAAGGAGATAGTATAAACGTCGCGGCCGCAAGTACCAAGGACCGAGAGACCCAGAATAACCAGAATAAATCGGCCAAAGTCGCCGAGTCGAGTAATCAATATATTCCCAATAACGGCACCGATGCCGCCAGCTTCGTACGCAGCCGTCCAAGAAGGTATAGTGAAGACAGCACCACCAATAGCTGCGCCAAGAACCATCAGAAGTGAGAATGGCAACGCAATGCCAAACAAACAATACAAGGCAAGCCGGAACCGCGGCGCAGTCGGCGGCATATAGCATGCGTAGTCGCCCGCGACGTTGCTCCAGGTAATCATATTACCGGCCGCGAACGCCACGATTCCCATGTATTCCTGGGCGGTGGTACGTGCCGGCAGGGGCGTCTGCTGCCAAAGCTGGTCGCCCGCAGCACCAACAAGAATAATGATAGCGACGAGCGTCGGGATCCAAGCCCAGCGCGTGAAGATGTGCATCACGCGGTACCCCATAAATCCTATGGCTAAGGATATAACCATGATGATGGCGATGGCGCCCTCGACGGGTAATGTACCTGGCCGGACAGCGGCGAGGCATTGCGCGCCGTTGATGCTACCAGTAACGCCGAACCCTCCGACCGTGAGCGTCACCACGATGGACGTTAAGACGTTGCAGTATTTTCTATTTGTCTCCGAGTTTAAGCATTCTATCGCTCCAAAGTACATACGAGTTCGTTTACGTTAGTTATACGAACTTACCCAAAACAATACCGCGACTGGATCATCTGCCGCATCCCCGTCAGCGGCGCGATGGTAATGATGTACGCAGCCGGGACCGCGAACAGAAACTGGAGGAACACGATCATCAACGCGGCGTCGCGCAACGACATCCCGAACCCGAGGGTCGTTGCTGAGCCGATACCAATCCTAGAGACATTAGGTAACTTTCAGCTTTCCCGCGCCTTCAGAAGAAAAAAACACTATAGCTTTAGGTTACAGAAAAAGACCATACGGTAACAAGCTCGTCATGGACGTAGCGAAGATGGTCAATACGTTCGCGTAACGCGTATCAGTCCGCTTCTCGATGGGCACGGGCTCCGCGCCTCGCATTTCGACACCATGGTTCGAGAGCTGGGCCCAGAACGATGATCGCGGGGCTTGGAACTGGTCTTCGATCTCGCCGACTTCACTCAACGCTGCAGACGACAACTCCTTAGTACCCATCTCCGCGTCCTGGGCCAGTTCTTTCGTCTCAATTGTGTTGTTAGCCATGGCGTCTTTCGGTAGTACAATACGAAGAGTCTGAGTCTGTTCCTCCGTCTGTTCACGGTCGCATGCTACCTCCTTCTAAGTATTGACATTGAGGCTCTGGGCGGACGGGCACAGGTCGGAACCCCAGACTGTTGATTACCTTAGGTAGGAGGTAGGTACCTTGTATGCGCATGCATTTTGACACGGATCCCATTCCGTACTGCTAGTGCGCCCGATGAGGTAGTATCATGCAGAGTGACAAATTCGTTATAGACAAGCTATTGGTCCGGTAACCCGTTGCATTCGGGTTAACACCAAATTATGCGGCATACATGATAGAATACCCTGGCTCCCATACCAGGGTAGACGGGTAAGCTGGTACGGATACGGAGCTTTGTGATCTATCATTTTCGGCCCGAGCTGGTCTTGCAACCCCCCCTTTTCGCGGGATCTTAGCTGGGAAGTTTTTATCACATAGGTCAGGTCATACGTATGATAGCTGGCTTAAGTAGAAGAAACGACATTCGAGTTCTTTTTTTCACCCGTACCTAATATACCCATGAAGATCGATATAAACAAGGTGTTCCATGGACTTCTCCTAAACCCTATGTCTAGTTGGTTCTGAACAATGGTTGAGTATCTTCTATTCGACTTGGTTCGCTCGGACTCTAATATAAAGACTTAAGGCTAAATACGATACACGCCGCCTTAGCTCTGCGCCCAAATAAAAATTCAGTCAATGCGTTACTTGTTATCGAAGACAGCCTTGGGAGGTATTCAATAGCTTTCTTAATTCTAAACAGTGTTGAGTATTAAAATAGCACTCTTCGCATCAGCTTGAGATTATTTCCAAACAGATGCAGTGCACCCAACTGCCGCAGTAGCTGAACCGGGTGAGGCTTGGTCACAGTCCGAGGGACAAGGGCCATAACTCAACCTCCTGTTCTATGCCTATCGACTTTAATTAGTCCAAACGATAAGGGAGCGCTTATTGTAAGTGAAAAAGCTCGATAATGTCATAGGCAATTGTTAGACCGGATTTCATATAAAACTCATCGTCGTCGCTTAGGTATGTGCATTCCATCTTCCCAAGCCGTTTGAGCTCTGGGAGGGGCGGAACGGGTATCTTATGATGCACGAGATATATTTTATTACTCTTGACGGAGTTTTGATGGTTTCGGCTGTCGTTGTATTCCTTCCCTTAGATCCAGCATGGATACTACCTGGGAGTGTCACCATGCTGTGGAGAAGGAAAATGGCGAACCGAGTGAGTTTAGCACGGGCGTTTGATGTGTATGACTGCAAGACATTCATACCAGAAATGAGGGATGCATAATGTCATAAAGCCCGTAAAAAGCTGCAGGAAAGCTGCCTTATTCTCCATAGAAGATAGACATGGTGGAAGATAGGGTAAATCTGTGATGACTGGCGCTGACTAGAAGTTGTAAGGGTTCAGAAGATTAGGAGTCAGCTATTAAACCAGTACACCACCAAAAGCTAGAAAGATGGACTCTACGTGGATAGTAGCATGACAGGAAGCTGAAGTTTAGAACACGTAGCGTTGTTAGCTCTTGCCAGTGGACGATCCTGTTCCATTGAGATGTCTGGGACAAAGAGCTCGTGACATAAACCTGGTTCCTACATTATGTTTTCATAATAACATTGGTATTAGCAATAAAGCTATGCTCTGGTGTACCTTGAATCGTTATTCAGGTTACCAAGTGTCTGATGTTCATCTTGCCTCGACACATTGTATTGCGTGAGGTAGTCTATGATTTACATGGTGCTCAACCATCACTTAGGTAGGTACCTAGTAGGTAAGTCATTTTGTTAGTCATTGGAGGTATCAAATGTCGTACTCTCGTGGATGACCGAAGAAGTACATCGCTTCTTTGTTCATATTGTGAAACGTCGTCGAATGAAAGCTAGTGATCCAGAACAACCAGAATGTTAGAAAACAACAGGAGGTGCGATAGGTTGGCTGGTTTACCTAGAAACAACGCCGTTCAAGTAGACCGTGAAGGTGTGATGAAATATTATATAAGTGGTATCTTTCCACCGTGAACCATCCCGATATATTAGTTTAGGTGCATATATCCCATCCTCCATTCTATCCTCGCCTTGGTTGTCAACGATATCGGTGTTAGCGGCTTATCCTTTAGCCAAGAGGCAACATGGAAAACGACGTACCTAATTCTAGAGCTCCTGTACGCCGGGTCTTGGTCCGAACCAAGACTGATCTGGCGCCAAAGGGCTCTGGGGCAAAGAGAGTCGGGTTCCTCCGGGGTTTATTCCAAAAGCTCGGATTGGCCAAGGATAAGTTGAACAAAGAGGGCAGTACAACCCCACGCCGCGAATTCCAGGTTGAGGACGCCAGCTTCCCCTCGGTTACCGTATTTGATAATCCTAGTGAAGTCTTCTTAAGATCAGACGGTACACCATTAGTACGTACAAGGTCAGTACCAACTACGAATTATCAGAGCACCCGAGCTCTATGGGAAGAGGTGAGCACGATCCAGTCATTCCTGTGGATCCCTCGCAACGTGACATCTTATCGAGATATTCAAAACCAAGAGGTCGAAAGCCGTATGCAGCATCTGATTATGCGGTGTTCAATGGATGGTTATGAAGTAACTCTTCAGGAGGCGTACGACGTATTGCGTTTGGTGGAAGGAGCTGTTGGCGAGGCTGTTGAATATATGAAGGTATTGAGAGATTTTGATAATTAATCTAGCACCAACTACATATATATATGGGAGTGGCTTGTTTAGAGCGAGGCAAGAAGACAGAGTACCTCTTGGGTGTGTATCATGGCATGTCCGCGTATTGAGGTCGTACCTGATCAAAGGAGGGGGAATAGGATACCGCACATGTTGGTTCGATGAGCGCTGTATGATAGTAGTTAGTACCTATAGGTTGCTTAGAAACAATCCGCAAGGAGTCAAAATCTCGGTTTACTCTCCTCCGTCTCGTATAATATGTCGTACATGGTGGACGAAACGGAGATCTTTATCAAAATATAAATTTATCCGAGTATAATAGGTACATTATGATGAGCCATAACAATTTTATTCGGCTATATGGATCTCTTTGAATCTCTTGGTGTTGTCCGTAATCGCCACCTCGACTGGGATACGTTCCATGCTGCTCGCGCCAAAGAATCCGTGCACTCCTTTCGTTCGGGTGAGAACGTATTCCGCATCCTTGACCTCAGCAATTGGGCCGCCGTGACACAAGACAATCACGTCCTCTCTTATCTTCACCACCGCGTCTCGAATATCTTGAATTAGCTTAACGCTTTCGTCTAGAGTCTTCCCCGTCTTCGCTCCGATACCCTTACTCGTCGTCAAGCCCATGTGCGCGACTATGATGTCGGCACCTACTATTGCCATGCTGACTGCTTCCTCAACATTGAATACGTAGGGCGAGGTAACGAGGCCCATTTTGGAAGCGATTCGTATCATATCGACCTCCACTTCATAGCCCATTCCGGTCTCCTCGAGGCCAGTTCTGAAGTTCCCATCCATAAGTCCGACGGTCGGGAAGTTCTGGACACCGCTGAACCCTAGCCCCTTCAGCTGCCTTAAGAATTGTCGCATGTCTCGAAACGGGTCCGTTCCACAGACACCAGCGAACACGGGTGTCTGTCGCACAATCGGCAAGACTTCCCGTGCCATGTCGACAACAATAGCGTTCGCATCGCCATACGGCAATAGGCCTGCGAGAGAACCGCGACCGGCCATCCGGTAGCGACCCGAGTTATAAATGATGATGAGATCGGCGCCGCCGGCTTCGACGGATTTAGCAGACAGGCCGATCCCCGCGCCGGCGCCCACAATAGGGCGACGAGAAGATATTACTTCTCGTAGGCGCTTGAGGATATCTGCTCGTGAAAACTGCACCATGATTTATTTTTATTAGGTCAGGGATGATTTGAATAACAGTTTTACCAAGAGGGGGGCTTGTGGCAATATAAACCTTTGGCTTTGAGCTGTCAAAGGATGGCCCTTGCATCTGTCAGATGACTTCAATGTGATGTGCATGCATCAATGACATCTCGCTAATACCTCACCGTGACCCCTCCCCGCTCTTTGTTGTGTGTTACAGGCACCTGGTATAAAAAATATTATTTATAAGATCGAAGCCTGACCATGTACATAAGACGGGATATGTATGTTCGACATGGCAAAGGATACCTATTTCTAGTTCCGATATTTAGGGATGTCTTCACGGAGAACTTCCATTGCCGTGGTCGGTACATTTGATACCAAGCTCGACGAATTCCTTTACCTGAGGTCTCAGATCCTCGAGGATGATTCATCGATAAATGTTATTTTAATTGATGCGGGCCGATCAGTTGTGCAGCATGAGGCTGTAACTATCAAGCAAGATGAGGTTGCGAAGGCTAGTGGGTTCCAGGGGTTCGAGAACGACTTTATGTCGCTCCCTCGCGGTGATCTTGTGAAAACTATGATTAAGGGGGCTGTCAAAGTAGTTGGACGCCTGAAAGACCGCGATGAGATCCACGGTATCATTAGCCTCGGGGGCAGCGGAGGGACCAGTATCGCTTCTGCTGTCATGCGGGAGCTTCCTGTGACCTTTCCAAAGCTGATCGTATCCACTGTTGCCTCTGGCGATGTAAGCTCTTATGTCGCAGAGACCGATATTACCATGATGTATAGCGTGGTTGACATTGCTGGGTTGAACGAGGTACTGAAGGCGGTGGTCCAGACTGCCGCAGCAGCGATTGTTGGTATGGCTAAGGCATATGTCAAGAAACTCAATAATAACGGGCATGGGGACATCAAGACTACTAAAAAGGGAATAGGCATCACGATGTTTGGCGTCACGACAAAGGGGGTAAATGCCGCACGCAAGTGGTTAGAATCCCACGGATTCGAAGTCTACGTGTTTCATGCTACGGGGTCTGGCGGTCGGTCCATGGAACGGTTAGTTAAAGAAAATCGACTCCATGGCATACTCGATCTGACTACCACCGAGCTGGCCGATGAGTTGGCTGGAGGCGTCTTCAGCGCGGACAGCAGTAGATTGACAGCCGCTGCTAAAGCAGGCATACCTCAGATCGTCAGCGTCGGTGCCCTCGATATGGTGAACTTTGGACCCAAGGATGCTGTACCAAAGAAGTTCCAGGAAAGGAGACTAATCGAGCACAATCCTTCGATAACTCTAGTACGAACAACAAAGGAAGAATGCGAGGAACTAGGGAATAGGATAGCACAGAGACTCAAGGAGAATTGCATACGGCCTGATTTGACTGAGGTGTGGCTTCCATTAAGGGGTGTTAGCGCTCTTGACATAGAAGGGCAGGCCTTTTACGACACATTGGCGGATAATGCCTTATTTAAGGCTATTAAAACTAGTCTTGATGGAAGTGAAATATCAGTCAAAGAGCTTGATACTGATATCAATGACCCGAGTTGGTCGGAGAGCATAGCTAAAAGATTGAGTGAACTTATCGAGCTGAAGGGGTGAAGTCACAACTTGTAGAGGGCGGTAAAGTCTGAAGACATCCGCTACTTTCCAGGCGGAAGCGATGCGTTGGAAGTAAATGGGCGAGTCACACTTTAAGGACCTACTAATAAAAATTATTTATCCATCTCCAATTTATTGAGCATCCTTAACCGCCTCAGCAAGAAGTCGCTCAGCCTTCTCAGATCTAGGTTTGAAGATTACATCGAGCTTGCCAGGATGACTCGACAGGCCCGTGCTAAATTGAATAGTTTGTTCAATGGGCTTTCCGTCCGGTCCAATGGGTTTCGATATGTCGGTCGTAGCTATGAGAGTCGCCATAATTATCCACACAGACGCCTGTGCAAGATGGCGTCCGACACATACTCTATGCCCCTGATTAGGAACCTCCTCGTCATAATGCAATATGGCATATCAGGTAGGTAACTTACCTGCGACCAAAGCCAAACGGTCCAACAAGGAGAGGCTCGCCGTCCCCACCTTCTTCTTTCGGAATGTATCTGTCCGGATTGAACTTTTCAGGGTCCTTGTACACATTCAAATCTCTTGACATAGCGAACGTGTTATAATAAACTACAGTCCTATAGAATAGGGCAATTAACAAATCTCCTGCGTTGATTTCTTGGTGGGATGGACGCGTACCCTTTAGGAATGAACATTCCGTTATAAACGTCGTCTTCGAGAGACTTGTGAGGTATCCCAATGGGTGACAAAGGTCTCCATCGTGAGACCTCCTCAACCAAGTAGTCGATATAACGCAAATTCGGCCTGTCTTGAAACGTAGGCAGCCTCTCTGTTCCCACTACCCTATCAATTTCTGCTCTCGCCTTTTGAAAAACTTCAGGGTTCAGCATCATATTCAAAATAGCAATGGTCGTTGTAGCGAATGTCTGGAAAGCACCGTAAGCTCTTGCAATCTAATCTTTATTGAAGAGTGGAAAGCGAACCGTATTAGAACCCGCGATGAAAACGGCGCCAGATGCACCTTGGATATCCCGAAGTGCAAACTCATTGGGAACACCTGCTTCTTCATTTTCTTTATATTTAGTAAGAAACGAATATGCAAATGACGGGTTGGCCGTTCCTTCATCCTAGATCGTGTTAGCGGTATCATGAAAACATACCAAGCACGAAGAAGACTTACGAACTCCTTCTTGATAGCTGAGAAGGGGATATCGTGTAGATTCTTAATAGCCCATCCCCAGTTCCGCGCGTGTTGCAAGCTTTTTGAAAAATTGAGAATTTGTGGGATGTATCGGACTTGACGATTTGTTAGCCGCACTGGCGCGATCTCTCTAATAGATGTCCAAGGGGCTTACATGATGGCAGGTAGTCGACCAAGGCCGTTCCAGGATTCCCTCCTCCTCCAGTTGCCATATTGGCGTCTATGGCAATTTTGATATAGGGGTCATCATCTGATCTAACAGTGACGCCGAACCCTATACGAAGGACTATGGAAGAAGCAAAGCTTCGCTCTATGTTAGCCACGAAGTATGATACTGATTTTTCGTGCTTACCGCCGTAGTGAGAAATCCCAGGCTTCGGGACGTTTCAGGATTCTCGAGACTGCCTGTCTCGCCTCGTCTTCTTGAATTGGTCGATATTTCGTAATCGCCGTCTTGGTAAATCCTGTCTGCAAAGCCGATCGATGCAACCGAAACCTCGGTCCGTACGGAAGAAAAGTTAATGTCAAACCCCATCCCATCACATCAAAGAGGACAAATCTGGGTCTATCCTGATAATTGGCCCCACGCTTGTCAAGAAGCTCATTCGCAACCTTTTGGGTGTTTAGGACAACCATATGATTGCCCAAGACATTAAAATAAACAATGTCCGAGTCTGATATTCACTTAGTGGCCGCTATACGACGAGTTAAATCATACCTGGTATAGAATTACTCACTATACTGCTTGGCATATTCCATGTGCTTAAGGTGAGCATTTTCCGTTGGTAGTCTCCTGAAATGCCCGAGGATTGGCTCTCCTGGAGGAGAGGGAGGAAGTGGGTAGGGAAATCTTGGATATACAAGTCTGAAAACACTATAAAGAAATAATCCGGTGATAATACACGCTATACTGAGCCTTGTAGGTGACGCGACGAATGATTCGGAAGTGTCCATATTGGGTAGTGCTATCAAAGGTGTTTGAGCTTGGAACTGCCCCTGTTACGTGCTTAAATCATAACACCCGATTGTGTTCGTCTTGAATTATGAATTGCCTCACTACATTCGATATCAGGCCAGCTGGAGTAGTGTTATGTCGGGTTCAAGTTATAATTCATATCGATGTGGTAGGCAACACAAGATGAAACCAACACATGGTTCGGAAATGGCATCAATGTACCGTTGAATCCCAGCCCTATACCCCGCCGCGGAAGAGCCCTGCCAATTAGTATATATACATAGTGTCAGTTTTACGAGAAGATATCTAGGTAGGTATGTCGAGCTATAATGTAACCGTCATAAGGATACAGACAGGGGTGCATACGGTGCGCACCGTTTCGATCCGAGATTTCCGATTGGTAAACTGGGTGAAGATCACTGCGTAAGCTACTATTGCAACTACATAAAGAACTTGGCTGAAGTATTTAAGATGTTTAATCAAGAGACATTTTGATTCGTACCAGGTAGTTAGCTATCTTCTGATTATTGTAGATTCCTTTTGACATGGCAATACGATACGTACCCGAGTCGAAATTTAGAAGAGGTAAATAAGACATACAGTATCTGTATACTTGAATACGACTTTATCTATACTATACTTTCCTGGCTTGGATGTCAGCTCCGGAAGCTTCGAAGCTTCATGCAGATAACTTGGCCACTCTCGTTATGCCTATTACCAGAGCCGTGCAATTTGGCGTGGTGATTGAAGTATCGATTCATTTCGGCGGTCAGCTATGCCGAGTTATTGCGGAAGCCGTATGGAAAACTAGGCTACGGCAAGGGTCGAGTCGCATCAAGTCTCTAATACGAGGTTTTGAGGGGACGTCATAAAGAAAGATAGAGAAAGATAGCATCACTCCACAAGCGCTGCTACTTGCCCAGCCAGTGTCGGCTTGGAATTACTACATAGTAGGAAGTGGGTAAGTTTCTATAGCATAGATCTCGTGTATATAAAGACTCGGCAGGTTTGAGGTCCAAAGAGACGAGACATGAATGTTTTTCATCACAGCAAGGACCTATAGTTGATTAAAACACCAACCCCAGCTCAAGTACCTACCCCTCCAACCTTTCAAGATGCGTATTTCTACCATCACAAGTCTCGCTGCCATTATACCGTTCGCGAATTCAGCTCCCGCACCTCAGGCAGATCCCCCGGAGACTGATCTTTGCCTGCAACGAAAGTTCTTGACGGCAGATTTATGCTCGGATATTGACTCTACCTATACCAATGAGACCTTGGCAGGCTTTGGTTGGTATTGCTGTTGGTACCAAGGCCCATTTGCGCCCCCGCCAGCTCTACCTGTGTCGTAAGTTGTTATTTTTTTTTTTTTTTTTTGAATAGAGAAAATGGTTAAACTAATAACTGTGCGAATAGGGCCTGGTTGACATTTGCGGAGGACGGCTCAGTTGAAAACCGCTGCTTGACCTCGGGAACTTGTAAGACGGGGTTACCTGACGGTCGTAGCTAAATACAAAGAACGGGTTTGAAAATATTGTAGTCAAATAAATATAATATATGAAACAATTTAAAAAGAAGAAGAGTTAGGAATCTGATAGTTGATTTAGTTAATTCTCAGCGTAGCTCAGCTGCTCAGGTAGGTACCTACCTCATTGTGCCTCCTACTACGTAAACTTACCCCGCCATAGGGCTATTTGTTACTGTACCTCGTGCTGGTCACACGGTGAACCACGTGGTGATAATCAGACCTAGCGCTTTCACGCTAGCTGTGCTGCTGCGTTAGTAATTCTTATCAGCTAGCCTTCTCGATTGACAGTCCGTTCAACAACTTTGCAAGTTGCAACACACTAACGACAAAGACAGAACGACAACCAAATTTCTGTTCTTATTTTTAATATGGTTCAATAATCACTAAATAACCATTGGATGTGTCGCCTAACCACCTAAAACACCCATTTTACGATCCCCAACATCTCCGACATGGCGATAACCCCAAGCCTGAGGCGCGATGCCGGCCCTCAACCAGTTACGCAACGAGCGCAACCTTTGCCGAGACCTGCTGCACCGATACCCCGAATAAACCCTTCCAGCCTCGAATACAAGCGAGCCGCTAGGAAATATAGGAACCTCATGATTTCTCTACCCATATTCCTAGTCACTTCATGGTTTCTGTTCGACCGACTTGTTTTAGGTCATGAGCCGAAGAAGCTACCTAGTAAGAGAACCACGTTGGAAATGTCGATTACAGAGCAGACGAAGGATTGAAGAACTCTGGCTCTTGCTTTAGGTACCATCCACCCAGGTACCTAACCTAACCTTTGTCATGGAACGTTGGCTGAAGGATGGATAGTAGACATCGGCATTGTCATATTTACTATATCAACTTCAAAGAATGGTTCTATGCCTTGCAAATCATCCAAACCCAGCAAAGGACATAATTTGAAAAAGACCAAGACTACATTATTCGACAATATTTACCTGACAATGAATGCATAGTGCATTGTCTGCCTTAGGAACCTTTCATCGGACTCCTTGGTCATTCAATTGTTCTGTCCATTATTGCTTTTTCCTTCGTCGAGACCATTCACAAGGGTAAAATTAGCTTCTCTTATTGACTTCTAATCACATGGCATCATCATGGCCACCCTCGATTTATCTCAAGTCCTCATAATTCTACCAATATAAAAGGCTCTTCCATCGCTTAGATCAGCGCCCCCCTTGACATCAACTCAACAAATATCATCCTAACAATCATGAAGACAAGCATCGTTTCCGCTGTGGCAATCCTGCCTATCACCACCGTTTCTGCATTCGAAGTAGCCGACATCTACAAGACGACCCTCGGTAACTCGGATTGCACTGCTATCCACTTAACAGAAGGCCGTATCCTTCGTGCTAACTGCGTCAAGCCCGGATAAGGATCCCGTGCGGATTACAGCCTTGACCTAAACACGTGCTTCGCCAATTACGTCGGTTCGCTGAACCATGTTGCGAACGGCGGCTTTGCCGATTCGTGCACTGGTTGCCACATGGACGGCACGAAACTGATTTGTGAGTGTTTAGTTGGCGCGGATCGCGGTATCAAACGCAATGAAGTAGAGCTTGACGATTGGAATCTTATCCAGGTCAACGAAGAATCATTAGGCTGCGGTAGCACTGTCGGTTTTGAGAGAAGCGTCGGTAAGAGTGCCCGCTTCTTCACTGCGTAAGCGATTAACTCTGCTCGCATTTCTAGCCATGCGTATCGTAAATCATTGGTTTTTTTTTCCCCCTTTCTATCAGGTCCTATTCCAAGCCAGGTATCTTACTACCGCACATTAGGTATATGTAATACTTACCCGTAATTCAGGGTAGATGAATCATAGCTCTTCTCGCTACAATAAAGTTAACTTGTTTTACCATTTATATCGTTGTATTAAGTAGCTACCTCCCGGGTATCAATACTGTAATTCTAACCAGTCACGGTTGATGTGATAATATCTGATATTTTACTCGTTTAGTGTAAGGTAGGCACCGTACCAGTAGCTTCTAGTCATATAACCATGTCTCTTTCGACTTCGTAAGAGGTACCTACACTATCCTATATATATTCAGAATTCATTATTCCATAGATAGAATATAGTTTTCTCATCCCATACCAATTGAGCCCACTCTGCTAGCTAATCTGTGTGATGCTAGTCATGATCTCCTGCTCCCGAACGAAGAACTAATTATGGGGTTTAAAGATTTCATGCGATGGCGCGTATCTACCTTAGGTTAGGTACCTAGGTAGGTATTCATGTAGAACATCCCTCTCGATCTACCAGTCGATTTTCTCTAACCGCTGTTACCATTACATTGCTGGCCAATGGTTCTCCTCATGTAGTAGTAACGAGAGGTTATCAATATTCGCGTTTAGCCTCAGTCCCACAATGAAAGAGTCCTTGTTCGCAAGTTAATCGAGTGGTTTGGCTTTAATAAAGAGTACATTGTTCTCATTTCTCTTTGGAATTCTTTTATGCTAGCTGAGACAATTCCTTATCTTCGCTGACGTTCCTCCTATTTAAACACGTTGGTTGCTGCCACCACATAGCAAGCAGCATGAGAAAATCGGGAGGATTATAAGCGAAGTTGATTTCGTGCCAAGTACGCCATACTCGTAATACCTAAACGGCATCTCAGAAATTTGTATAGAATAAAAGATTAGGTACCTACCTGAGGTAAGGTCGAACGTAAAATTCCCAGACCATTTCAATCATGGAGCCTATTTCTATTGCTATCCAGACTTCTGAGATCAATTTTCTTGCCGGTATTATGACGCTCAACGTTGCCATGCTAAGCGCTTTTCTGGCCATGGCTTGGATGAAGAAATGCGAAATATATTAGGTAGGTAACAGTCGAAATAGGGCGAATATTTTGTGGGTTGCTACCTTATTAAAGATGAAGTTTTCCTCTGGTTAAAGGATGGGACGGTAGGAGGTATCAATCTAGTAGGAATTCCCTTGATTATCTCGAATAAAATTTATCACATGGATAGAACAGATTTCGCTGTTGTATCTGGATGACTATTACTTTGTAATTATACCAGTCAATACTAAATACTACCTAGAGGTAGACGTGTTTTCATTCCATTAAATCTTGAACCACATGAGAGGTTTTCGATGAATGCCATTCCTCACTAAAATGGCTCGCCTTCAGCGGCATCCACCCCTTCTTCGACACAACGTTTCACGGCAACTTCCGGATCCTCATCGCCATCAATAAGGTCCAGCCAGCTACTCTTGACGTTAGGATTGTCAAGTAGCAACGCAGTCACCTGCGCGACAGACGCGCGGCTCGCAGTTCCCGATTCGAAAAGCTTCCCGAGCTTGACCCTGCCCGCCGGTTCCGCGGTTAATAGGCCTGGGCGCAGACCGATCGCGGCGAAGTCTTTCCTCTTCTTCCCCTCCTCGTACAACACCTGGTCGGCTGCTATCTTGGCCTGGTAGTATGTTTTCAACGCGCCGTTGTTGTTCTTGACGCACTCCTGCCAGACCTCCTCGGGCCACCACGGCGCCTTGTTCAGCCGAGATCCTAGATACGATATCATGACAAACTTAGTGATGGATGAAGTCGCAGCCGATGCGCGGATGAAGTGGATCGCGGCATCGCGGTCAATCTTGAACGTCTGGTAAATACATGTGTTGTTAGTAAATAATTATAGGGGGTGCCTTATATCACTTGTAACGGTCCTCATACCCTCTCCGGCCCTCCTTTCCCCGCGGCACCAGCACTCCAGACCACGTAGTCTGGCTTTACTTCGTCTATGATGCTCTTGGCCTGGGCTTCGCTTGCGACTTCTTCCAAGCTACGGACCAAAACGTTTAGCTTCCCGTTCTGGCCTTGTCCGAGCTTCTGCAAGCTCTCGACTCGTGCGGGGTCGTGGATGATGCTTGTGACGTTCCATGATCGTTGGAGGAGTAAGGGTGTTAGTAGCTGGGCAACCTTGCCGCTACCGCCGAGGAGGAGAACGTGGTGAAGAGACGACATTGCTAGACTGATCCTAACTTTCTTTGGATTAAACTGTCTATGGTGTTATGAGGTAGCTTCGCGGTTTAGATTAAAATAGGAATTCTATAATAGAATCAAGCTTCTAAGCTGTACTCCGCTATCACGCGATGGCTTTTCCTTGCGTCATTGAAGATGTACAGTTGATTCAATATCGTAATCACACCGTGCTCTTATATCCGATGCGAGAAGCAAGTGGTATCTATTAATAAGTTTTCATTTCTCATTACCACATTAGGTACCTCAGATAGCGTAGAACGTTAGATACTTTCAATAAGTTCAATATATTTTCCGACTTGTCTCTTCTACGTAACGACCCTTTCGGTTACTCTCTTTCGCAACATTCCTGATTTTGGCGCTACGTTCTCTAACGGTGCTACGGTACCCTCCATACCAAAGCCCGCGTGCGGTTCCGACCCCTCGGTTCTCAACGTACCAAATTGGAGCCTGGTAGCGCTAATCCGATTCGGCAGAGGCTGTGCCCCAAGAGTATTGCCCATGGACAACCTATCGAGATCAGGGTTTCTGGTCGTCAGCAGCACCGTGGAGAAGGCCGTGCTACTAGTATAGCCGTTCTTCATCAATGCGACAAGTCCCACGCAGACGCAGAGCAGCGTGAATACGACTGCCACAGAATACGCAAGCAGTAGGATGCGGCTGTTGTAGTAATAGAAGTTCTTCGCAGTCGGTACGGTAATCGATACCTCGGTCGTGAAGTTCCGCCAGTTGCTGTAAGTCAGGAGGCTATACGTGAAGTTCCTGGAGAGGTGTTCGATCGCCGATGCGAGTGTCCCCCCCGTGCATTTATCAGCTGTTTGAAACGCAAGCGGACCGCCTGACGCTGTCTGGTAGCTTGATGAATTCCAGATTTCCGGACAGTCTGTTAAACCTGACTGAAAAAAAGGAGCTTGAGAGGCCTCGGCGTTAATCACCGTAGGCCCGTCGGATTGAAAAATCAATTCGCCCCCAGCATTAGACAGAATCGTACCGGCTAGAAATTTTTGGAAGACGTAATGGTACATATAATAAGTCGGACAGATGGTAGCGTTATTTGCCTCCGGGTCAGGAGCACAGGCGCCCTTACCCAATGCGGTAGAAGATTTGCCTCGAACATTGTTCCATTCCTGGGAGCTTATATACTTGACGGAGTTCTCCTGTATTGATTGAATGCCTTTGTCAAATCTCATGGTTACGCTGTATGAGGTGTTGTAAAGCTGGCAGACAACATAGTTGTGAATATCATCGCTCCAACGCTCGTTGATACCATTAGCCCCAATGAGGATCATATTGTTCATATCCGTAGGGGCAGTGCTTTTATAAATTAATGGTATCGGACCTGTGGAATGGTTGCGCTCTGTTATAGGGGCGACGATTTCTGCGTTGAAGGCTTGTTCAAACGTCGTGTAGTTGTACTCGGCATAGTCCCAAGTACGGTTATTTCTGGTCTTGATTATTTCGCTGGGCTTCGAGCATTTATAAGAGGGGCCCCAGAAACTCTGATTGTACGATGCGTCGGGGAACGGAGGGCTTTCAGGTACGAAGCTGTTCGATATATAAGTCCTCGTGAACAAGCGTGCGATTTCAGGTGCCACGCCAGAAATATATCCCCAACCACCATATACTCCCCAGCCATCGTTACTTGAGAAGTTGTAGGTCGGGACCTTGGTGTCGACAATGTCCTCAACCACGTGCGATTTAACGGACAAGGTTGCCGGCGTTATGACCGTGATAATGGGAAGTAGCCTATGATGGGGATGGGTAAGAAATAGGCAAATTAGACGCGTGGCCTTCTACTATTAAATTAATAATAAAAGAGTCAACGAGCAACGAGAGGTTATGAACTTACCATGCGACCGCAGCAAGTAAGTAGAGCCGTTTCGCATTCACTAGGAAATCTGTGCTGAAGAATGACCATAGGTTTCTCATCACACCGAACATGCTGTCGATACCATTAATCGATATAGATCTCTTCCTCAACGACAACCAAGTTTGTTGGACAGCGGCAATGCCTACCGCCGCGACCAGCCCACACTTGGTGATTAGTGCAAGCCCAGCGCCGATTCTAATCGCCCAAAACTGTTGGTTCTCAGATGTGACAAGCGATCCATGTAGCCTTTGGTAGTATACGTGATGGCCTACTGCAGCCGAAAGGCCCCCGATGAAAAAAACTACCGCGAGTATAGGATCTTGCAAATTGATGTCGACTATATTTTGTGGTGCAGCGTCGTCGTCTACTGGCTCGCTGTGAACTTGTACCCCATTTCCATTTGCGTCTTTTGACGGTTGACTATACTGAACTCCTTGATTGTCATTGTGGTAGGTATCGTTGGTATAGTCGTAACTGTATTGTGCGTATTGATCATAGCGGCCAGAGGGGTAATCGTTAAAGCCATATTCAGGGGAAGCGTGGTGTTGTGAAAACGCCATGATCTTCCCGAGTTAATTCTAAAAGCTAGTATATGGACGAATAACCTAGCGAAAGTGCCCTTCTACTGCTTACCACCTATATATACTTCCGCAATCCTTCCCGCTCGCCTTCGGGCCCAGACGGTGGGGGGATCGAATTTATATTTGTTGATTTCGTCGCAGTATACCTACAGGTAGGTACCTTTAATGCATTAGACACATCAAATTGCGGCTCAGACTGTCGCGCTAGCCATCGTGGTGCCATCGTGGCGCCTATTAGTCGCCCAATTAGGCAAGCAGGATGTCCTAAATGTTAAAGGCCAGAACTACGAACCCTGCCGTCGACCCATGCATTGCCTCCACTGTGATCTATTTTGAGGATCGCCAAAGAAAAACTACCAATAAGTAAAGATATCAATATAGCCTTGGTGAGTCTGTCACACCGTTATACAATTATACAACTATACAACATGATTCAGGTTATATTTATATACATTCGAATCGGTAACTATATACACGAATTTCCACAAAGACCAACTTGACGAGCGACGCAGCCAGCCCTGGTACTACACATTCCCTGGGCTGGAAGGAAAACGAGAGTAACCTGTACCTATTTTCAACATAGGTAGGTACCTATCCTTGTCATTGCCTAAATCTAGACCCCAGTGACCAGTTGTTCCTGCATGCAGGACAGACTGGTACAGCGAGAATCCCAGGGGTCTTTGGATTCACAGTTGATTTATTAAGCAACAGGGGTGGGCGCAACCTTGGTTTTGGTTACCAAAGTCGTATGAGCGATCGCCTGAGCCTTGGCAACCCCAGATCCGGTAAGCGACGCATAAACAGAATCGAGGAATCCAGAGTTCTTGAACAGCTGCGACATATCCCACATCATGACACCACCAAAGCTCGAGAATTGCTTCGAGTACTGGATGACCGGGGCTAGCGCACCGGCGGGTTCATAACCAGCACCAGCTCCGGTGTTTGCCGGAACGCCGAGGAGAATTTTGACGTTCTTGTTCTTGCTAGTGTTCTTAGCCCAGTCGTCCCATGTCTGGAAGTTGAAATTGTTCTGGGTCATGGAGCCCTGTACAAAAGACGAAACGCCGCAGTAGTTGTTATAGAACTGGATCATGATGAAATCGAACGAGATTACGCCATTCAGCATGTCGTTCATCGCGGCATCCGGGTATGGGCATTGAGGTGCACCGGAAAGGTAGTACTTCTTGCTACTATCCGCATCCATGAGCGACCGCAGCTTCGAAGCAAACGGCGCAAAGTTCTGAGTTACAGACTCTAAGTCGAAGTCGAAACCGTCCACGACGGCAGAAAGGAATGGTCGGTTGGGCTTGCTTGTGTCCGAACCGAATAGATCCCATACGGACTGAGCCGCGCTCTCGGCCGACGCGGAATCCGAGAAGCCACCTTCTGTATATGTCGCTCCTCCAATAGATATGAGGATTGTCTTTCCCTGAGACTGACATGTCTTGATGTCCTCTTCCAGCTGCGGACATTTCAACAGTTGTGTACCCTCATATGTCGTGCAGTTGTCTCCGGCATTAGCGAAATTTGTGATGGGGGTTTTTATACCGTTCATGAAAGCTATCGGGATGATCTACAAAAAAAAAACATTGTAAGCACTTTTGAAACCCCTGGCAAAGAAAGTCCGGTCTCCATACATTGATCTCACTGTCTACGGTAACATAAATTAGCAAAACAAGAATTATTCACTGAGAAGGGCTAGATGATCATACTCGAACAGTATTCAGCTAAGCGTTGTTGGGATCCCGCCTGGCCGTAAGAATTTTGGCCTATCATGACATATTAGCTTGAAATAAATCATTTGGTAACATTTTCCCTCTAACCATACCCCAATATACAGCAACATTGCTCTGGGAACTGCCGTCGAATCCTGCAAGGGCGGAGGGGAGAATGCTGGCCAGAGAGGCCAGAGTCAGCTTGGAAGAAACCATGTTCGATATGTGGCTTGTCTTGAGGCTCCAGCTACTGGACAGAAGAGAACTGGTATGACAGAGAGTATTTGTGGTAAATTGAAGGGATGCACAAACTCGTATATATAGGTAGCTATTATCTCACATTCCCCTTGTTCACATTCCCCAATACACCTGCAGTTAATCAATCTGCCCTTCGCCGGTGCCTAGATGACCTTTCGAACGTTACAGACCTGCAATCATCGACTTGCCATGAGATGGTAACCAAGCTCGTGCAACCAAGCCTATGACACGCCATTGCTTTATTGCTAGGATCTTCACTTAGACATAAGTTGCCTTAAAGGTTACTCCAGAAAGATGGGAATGTCTCCACGCGTCATCCAGCCCAATATCGGGGGGGTCAACTTAGAGTTGACCTGTGAAAATTACAACAAGTGGACCGGTTCAAGCAGGTGATAGAGCCGCTGAATGCACGCGGTCTACCTAGTCTGATCGCATGAGAAGGTAGTGAGCGATGAGATCGGCAGGGGCTCACCTGCGGACTGTTTCTCGGAGGAATTTATCATCGGTAGTCAAAAGCAAATTTATCCCATGTAATCTGCAAGGAGAGATCTCAGCCGAAAATGAGCTGTGGCTGAACTTGAACCCGAAGATCTCCAGTCGACTTTAGGAATCCTATCCCCTAGCTACACCCGCCATGTCCGCCTGACATACGCCGCAGTCCCTATCAAGAATACTCAATGCGTGAATATCACATCGTAATCTGACTTGATTGATATCACTAACAGCTAAATCACAGGAGCGATAACGACAAGTTCCACTATCTTTCTCCAGAAACCAGGAACAATTGACTTGCAGCAGATTCTGTAGTGTGATCGCCCCTGACATGCACAGCTTCCTTTTCGGGGTTAGGGGTTCGGAGTTCACGAATGAGAAGACGGGTTTTTAACAAGACTATGCAAGCTCTCAAAGGGTGGTTGGCAGGGCAAAAGCGCGTCATTGCAACATTGACATGTCTTTTGACAAGCTTCCTCGCTGTATGGTCAGATTCCAAGCTGAGCAAGTTAAGGTTAATGCTCATTTATGATAGCCCCCTAGGACCTCAAAGTCATCTGAAATACAGGGCAAGCTTCACATTCCATGCAACATTCCCTTAACAGAGACGCCCATCTGGATAGCGTACTGCCCTAGATAACCCCAACTATTGACCATACCCCATACTCAAGTCCCGCGCGCTACTAATGATAAAGGAGGAAACACCAAGCTCCCACTCGAGTGTTGCAACGTTACTATAGCGGTAGCATTATGAATACCTACAACAGGCTACACTAGGCACTACTTCCTGTTTATGCACTAGGTACCTAGACTAAAGCGCTGAAGGATATAGAACGTACGCGTGCAAAGTAGCTTCTAGGCGGGACTTTCAAGCCTCGGGCAACAACATCTCACCTCCTAGATAAGTGCGAACGACATGCGCTATCTATCAACCAGTTGACACATACCATGCCAGTAGTATCCCGATGTAAGATAGGGGGATTTGCTCACTTACTCTCGGCTTTAGAAGAGTCGTTCCGAAGCTGGCTGGTGACAATATCTTAAGGAATATTCGGCATTTATAACGCTATAGTAGTAAGATAAGAGGTTTAGATACCGGATACACGGAGACAACGTTTCCATCCCTAAACCCGATTATCCTAATCAAAAGGATTAGAAAGAAGTTCGACACGATGCAACGCTTAGGTAGGTAGATATTGGTACATAGCTCAGATAAACTCAAACTCTATATGGGAGGAAATTTCCAAGTACTTGATACAATTTGATATCACCTATTAGGAATGGGAAGGCATCCGGGACCAGGACAAAGCTGGTATTTTATTTACTTACTTGCCTGATATCGGAAGGACGGGTTGCAACGCCTTTATCAGGGAGACCCCGTGATGGTTGTCATACACAGAGTGAATACTAGAAACAGTAGCAGTGTAGTAGAGTGACCTATTACCGCTTGATACTCCTATATATATATACTGCTACTTCGCCAGCTAAGCTGGCGCTATTCTCCGGCGCTATCCTTCGGAGTAACCGGCGCTAATTTAGCTTCTTTTAAGTTATCATACTCAACATATAAAAGCCAGTATTTATCTTAGGTATCTCTCAAGTAATAAAGATTGAATAAACAAGATTTGGAAATACTATTAAATTTGAGAGGCTATAACCACTAATACTTCTTTACCCATGAAGAACCATGAAGACGAAACCGGTTTTCACGTAAACGCGAACATCTCATCCTTGCGGATTAGCTGGGCTGCACGTCATTCTCCAGTGGGCACATGAAAGCTACTCGATCTCGAAGAATATCATTTAGTAATTTTTAAGCTGAATAAAGAACGACATGCGAGATGGAATAATGCTTGAGGACGATGTAGACAAATACCTGAAGTATTTATTCCATTAAATATAACTATTTAACATGTGACATAACATGTGATATAACATGTGAAGTTACAAGGTCATATATCCTCGCCATAGAAATATAAAAGTGCTCTTACTTCATTTCCTATTATTTAGAAAAGAAAAGAAAATGCGAAGAAGGAAAAAAACATCAAGTTATTACATTGCTTGAAATGCGTGAGAAAAAAAAATATTGTGTTGCTTATCCTAGTTTGCCAGGAAGCATCGGGAATTGAGCCCGATGCGGGGGTCGAACCTTTAAGGTGATGTTAGAAATATGATCGTGAAGAACCTCGAATGCCGAGGAGGACTTACCCGCAACCTTGAGATTAAGAGTCTCACGCTCTACCGATTGAGCTAACCGGGCGTCTTGTGGTGAAAATTCTGCTCCTTAGGTCGACTGATATTTGCTTGCGCGTGGAGTCAGTCCGCTCGCCTTAGCCGACTTGGGCCGGACCTGGGTGGGCGACGGGGTTTGCGCACAGCAAAGGATTTAAGCGGTTTGCTTTAATAATAACTACACCAAAATGTAATTGTTTACGTATACAAGTCAGTAGATCAGGTAGGTAAGGTACTTGTATTTATATGTCTGTGTCTGTTACTGAGCGATGTTGGGAAATATCTATTGTATGCTTCTATGGTAAATGGGATACTACGTTGACTATCTCTGAGGAGATTATATGTGATAAATAATATAGCAGCTTCGTTTTATCCCCGTAAAGGTCCCCCACAAGAAATAACTTCAACTCTTATGTACGATAATTACGTCGCTGAAACTTACACTTGTTCATTGCCATCAGACCTGGACAAACTCATTAGCGCTACTACCTTAGCTACCTTAGTGAGACGAGGCCTCACAGTACCAGCGTCACCATCTTATATCCGCGAGGCTGTATATGAAGTAAGTCTTCGGAGGATGCATCATTTTTGTATGACATATATACTATGTGTTTGGCTAGTTATTGGTGTATAAGGAACGGGGTTAGAGTTACGACTTAACCAGCCTCCATGGGGTAAACCTTTAATGAGAAAAGTCGTGTTTTTCTTCTGAACCTCGAAACAAATGTGTAAGTATTAGGCAGCTAAAGCTTTTCTATATCTCGTTTTGGCATGACGATATTACTGTCGCTGGGAAAGGCCAGCCGTCTGTATCAGTGCCGTCAACAAAACCGTAACAGTAAGAACAGAAGAGCAGGCAGTAATTAATGTGATAGACAGATAAAAAAAACATTACAAAAAAAGAGAGGGGTTCTGATAATACGACAAGGCTAAACTATTTATTGGATCAGACAGATCTTAGCCCCTTCAGTCTCTCACAGAGGCATTTCGAACGTTGGCCATAGAATAATGTTTAAACAACCCAACCCCTATAAGCTTACGTGTGGCATGACGGTTGATCTAACGAAGCTAAATCCTCTTATAAAGGCTTCTTCAAGTTATGAGGCTTTGATAGTTTGTTGTAACCAGTGCTTGAGAAGTGCTTTGGCTACGACGGAGAACTTAATAGTTAGTACATTGCGTATATAAAATTGATTGAAGCTTGAAGGTCTCTGACCACCTTTTTAGGGAGTAGATTTACCTTAGGTACTTATTCTGCCTTCTTCAATGTTTCCTTGATTCCCTCTTGTGGATCTTTCTCGCACTCGCAACCACATATACGATTGCATTAACATACCATTTTGACACCACGCCGAATAACGTACGCTACACCGATAAACGCCATACCAATAGGTTCGTCTGGGATGGTTCAACCCTAGAAGGACGTCCTAAAGGCCTTTGAGCCTGGATGGGAATACGCTGTGGCCAACCCCGGAGGTACACGTGGCGATAAGAAGGGCCAGACAGCTACATCATCGTCCCAAGTAGTTTTCCATTTTGCTCATGAAAGTTGCCGAGGCTGGGCTGGTAGTTACCCTTGTGTGTCCGGGCCTACGAAGGGATGCTCTCGACACAATCCCCACGAAGTCCAGATCGCGTTTAACGAAATTATCCTGTCTGACGGGAAGGCTCTGGGGTTTACCCTAAGAAAACCTAGGGAACCTGGGAAAGACATACTCCAATATGACATGGCCTAGAACGACGACTAGATATGGTCTTCATTATACAGGGACCACTTTACCGTTGATCCGCTTGGTCCTATTCATAGTTCCATCCGCTACGATTTGACATTCTATCATATCTACAGGGTTCAAGAGGCATTGTCGCTTGAGAGTAGAGGAGCAAGAGCCGGAGCTTATATGTATGGACCTAGCTGCTATGCTTTTAACTGTCGGTTCTGCTACGCGGATAGCTACTTGGATATCAACTTAGTCGAGGGCAAGATCGTGGCCAATGTATTGGTACATATGGAAAGACTTCGGAGGGGTGGCTCGACGCATATGATCCGAAGTGGACCACGGCTCTTCGCCGCGACGCACGCGTTTTCAAACGTTCGGGGTCTGACGCTGCTAGCAGTCGAGTACTAAGCGCTGTTCGTGCAGCACTACGCGCAGAATTCAAGTAGTTGGACGAACCGATGAGTTGGCTTATGTTATTACGGCTTCTACGAAGCTTCAGCGAAGTTGGATGATGGTCTTTTATGGACTATGATGGAAGTTATAATAGGGGTTATAATGGAAGGGTTTGAGGTGGCGTCTGGTTTTATAAGGTACATAGAAAGGGATGTGATGTGTGTAAAAAGTAGCATACATATATTCGTCGAGGTGGTTTCGTTAGGTCAACAAGACGGAATTGAAGTTTAGAAATGATTAAAATAGGCTCGAAGTACCTAAATAAAATACCTATTAGGTAATAGCCCGTATTTTGTACGAGTTGTGCAAGACTCGAATTTATGCTATTTGTGCTATCTTTTGTGCTATCTGTGTTCGCCTGATATTCAAACCCCTAGCCGATTAAATGCCGTTATCCCTTTAGGACCCAAACATGGGTCCGGCTACTAGCGTAACTTTTTGACCAGCAAAGCAATCTCGCTACCAAGCTATTGTCCCTTTGTATGTATCTTTTTTAAATATAGCGTGTTTTTACGTGTGTTTAAACGCGTTTATACTTAGTTTTAAATATAAATAAGTTTTAATAATATTGTAATATTACGTTTAAGTGATTTATTTAAGTAATTATTATAATATAAATATTAAAAAATTAATATAAAATAATTTTAATAATATATTTATTTAATTATTTATAAATATATAATTTAATATATTAATTAAATAAAATTAATAATTATATAATTAATATTTTATAAAAAAAAACTTTTTATATATTATATATATATATATAATAACTTTTTTTTAAATAATTTAATATATATTAAATTTATTTATTATTATTTAATTTATTTATTATTTATTTTTTACTTTACGTACGTATTTATTAATAAAAACTTTATATTAATTTAATAAAAATATATTTAAATGTTAAATTTTAATATATTAAAATTAATTGTGATAAACTTATATTTAAGTTTATTAAAATGTAATAATTAAGGGCTTAATTTTAAATAAATAATAATAATATAAGTTAAGTGTTAATAAAATGTTAAAAATGTTTATTAAAAAAGTTTAAAGTCCTTTTTTTTATATAAATTAAATATAAGATTTAAGTTAATAGTTTAAATATATTTATGAATTTTCTTTATTTTTATTTAAAAGCTATTATAATTTTAATAATTTTAATAATTTTATAAGATTATTAAGATTATTAAGACTATTATTTTTTAATAGGTTATTTAAGGTTTATTCGTTTTTTTAATTGTACGTTTTAGGATTTCCATTTTTATATAAAATATAATTTTTATGCTATTAGTTCGTAATATTATTTTCTTTTTTTTAGGTTTTTTACCTTTAAAGATTTATTAGTAAGCGTATTTCTTATATTATTTTTTTATTTTTTTTATACTTTTTTAAGTTAATTTATTAAAATGTTAAATTATATATTAAAATTTATTATAAAATGTAAAAATTATATTAATTAATAGGAAATTAAAAAGCTTTATACTTTTTATATTAAATTAACTAATGTTGTTTTTATTTTATATTTTAATTATAAACGTTTTAAAAAGTTTTTTATATTTTTATTTTTAATTTTTTATTTTATAACGTTTATACTTAAAAAAGTTAATATTTTAGTTATAACGTTTTAAAAATAAATTCTTTTAATAAATTAAGGAAAAAGATTAAGTTTTTTAAAAATAAACGTTGTAAAATTAAGGATAAAATATTTTAATATTAAAAAGATTTATTACAATTTATTTTTTATTTAAAAGAGATTTGTTTTAAAGAAAAAGAAATTAAAGGTAAGGTTTTTTATATTTTTTAATGTAAAGAGAAATTAAATTGTTTAAAGAAAAAGGAGGAAAAAGAAGAGGGTAAAAGTTAAAATGCTTTTAGTTAAGCTAGTTTATTTATGCTTTTTAATTTTTCTAAGGGCGATCCCGGTGGGGCTGCTGCTTTTTAAAATAGTTTTAATTTAAAATTAAATTTATTATTATTTATAAGTAATTAAGATTTTTTCGGTAAAATGCTTTTATAAGCTTTTAAACGTTTTTAAAGTGCTTAATTAATTTTTATATATTTTTTTTAATAAATAATCTTTTTATTTAATTAAATATTTAATTTAATTTTTAAATTATTTAAAATTTAATATTTTTTTAATTTTATATTTTTAATTAGTTTTATTAGTAAGTACGTACGTATAATATAAAGTAATAAATAAGTAAATTAAATAATAATAAAAGTGAAATTAATATATTAATAATGTTTAAAGAGGGAAGAATTTATTTAAAGTTAATTAATAATATAATGCCTTTTTATATAATAATAATAAGTATATTATTCCTTTTTCCAATATTAGTAATAAGGTATTTTATTTTTAATAAAGTGCTTATGCGTTAATATTATATAATTACCATTTATTCTATTTTCTTTTTATAATTAATTAATTATAAAGTTAATTATATAATAAAAAAAAGAATTTTTAAAAGTGAAAAATTTATAATAGTACGTGTTTATATTAATTTAAATATGTACTAATATATATATAAACTAATTTACACACAAGTTAAAATGTATTTATAATAATACGTATTTATATTAATGTATTATACATTTTTATAATAAATTAAAATCGGAAATGTAATAGCTTAAATTAAAGGTTATTTTATATATTAAGTTATATTAATTTATGTTATGTTATTTCACATTTAAGCTAATTAATAAGTTCTTATATAATGTTTTTTATTATAATTAATATTTACATTTAATTATAATAACTTATTATTATAATAATATATAACTATTTTTAAGCTTTTTATATTTTACTTATTCTTTTAAACGTAAGTTAATTTAATTATTTTTTATTAATAATTTT